GCTTCTGTATAATACGCTTGCTGCTGTTGTTGCTTCTGTATAATACGCTTGCTGCTGTTGTTGCTTCTGTATAATACGCTTGCTGCTGTTGTTGCTTCTGTATAATACGCTTGCTGCTGTTGTTGCTTCTGTATAATACGCTTGCTGCTGTTGTTGCTGCAGCGTCGAGATTCTTGGGGAGCGATGGCCATGGGTGTGCTTCAATGACAGTTATGTGAGTGAGTTCGCTTTTCCGCCTTCTCCCGACACCGAGCTGCACCAGCAGCAGGCGCAGGAAGGCAGCAGCAGCAGCAGCAGCCGCCTGGAAGATCTGCTGCCGCAGCAGCAGCAGCAGCGCACACTTTTCCCATGGTGCTCTGGAGCCGTTGCGGCTAGCTTTCCGCTGCAGAAGCAACAGCAACAGCAGCAACAGCAACAGCAGCAGCAACAACAGCAGCACTCTCCACGAACTCGTTACAGTTCGATAGCTTCGCCACACCACCACTATCAGCAGGAGGGCTGTAGCTACTTGCTGAGTCGAACAGTCCATAGCGTTACATATATCCGGGGAGATCTTACGGCAACCCCTGAAGATCCTCCGTTGCCACCAGCGCTCGAATCTTTTGTCACTTCTGAGGTATAGCTGCTGTTGAGATGCTGCAGTCCCTTCTCCCTCAATGCCTTTTTCTGCCTTCCGACTTCCTGTAGATGTATATATGTATATGCGTGTCTGCATGCTTGTTAGTATGCATGTCTGCATGCTTTAAGTAGGCATGTCGCTTCCTTTCGATAGAGATCTGTGCTCCCAAAGAATACCATCAGTTAGTATTGCCATCCAGTTTCTTCCTCTCCGTGTCTGTCTGCCTGTCTGTCCGCCTGCCTTCCTGCCTGCTGGTCAGGTTTCCCTGCTAGTTTGCTTTCTTGCATTTTTTGTGGTCTGTGTGGCGCGAGTGCTGCTGCCTTTCGTTTTTCGATTCGCTCGCGCAGTGTCTTTTGAGGTGCTGCAGAATGAGCGACTCTTTAGTCGCCTAAGGGAGCAGGAGGAACGCATGCAGCTGCTGACCAGCTTTGTGCTGCAGCAGCAAGCCTTTTTGTCTCACTTGCTGCGGCAGCAGTTGCCAGCTGCCTTGCGGCAGTTGGAGCTCCTGCGACAGCAACTGGAGGCGCAGCATGCCTTTGCGGCAGCTGCTGCAGGCGACACAGAGAGGAGGGATAGTGCTGCAGCAGACATGGCGGAAAAAGCTCAGCTGTTGCCGATTATGCAGCAGCTTGCGTTCGTTCCGAGGAGCTGGTGGGCAGCCTTCATTCGCGGCACGGACTATCCCTGCGTGTCTGTGTTGTTGCCTCAACACGCGAGGCCTCTACGAGACAGCAGTAACACGAATTCGTATGTGCAAAACTTCACGGATAAGGGAGCTAGAGCTGCTGCAGCCGTGGCTGTGCACGCTGTGTCGGCGGAGTCTCCTCAGCAAGGGCAGCAGCAGGAGCAGGCAGCACTCTCGAGCGACAGCATGCAGGCGGATTTCGCAGACTCAGACCATCAACAGCCGCTGCTGCCGCATCAAAAGAAAGGTTTAAAGAGAGGCAGCTCTACCTGGACGGCCTCTGTCTGTCCGGAGGTTCTCGAGGAGGCAGGCATCGTTGATTACAGCAGCATCTTATGCCCCCACTATATTCGCCGTAAGCTGCGGATGCTATTTTTGTCTTGTCTCACCCATGGGCTAGAGAGGGATGCAGCTCTGTGTGTGTCGCCGATGCAGCATGTATACATGTAATAGGAGAAACGGGGGGAATGCTGCTGCTGTTTGCTGTCAAATGCATGGGCAAAACATGGCTGCATCATGCTGGCACGTCTTGCCCATGCATTTGACAGCAAACAGCAACAGCACTCCCATTTCTTCTCCGTTATAATAATATATACATAATATATATAATATATATTCGATATATTTATATTTATTGATACATTTATGCTGCATCTGCGACTGTTTTTCCTTCTGTTGCAGACTTGCAGGAACAGCGCCGGCATGGAAAGCGTCCTGTGTTTTGGAGTGCTTCTTCCAGCAGCAGCGGTGCAGATGCGAATACCAACATGAGCAGCAGCAGCACGACCAGCCGATTTGACAGCAACGCAGACGTGGGCCGCCCCTATGGAATCGATCCTCTAGCGGTTTGGGCAGGAGAAGCGAAGATAGTGCCACTGTCGATTCTACAGTCCGTTTTCGCGGCTGTAGGACTGCGCGCCTCCATAGAAACGCCGCTGCTGCAGCATGCCGTCTGTCGTCGATGTGCTGCAGCTCTGAGAGGTCTTGCAGATCTCTCCGTTCTGCAACACCAAGAGGTCGATAGGCTGCTCTCGGCTGCAAAAAAGCAGACCGCCCTTGCAACTCCCCAGACAGGCTCACCCCCAGCCACTGCTACGCAGCAGCAACAGCAGCAGCAGGATAACCCTGCAGCTGTTGCTGCTGCTGTTGCTGCTGCTGCTGCTCCTCCATTAGCCACCCCCCCTTCCCTCCGCTCATCATCTTATGCGCATGAAAATGCCTCTTCCCTTGACTCGTTTTTGCGCAAGCAATCGCCCGAAGAAGAACAGCCCCCCAAAGAGGCTTCAGCGCCCACTAAGGGGGGAAACGCAGCAGCAGCAGCAGCAGCAGCAGCAGTAACGAGCTTCTTTCCCATGCCGAATCCGACGTCAGTGGAGCAGCAGCAGCAGTCCCCACACGAGCAAGAAGACGGCAGTGCCTTCGTTTTCGTTTCTCGACGCGTGCTGCAACACATGCTCGGACGGCATGGAGTCTATTTGAGCAGCTGCAGCACAGCAGCACGAGAACGGCTGCGAGGTCGCCCTTTAATGACACTGCTTGCCGCTGCTGCTACGCAGCAGCAGCGAGGAAGTCGCAGTGGGAAGTCAAAAAGCCGCAGAGTTTGCGGAGATGTCACATTCATATGGGCAGCATACGAAGACATCCGCAAGGAAGTAGCTGCAAACAGAGTATGGCCCCTCGATGAGGAGACACCCTCTCCCCCCTCGCTTTGTGCAGTGGCTGTGGCAGCTGCTCTTCCCCCCACAGGCGCAGTAAATCGAGGCGTAGCGGCTAGGGGAAAACACAGAGCAATACGAGAGGCAACAGGTGTTGCAGCAGAAGCACCAGGCCGCTCAAGGTCTAACGACTCCCCCGCTGCTGCGCATGACGATTTCACACTAGACTTGTCAGCAGAGCTGCTGTGCTGTCACGGCAACTTGATACCCCTCCCATTGCAACATTGCAAGCAAAAACTCTCACCCCGCCTCCTCGTAAGCTGCGGCTCAACTCTTAGCTGATGCTATTGCGATTGCTGCTCTCGCAATTTCTTCTATTGCTATTGCGATTTCTGCTGTTGCAATTTCTTCAATTGCGATTCCTGCTATTGCAATTGCTGCTATTACGATTTCTTTTGTTGCTATTGCGATTTCTGCTGTTGTTCCTGTTGCTCCCGCGATTGCTGCTGCTGCCGGGGTGCAAAGAACAGCGTTTCATTCTGTGGGCTGTTTTGTTGCTGCTGCTGCTGTTGTTGTTGCTGAGGCTTGCGATGCCTCAACTCCCTGCCTCCCCCATTTCCCATGCGTTTTGCTGTGTTGACTTGCTACTCATGACGGTGCTGCAGGTTCCCGCAGCTGCCTTGCTGCAGTATCTGTCCCTAGATGCAGCGAAGCGACCCCTTCTCATAGAACTCGGCGTGCAGCAACCCTTGGCGATTTCTGCCTCTTGTCTTGTGCCGCAAAGCGCCTTCCAGTGTACTGTGCGTCTGTCTGTGGTAGCGGCGATGGGGGGAAAGCCTTGGTGCTTCGCTCTGGCCTTCGGTAGCGTTCTGCTCTTTTCTGAGAGGGAAGGCGGGAAGTCGCTGTCTACGCACGGAGTAGCGTGTGTCGACTCAAAGGTTTCTTGGAGTCCGATGCGAAGTGTGGGTGTGCGTTTTCTTTGTGCGCTGCCGCCTTGTTTCGCTGGCGCAGATTTGCTTCTCCGAGCAGCAGCAGCAGCAGCAGCAGCGACAAAGATGGCGACATCGCATGCGGGAGGAAGAAAAAGCCCTTGGCGCAATCCTCGGCAGTCGCTGGGTAGTCAAGCGGGAACCCCCTCAGGGCACGAGCAAGTAAGTTAGGTGCTGTATGTTGCGGCTGTTGGCTCTGGTCTGTCTAGGAGCTGTTTTCGCGTGAGATTTACTTTTTTCGCGAGAAGAATAAAACGTCCGCAGAGGGGCACGACTGTGCAGAGCTGCTGGCTGAGTAGCAGCATCCAGCTGGTTCGCAAAGGACTCACCTCTCCTAGCCAGAGGGCTTACGAGACAGCACACTAAACGAAGGGGGAACGATCTTCCCATATATATATATATATGTATATAGTGCTGGAAGACACGGGGGGTTTCACATCTCGCGCTGCCACGCATTGTGGCGTTTTTAGCAGGCCGTAGAGACGCTTCACATGAGTGCATGCGGATGTGCTGTGTCATTTGCTGCTGTCGCTCTGTGCCTTCTGGCGTTCCAGGATGCATGCAGCCCTACCAAGGGGAGGCTTGTATCAGCTCGTCCCTGCAGCGTGGCGTTCTCAGTGGCAGCAGTTTGTTGCGTCTGCTGACGAGGCTACGGTAAGCCGCTTTGTGGAAAATCTCGCAGGCAGACACACCATGACCTGCTCTGCGCATGGCTCTTGCGTTCCCCCCTGTATGTCGGCTGCCTCTTTTCTCTAATTCTTCCTACTTTGGCATCCATACTGCATCTTGGCATGTCTTTTAACCTTGTGCTTCCTCTTTTCTGTGATGCCCTTTTGTTAACCTTGTGCTGCCCCTTTTCTGTGATGCCCTTTTGTTAACCTTGTGCTGCCCCTTTTCTGTGATGCCCTTTTTTTTACCTTGTGCTGCCTCTTTTCTGTGATGCCCTTTTGTTAACCTTGTGCTGCGTGTTTTTGATGCCCTTTTGTTAACCTTGCGCTGCGTGTTTTTGATGCCCTTTTGTTAACCTTATGCTGCGTGTTTTTGATGCCCTTTTGTTAACCTTGCGCTGCGTGTTTTTGATGCCCTTTTGTTAACCTTGCGCTGCGTGTTTTTGATGCCCTTTTGTTAACCTTGCGCTGCGTGTTTTTGATGCCCTTTTGTTAACCTTGTGCTGCGTGTTTTTGATGCCCTTGTATCAGGGAAGCTGCCTGCGTCCTACAGCCCTCGACGTCTCTTCACTGATCTGCGATTGCCCTGTGCCAGGCTTGAAGGTTGATCCTACAGACTCTGTGTTTTCGCCGGTACGTTTGGTGTCATTCAAGAATATATATTTACACATATATGCACACATTTATATGTATTTATGTTTGTCTGTTGATAGCCGTTCGAAATGTGATGTAAGGTGTTGGTATTTGGACGGCAGCCTTTGAGGCTTTTCTTACGGTTTTTCGGGGGCGTCGCTCGCTTTCCGCTTCTCGAATGCATGCCTCCTTTGTCCTTATTAGAAGTCAGTCATCCTAGCGATCAGGAGGGGAGAAGCGGGAAGGAGGGAAGGGGTAGAGGGGGGAGAAGGACGATTCACCGCTAGTTTTACACCTAATCACGGGCTGCTGTGCGCCAGCCATGCAATAAGAGGCGCAGTCCTACACACACTTTTCTCTCCTTTCCTTGACTCGCAGCACGTGCATCTGCATTCTCGACTCTCTTTTTTCTCTTCTTTGAGGCTGACGTTGCTTCCGCGCATCCTCTCGATGGCCTCTCACGTCTATGTTTCTCTCTCTTCTATATGTCTCTCCCTTCTATCTCTCTTCTATGTGTCTCTGCCTTCTATCTCTCTCTCTCTTCTATTTCTCTCTTTCTCTTTCTCTGTCTGCTATTTGTCTCTCTCTGCTATGTGTCTCTCTCTGCAGGTGTTTGCGTCTTGTCCTCCGCCTTCCGAGTCTGCGGTGTATACGGTAGTCCACGAGGCTCAGTTCAAGCTGCTGGCGGCTCACGGCTACGCTGATTTCGGTGAAGGAAGCGCCGCAAGAGCAACTGTTGAGGTATTGTTTGCCTTGCGGGTTTGGGGGCATCTGGGATCACAGGCAGGAGGGAGTTCGAGCCGGAGGATTCGCTGATTCAACGCGCTGCGATTTGATTGGGGAGGGGTGAAGAAAAAGGGCAGCGCATAGAGGACCAACAAAAACGAGGCACCGATAGAGACAAGAGGGTGGCAGGAGGGGTGGATCGGTGTATACGGGAAGAAGACGCTTTAAAGGCAGACAGAAAGAGAAAGAGGGATAGAGAAAGAGAGAGAGAGAGAGACAAAGAGGAATAGAGAAAGAGAGAGAGAGAAAGAGGGATAGAGAGAGAGAGAGAGAGAGAGAGAGAGAGAGAGAGAGAACGGGGGATCCGAAAAGGGTGGTATCTTTTGGTGGGATAGGAGGCGGTAAAGAGCATGAAAATGCTGCATAGTAAGAGGACGAACAGACTGTCAGCATGTCTTCCTCTTTGTCGCAGGTGTTGCTGACGCCAGTTGGAGTTCGCACATTTGCATCTGTCTTCTGCTTTCCGAAACTTAAGCCGTGCTCGTCTTGCGTTCAGCGGCATCGCATGCAGCCTCAAGGTCTCTATGACTTTCCTTCCGTCGATCTGCCGATACACCTCGCGTCCAATTGCCAGCGTGCTGCCACCTCTGCTTTAGCACCCCCACAGCAGCAGCAGCAAGAGCAGCAGCAGCAGCAGCAGCCGCCACCGCAATCGCAAAAAGGCGTCATCAGAAGCCGCTCGGTACAAGCCTCACGGCTCTTTTCTCGCAGAATGATGATCGAGGTGTCCGGAGCGACTCCAGTAAGATAGCTCATAATCTCGGAATTACTTGCGCCTAAAACATATATATGTACATATATATATGTATGTATATACATATATATGTATGTATAGGCATCTAGGTATGCACGTATACAGGTACATGTATATATATGTGTATATGTATATAGGGGTGTGTGCCTAAGTAAGTCTGGCGTGTGGGATGCTGAGGAATTTGTGCGTGTTTAGAGCTCAGAAGACGGTGTCTGCCCTGTTTTCTTCCAAAAGCGGATGCTGCTGCTGAAATATATTGATGTGGTTGAGGATCTCCTTGCAAGATTATGCTGTGTCTGTGTCTGCAGGTCGACTGCGCTGTTGCTGCAGTCGTTGCAGCAGTCAGCGATGCCTCCGAGCCAGTGCGTCGGTTGCGTGTTGCTCTGCGCGTACCTGAGACGACGGTGCTGTTATCCGAGCCTGAGGCTGCTGCTGGTAGTGATGGTGGTTCTGCAGAGTCGGGAACGACGGGGGAGCTCGGTGGCAAAGACAGCAGGCTTGTCCCCTTCGCTGCAGTCCATGCTGCAACAAGGGGAGCCTGCTACGTAGAGCTGTCAAGCCTTGCGGCTGCTGGAGAGGGGAGCAGCCTCCGAATGCGCGAACTAGGGGTTCGCGTGGATGCGGACTGCTGCTTGCATTACACCCTCGATGGAAGCGAACCTATGCCTTCCAAAGAGCTACAGCAGCAGCACCAGCAACAGCAGCAACAGCAACAGCAGCAACAGCAACAGCAACAGCAGCAGCAGCAGCAGCAGCAGCAGCAGCAGCCACCCCTCCCACAGGGCTCCCAGCAGCAGGATCTCCATGACGTCGTTGCCGTTCTGTCATCCGTTTCCACAAACGCAAGTAATTGCAGCAGCGATAGCAAGGAAAGCAGCTGTAGTCCTAGCACGAGCAGCAGCTGCCACAATGCGGGTGGTCTTGGCGGCAACAAATGCAGCAGCAGTTGCTTCTCCTCTTGTTCTTCCCCCGGCTTGGACGCAACGGCAAGGCAAGACGGCCTTCCAGAAACAGACAGTTCTGCGCTGCAACCCTCTCTGCTGCTAGTGCAGCAGCAGAAAGGGCAGCTAGACAGACGGTAGCAGGCGCTGCATTCATGCGTAGCTCGAGTCTTGAAATTCAATGACTCATCGAGAGAGAGAGAGAAAAAAAAATACGCCTAGAGACTGACTGCCCCGTTACTGCGGTGAAGAAAAGTTAGGGCACGATCTTCGTCTCAAGGACCCTTAAGCCTTTGGGATTGCCTAAACAGGACGCACCACAGGAATGTCGCTATTTTTGTCTATTTTTTTATCGAGGCGAGGCGTGTGTATTATGTCTAGACGCGTATACGCCTCCAGAACTCTCCATCGTGCTGCTCTGCCAACCTGCCGCTTTTGACGGAGGGATATATATATATATACCATGGTGGGGGCTTCCTTTCTTTGGTCAAGCTGTAATTTTAGGCATCCCCTCTGGTAGTCGTACGCAGCAATGCATTTGCCCCTGCTGCGTGGGCAGCACATGCAAAAGCTCCTTCGAGGGGGCTCGACACAGGTTCTATCCACAGAGCAAAGACGCGGGATTTCTTTTTGCGCCATGCAGTTGCACTTGCCCTCTTTCCCACATCTAAATGCCTTTGAGAAGGGAATGCTGGCAGCCCACGAAAAATCTGGGGGGGCCGCCACACGTAAATATGAACGCAGTGCCTCCCATGGCGGGCTCTCAGAAACACTACCTTAATTCGCTTCTGCGTTCTCAAATCATCTAAGTACGCATACGACGGCAAGCGCCGTCTTAAGATCAGCAGCAGCTTTCACATCGCGATGGGCATTATTTTTCGGGTATTAAGTTTCTATGGCAGCAAAAGAAGGGTGTCATCTTCACTGAGACTGCTCCGCGAGGCTGCGGTCGCAGTCGCACCAGTTGCCTGCCTGAGAAATTCCAGCACAAGCTGATAGCGAGGGGCCTCACTACTGCACTTTTGCATACTGCCAAAAAAAACTTTGTGCTCGTCCTTTGGTTCTCCCCGTGATTCGAGGGTGGGGAGGCGTGGTGTGAGGGCGTTATTTCCTCAACACACCTTCAGTCCGGCAGACAGCGCGATGCAGTTGGAAGGAGCGAGCCTCCTAGGAGTAGCTCTCTTCAGTTGTTATGTATTGACGGAGGCGATACCTAAAAGAACTCACTTAGAAACTGCCGGCTGTTGGCAATGCTGCCGCCCTTGCGAGGCACATTTTAGACGCAGACTGCTTCGGTTGAGAAGCAGGCTGCGTCTCTCTCTCTTTCCCTCGAAATATTCCACTTTCGCTCGCACTTGGTGCAACGGACAAAGCGTAAGGTCAGAGCAAAAGCAGATCTTAGAGTAAATTTTCTGCAGCTGGGCTGTAATGTTTTATCCGTTACTGCATCCTGTCAGCGTTCTGAGCATATAAGGCTAGTTGCACACTGCATTTAACGCACACGCACATACCCCAAACCATTGCGTAGATCAGCCACACTAATTAGGAAGGACGTAGGTGTACCGTGTCCCGCTACACCCTCCTTGGGGTGCCACTCCCTTCTTGGTTGTCTTCACAGGCAGGTGACGGGCTCGTCTTCGTGTTGCCCCCTTTAACAATGGTGCAAACCTGCGCTTATATAGCATGTACCCTTATGTATAAAGACAGTCCATCCCCGGAAGGATGAAAACCATTCGGCTCGTCTTCGTGTTGCCCCCTTTAACAATGGTGCAAACCTGCGCTTATATAGCATGTACCCTTATGTATAAAGACAGTCCATCCCCGGAAGGATGAAAACCATTCTTCGGCGGCTTTGTAGGCCTCTTTTGACAAGAATCCCTGCCTTATGCCGTGCAATACTACGAGCTCGCCGTAATGTGACGTCAAAACTGTTGTGGCAAAACTGAGAGGCCGCGTGCACGAGCCTATAGTGCAAGGGGGTCACAGTGGGCTGGCCCATCAGTAACACGCTGCCGTCTCTTCAACGTGCCCTAGGCAGCCATAAGTTCTACGCTAAAGCCGAAAATTTGCGGGATGTTGAAACTGCGCGCCTGCCTCGAACTCCAGAAACCCCCAGTTTCACCCAGAAAACGAGCCTAAGGTCCCAAATCCTGTAGAGATGCAACATTTGGGGGTTGTCGTGGCATCGAAGCTACCGTTCCGTAATGATACGATGTGCATAGCCCGTACTGGGGGTGCCTACCTGGCTGCGCGATTACTTACGCCGGAAACCATAGCCTTTGAAACATAGCCTTTGCTGCTGCCTTTAACAAATCATGTTTCACTGAAAGCCGTGAACGCGAAAGCTTTGACCACTGGCGTCTGGCGGAGCTCAATCGCTAGCACCGAGTGAGCGCGTAGGCAATGTGGAACCTACAGGCATCTTGTTGCGTGCACTTCATGCGGTAAAAGCCTCTAAAGATGCATTATTGTATCACCTAAGCTCTCTGTTTGCTGCCCTGTAGCCTGTCGTGGATCGATGGGAGAGCATCATGGGGGCCATGAGCTACCGCTGGGCGACGAGCATACATGCACATGGGGATGTATGCGCTCACGCCTCTGTATTGTGTCTTTTTTAATGCCTTTGACATCAACTTTGCTATATGCAAACGTTTTTTCATCTTGTTTTTCTTTTTCCGCAGTGGGTCCGTTCCTCCTGCAGTAAGAGCGCGCTCGACACCACCAAGGGCCACTAGTTTGAGGCCTCTTTCCGGGGGTCGTGCTCATTGCATTAGAGAAATCTTGTTCTTCAGAGACCTTCGTGCAGCGAATAATTCTTTAGGGCGTGCTTGGAGCCTCCCTGTCCTCCATTGCTGCTTGTCCTGCATAGCACCGCTGTTGCCGCTCGCACATTTCAAGTGCACGTTTCCAGGTGCCCATAGGATTGCCGTCAGGAACGAACGATCCGGTTGTTGCGATTCAGTGATATATTTGCCTCAAGTGTGCTGGCCCCCTCTTCTCCTTACCCCTCCCCAAAAGCCACGCCACGATCATCAACTACGTGCATAGCATCCCCTTACGAGGCCACACCTCACCTACCCTCTTTCTTCCCAACGGTCTCGCACTAACGATGGGAAACAAGTGCCTAGGGCGCAAGCATGGCGCCGTCAATGGCGCAGTAGAGGACAGTGGTGAGTGGGATCCTCTTACCCCGGAGGAAGAAGAAGAAGCAATGCACAGGAAACAGGAGGTCCGTGCGTGTGAAGCCCCGTTCAAACAAGACACACACACCCTTACGAAGCTAGCAGGCACACTCTCTCTCTACTTCTCTCTTGCGTATTTCCTAGGCATAGTGCAGTTTTCCATACTCTTTTGAATTGCTTGGGTACGTATATATACACTTAATATCGGTATACATATATATATATATATGTATGTACATATATGCACTTAATGATTACTTGAGACCCCCGGAGCGAGGGATGCATATCGACTCTGCACTCTGGAGGAGTATATCGCCAGTCAAGTGCTGAAGGTCACCTTATCGTGTCTACTGATTTTTTTGAACCTCACCTCCCTTCCCATCATATCCCCTCGCCCAAGCACAAGAGGGTTACGGTCCCTCCCTGAGGTGTCGCCTTTTGCTGCTGCCTGCTTACTTCTTCTGCGTTCATTCCCCCGTACTGCGTATCGGCTGCTGTAGACTACTAGCCGCCTTCTCTTTCCATCAGTCTTGTTCGTGTAGTACAGACCAAGGGCAAAGAGGGGAGGGAAGAAGCAACGCCCAAGTGGCGAGCGACGTCTAGTAGCACATCCAACGCCAGCTTTTCTGCAGCTCTCTTCCTTGCCACCACTAGATTCTTCCTTACGGATAGAGACTTGCGCAGTTGCCTGTCCCCCCTGCTGCCACCTCTCTCTGCCAGTGTCTCTCGATGATTTGTTTGGCGCAGCAACTGCAAAAAATAGAGTCCGCAGGACAAGATGCCCTGCGGAAGCTCAAGACCTCCGAGGCCCTCTGCAAGGCAGAGAAAAACCGGAAGCGTAAAATAAAAAAGGCCAGAGAGCTGCTAGGTCAGTCCCATTGCTAAATCCCGCAGAACGGGCGTGCACGCATGCATGCGCTTACACACTGCAACCGTCTGTAGTAAACGGCAGTAAAGTGCAGGAAACTATCGCACGGGTTCAAACCGACACACGCATATGCCTCAAATAAGTCCGTATTTAATAGCCCAGTGGGGGAAGCCATAGGGGCACCACCGTCTTAGAAAAGGAGATGCGCACAAAGAGACTAGCAGGAAGACACGGGGGACGAGGGAAATTTACAGTCGGATCCATGGCGGTAGGTGCGAGAGACGGACGGCCGAAGCGAGAAGATTCGAGAGTTTGTTGTTCGATGCGTATTTCTTCTGCACGGTCTTCAGTAAATGTTGCCTTTTGTTTACGTGTTGTGATCTGCACAGGCTTCTTATGAAATCCAGTGGACCCAGCGAATTCGGACTCGGAGTAGGCCGCAGCAGCAGTAGTACTCCTGCACCCGTGGCCCTACCTAATTCTCCTCTGCGTGTTTGAGTTGCCCTTGGCATATCTGTACAGAGTCTCCGCACGTACATCCGTTAGCACCTTTTGTTGCACTTTCCGTTTCCGTGTGCCAAGGAAGAGTGGTGCCGCCCTAGTAGCTGCCTCAGCATCGTGGTGTTTTACTAGACAGCTCTCCAAGATGCTCCAATAGATAGGCATTGCATTTAGCTATTTAAGCACAATGCCACTGTTTTCGGCCGACTGGCCGCTCACGTGAGCAGCTGCTTTAAGCGATATTCGCTGCGCAGAGAGCATTTTTTCTGTTATAGCCAGCAGTTATACATGTGCGCTGTTACTTTCAAGCATAGACATGTTTAGTTCCGAACTGCCCATTGCAACGATGCTGACTATCTTTTCCGTGTCCCCCCCCCCCATGCCCATATTGCATCTCTGGTTTGCTTCCAGTTACTTATGCGAGGCAACCTTGCAACAATATTATATCTAGGTAGAAAGCTAGCTTGCCAGCCAGCTGCCGCATATCCACGTGGACGCCGCACTGGCAGGCACCTGCTCCAGGCGTGGTCCGTGCAGGACTCTAGTTTCGGAGCTGTCTCTTTGACAGCTCTTTCCCCACGAAAAGCAAGCCGGGAGTCTACATGCCGCAAGCCGATATAGCCCTTGCGGATATGGCATCTTAACCTTTCGTTATTACGTGCTCCTCTTACTGAAAGAGTGGATTGTAAACAACCCTCGAGCAGCTGCTTCTGCTGCGAGAGGCTAGGACTGCCTGCCGCTCCTGGATAAGCCAGCACACTGCTGCGGCCCCCTCGCGCGAGCGAGGAGACTTACAAAAAGCCTAGGAGGATTCGGCAGAGATGCAGGAACAACGTAGAACAAGAAAACAGCCGGCAGCAGAAGGCTGGCAAACGCCATAATTGACCATGCTGTTGCACATGCGCATGTAGCAGAGAAGAAGCCGGCGGGCACAGTGTCCAGCTCTGTGAAGATGACCTGTAGAGTCTCGAAATATGTATGTTACTTACAAACGCTTCCTTGTGACTTGCTGCATGCGTTTCGAGCACCTCCTGCATGCACTCTGTCCTCTCGGCACTACTTGCATCTCCTCTCCCTTACCTACTCAGCAATTCCTCGGCGCGCGAGAAGATAACCGACTCGAGCACATATAACCGCTTGCACAACTCCCCAGCCGCGACGGCAGGACAAAAATCACACCGCGCGCATGCAATCCTCCTGAGAACCCCAGAGATTCCGTCCGCCTCCCCAAAACTGCGGGGTGGCAGCTTGCTGCTGCTACAGCAGGCACTGGAAGGAGGACTGCTGCACTTGACAGAGGAACACTGCTGTTCCTTGCCACTATCCTCGCTGCTCTCCGCACTGCTATCCACGCTGCTGCTGCTGTCAATGCCACTAACTCCAGACCCGTTGATGCGTCGCATGCCGCCGCTTGCCTCAGTGCAGTGCATGCCGTGGCTGCTGCACAGCTTGGAGGCGGAGCACCACCCAGAGCAGCAGCAGGCGCAACACTGAAGCAGCTCCGTTATTTTAATACTCAGCAGCTGGAAGCCTAAAGACTCCGCTAAGACGGAGAAGGGGCTCACGTATGCAATGAGCCGGTGCAGCCGCGAGAAGGCTGGAGCTGCCCCTGCCTGCGTTGGTGCCGTTGCCGCCGCTTGAGGATGGAGAAGCTCTAAGCGCCGCAACTGTGGCAGCAGTCTGCAGAGGGTTCTCAGACTTCTCTGCAGCTGCAAAGGGGGCACATACAGGGGCCTCTGAGCCCATTTTTTTTTCCTTCTGCCGATCTTGCTGGAGCTAGCGCTTCTGTCGGTTGCACAATCCTCCTGAGCCCCCTCTGTTTCAAGGTGAGTAGCAGCAAATGCAGCAGCGGCTGCATTCTGTGGCACCCATTTCCCCTCGGCAGCTTGCTGCTGCAACTGCCAAACCCTGCGCTGCTGCTGAGGAGACAGGGATTTTCTCAGGTCCGCGTTGCTGTAGCCCACAATGCGCAGCAGCAGCAAGGTGGGCAGCAGATTCTGCTGCTGAACTTGCTGCAGCACTTCAACAAAAAGATTAAAGCTCAGCGAGTCTTGAAGCGCACTTGCAGTTGCCTCAAGGCCGCCTATTCGCCCCTAAAACCCTCACACACAGACAGAGACACACAGGACCACTTGCCGCCTGCTTGAATTGCCAGTGCTGCTTCCCTCGCGAGTAGTAGCCCTCTGTCTGCGCGTGTCTACTGCGGCTGTCTACATGCAGAGTGCGGGAGATACAGCCTGCAGCATGCGAAGACGCATGCAGAACCGCTAGAGAACGCAAGCGACCTCCTGCGCAGCTAAAAAGTAGCCAACAATGAAAGGCACCGCCGCTTCACAGCGGCGAGGCAGCACTAACAACAACGAAAGCACAGCAAGGCCAGTCTCAGTCAGGGTCTAAGCTTACATGCACACGTGGATCGCCGATGCTGGGCAAAAGAGACATCAAATCTGCAATCGAGATACACGCAAAGGGAAGTCGCAGGAGCAGCTGTTTCACTGTTTCCTCGTTCCCACCCCAAAAGCTGGCTGTGCTGCTGCTGCTACCCTGCTGCTGCAAGGCAATAGAGGGCAGCGAAAAATAAGGACTAGCCAACAGCGCCTGCCCGATGAAGACTGCGGCAAGTGTCACTGCTTCGTCCTCGTCGTCTTGCTCTGCCGCGTCGGAAGCTCTGACTGCATCAGCTGTTGCGGCTGCGCTGTCCATCGCGGCTGCTGCAGCAACAGCGCCTGAAGGAGTTTGATGCTGCTGAGTGCTGAAACGCAGAGGCACTCGAACTCCACAGTGGGTGCCCCTCCTGGTGCCGCAGAGATCGTCACTGGCATTGCAGTGCTCGATAAAGCTTTCCAGCGATAACTCCAAGGCAGATGCATCGCCGCTGCCGCTCGCATTGATGCTGCCGCTGCCTTTGTTGCCGTTCCTTTCGCCAACAAAGTCAATTTTAAGCAGCGACCTTCTGCTCGGAGAAGATGATATTGCATCGCCAGAATAGGGATCGTGTTGCCAGCTGCGTTCATTGCCGCAACTGCTCTCTTTTTTGCTGACTTCTCCCTTTGCCACCGCTTCGCCGCTGAGTGCCCCCTCCAGCGCAATCGAGGAGCTGCTGTCTTGTGCAGCAGCCTCATCTTGCAGTTGCAGTTCCTGTTGTTGCTGCTGCTGCTGCAGGAGCTCTTGCAACGGCAAGTCGTCATGAAGGGGTGGCGCTGAGCTATGGGTGCCTTGAAGTTGCATCAGTTTCTGCTGCCCTGGTGCCTCCTCTTCATCTGCACCCATGTCTGCGTGGGCTGCTGTGGATGGCGGTAAGGCTGCATGAACGAGTGACAAGGATCTGCTAAAGGAGCCGTTCGCTTCGTGTTGTTGCTGCAGCTGCTGCTGAGCAAGTGCCTCATACGCAGCGGCTTCCGCAGCTGCAGCGGCCACAATGGCATCCACGCTGTCCTCTCCAAGGAATTCGCTTGCTGCTGCCTGCGTTGCTACCAGAGCAGGAGGCTGCAGCGGGAGTGCCTCACTCCGCGAATCTGACGATGCACTGGCATCGATGTCTAAATTACCAGCCTGGCGAGGCTGGAGGAATCGTGGAGCAGTTTTATCACCAGAGTCTGCGAGTAATGCAGCCACCACTGCCTCTCCCCGTGGTAAGCCTGCAGAAGCTCCTGCGTCTGCTCCTGCCAAGACACCTGAAGTCTCGCTGTGGTATGGAAAGAAACCGCCTGGAGCAGCACCCCCCTGGCTGCCTTCTCGCTCGAAATACGAAGAAAACCCTTGCAGAAGAGAACTGCGATCCCTTCGCAGTCTACGACCATCGAACCCGCTGCCTCTGCTGCTGCTGGTATGCGACAGCCTGGGCGTGCTGCTGCGTATGCCATACCTGAAGCTGCTGCTTCTGCTGCTGCGGCTCTGCATCATGCTGTCGCTGCTCTCCGAATCCGCTGCGGTTCTCCCCAAGAAGGCGTTTTCCAAAGCGGCTGTTCTGACAGCAATCGCGTCCTCCACGGCTTTTGCTGTGTCGACAAGTCTTTGCGCCACCCCCCCAGTGGCATCTGCAAGAGCTGCGCGCGCAGCAGCAGCCGTTGCAGCAACAGAATCCGCAGCAGAAGCGGCCGCTGCTGCGAAAGCAGCGGAAGCCGACGCACAGGCAGAAGCGGCCGCCTCGTGGCACCTCTGCGCAGCTTTGGCGATGGCACTGCTTGACGTTTCTGTGGCTTGGCGCGTTGCTTCTGCCGCTGCATGCCCCGCAGCGACAGCAGCAGCGGCTGCGGCTGTTGCTGCAGCCTCGAGGGCGATAGCTACACGCATTCCTTGAGAGATCACGAACTCCTCCAGCTGAGAAGCCACCGGCTGGTCGGGGTCGAAGGAGGCGGCCTCTGCCACTGCTGCTGCAGCGGAAGTTGCTTCTGCAGCTGCGGCTGCTGCGTCTGCAGCTGCTCTCGCCGCAACTGTCGCTGCTTCTTCTCCAGCAGTGAGACGTTGCGCGGAGAGCCGTTCTCCGCCATCTCCGCCTCCCGTTTCGGATGCCTCAATTGGAGCAGTTAAGCCAGAGGCCTGACGCATCCCTGAAACTGCAACAAAGCCTTGAGCAGCAGCTGCTGCTTCCGCAGCAGAGTCTGCAGCAGCCCTTGCAGCAGCCGCTTGCGTAGCGGTCTTGGCTGCCACAGTTGCTCCCGCCGCAGATGCTACCGCGGATGCTGCCGAAGGACGCGCGTCAAAAGGCATTGAGGCTGCTACAGGCTGCTGTGACGAAGTCGATACTGCAGCAGCACCAGCTGCAGCGGGTGCTGTAACTGCTGCGGAGTCTTCACCAGTGCTCATTTACGAAATACCTGGGTTGTGGCTGTTGTTTAAAAGTCGCTGTTTCTGCTGCTTTTGCCGCTAATTCCAAGATAAATGATCCTTTCCCGACCTAAGGCGTCGCACGTCTGCTGAGTCCGCGACGGAGGGGGAGCCACTGGTCGTCCTGTCGTTCGCCTTGTGCGGCGAGGCTCTTCAGGTTTTAGAGCCTTGGAAAATACTGAGAAGAGGTCTAAATGCTGCAGCTTGCGCCTTCTTGCCTTTCTCTTGACGTTTCTGCCCGCATGGGCGCTGCTGCGGCGAGTAGTTGTGTGCAGCACCGTCTCAACGCAGCGGACGCGAAGGGGCGTGGTCTAGAAGGAAGGGAGCCGCTGCATCCGGTGAAAAAGCAACCAAGCAGTGTGCTCCCAAAACAAATTGTATACAATGTTTGCTAAGGAAGAATAGGTTGGACGGGTGGACGCTGCTGCAGCCGTCCCCCCGAAGCTCCCAAGGGGCGGGCACAGTCGAGAGGGAGGAATCCTTTTGCCCCATCTCCTACTCAGCATTGATACACTGGAAGTGTTACATTGACATTTGCGGATGCTTGTAGACCCTCTATGGTCGAGCAGAGACGGACGCTTCCAATGCTCCTCCCACCCAGAACAGCCGGCCACACCTCAGGGGCCGTTCAGCCCGCTATCCTCCTGCATGAAAACACGGGCGAAAAATGGGGTATGCCCCAACCTCCAAAGGTTCCGGAGGCATATTTTATTCCAGCTACTCTGTAGCAGTCGCGGAGGCAGGAACATCCGCTCAGCCAGGCTGCTACTCGTGTTTATCGACGGCTGGACGCCCAGCAAGGACTGCACGTGGAAGCCTACATGTCAGTGTCTTTAGAAAATAGGTGCTTCGAAGAAGTGAAAGGCTGGCTGCCTCGAAAAAAGTGGCTTGAAAGTGCATTTATTGGCAGACCATGAACGTCTGCTCAGCCAACCCCACAAGCTTCCGTTGGCTCCGTTTTGTGGTGGAGTTGGGCAAGTCCAGCAAAGATGCCCGTTGAAACTGCCTAGCCAACATTGGCAGCTAGATCTGGGCATTCGGCTCTGGATCTGCACGCAAATTCGGCGACTTGGAGTAACACTTCTCGGCCCCACATACGTGGTTAGCCCTACCCGTTCCACTGCAGACTCTCAAAAGGAATGCGACCATACACACGTCTTCTGCATACTACCACGGGCACTACCTGTCCTGCTGAAAAGAATCACGTAGCTTCTATTGAGAGTGGCCTTACTATCCAGCCTGGGTTTTTAGTGTTCCCATTGTTCATGATTATCTCACTTATTAGGACCATGTGCGCTCTCTGCCGTCAGGAAGCATTCACCAATAGTAGCTGTGTGCCATTTTACACGTATTCCACAACGCTGCTTGTAAATAGATGTCACTGCATTCACACATCCCACGTGCACTGTCTTAAAGCTGCATGCACCCTTCTGTGTCTGTGCCGACCTTGGCGCCTCAGCTGCCGTTGACGCGTGGAATACACCTCTACGAAGAATCTATAAAGAACTCAGTTTCATGAAGCTGCTGGCGTGACCTCCGCACTAACTTCTAGCTGTGTCACCGATTCCCTTCTCAGTGGAGCTGTTTAAGCTCTCGGACAATGCTCCATGGAAGGTCTCTGTAGAAAGGCACTCAGCAGTAGAGGCTCAACGTAAATTTCGAAGAAAAAATTAAGTTCCCCCCCCCCCAAAAAATTTTCACCTCCACCAGGACTCCTCTGACCTCCCGACAGAAGGGGAATGAGACAGCTGGGATACGCGTAGCTGCACCCTAGCAGTATTCGGAGTACTGCTAGATGCACATACCATCTACCGCACACGCACAGAGCATTGCGCCTGTTTATAGCCAACTGACAGTACTCTGCACTAAATAGTTTACACCAAGAGCTAAGGCACTAAGGCAAGTGTTTACAAATTTCAATTTCGAGCAAATTGGAGTAGTAGAAAGTATCGAAGTGCGATTTACCGCTCTGCTTCTTTTTCCCCCAAATCGAAAACCTGCAGTCATGTTTAGTACTGGCGCGTCAAGAAAACTACGGACAGAAAAAAGCAAAAGTTCCCGCACTATCGTCACTCCCTTAGCACACAGCAACGCCAAAACAGTGCACATGAGAAAAACAAATATGGGGGTCACTAGGGACTGTGAAGTCAAGAGAAAGAAAGGCAGACATTAGCTAAAAAAACGAGGGACCAAGCGGCCGCAGCAGTGCGATGGCTCACTGTCTTCGGAGCAACTTGTCCAGCTGTGACAGAGCTGGACCTAGGGATGAAAGGCCATTTTCGCAGGGCATGTCGACAATGACGTGGATGCTGTCGTGACCCTTAACCTCCAGCAGTTCAAGAACAGTCCACAGTTAGAACAGTTTTCTTTGAAGGTGGAGGACTTTGCAAAAGGACCAATTCGGACGAATTTCGTGGCTTCAGTCGCTGACAATCTGGCCATGACACTAAATACTACTCTGTAGTGGGGCGCATCCAACTCTGCCAGTTGGACCGTGAGAGTTTTCCACTGTAGTGTGAATCTAAGTCCCACCATCTCTCAAAAGTACAGGGTCTTGTGCTTTGCACAAGCTGGCCCTGCGAATTGAAGTCAGAATGTACAAGCAACAGAGTGACTGCTTGAATCTTGAAGCACAGCCGACCATCCTCGGCGTAGTAGTGCTTCACCCTAGTGCCATTGTGGGTTTCGACAATAATAGCTAATGCATGGGTGTTAACTGTACAAGGCCCACGTTATTTGATTTAATCCGGAAATCATCACGGGCAAGATCTTGGGCTGCAGAATGGTGAAGCGCTGAGGCTCGACGAAAGCGCATCGGCTACCACGTTGGTGGTGCCGTTGATATTCTTCATTGTGGGGTCGTATTGCACGGGGCTCCCAAGCCAGTGAACAGCTCTTGGGTTGTCAGCGTACTGGAACCTATTAGTAAAGTGCTTTGAAGACTTATGGTCTGTCATAATGGTAAAATGACTACAATGTAAATAGTGTACACATTGGTGCACGCCTGACCACATCATGGGGACGTCCTTCTTCCTCACAGGATACTGCTTCTCAATATCGTGGACCAGAAAAGCACATAATACATTGATGCTTTGAATAGCCCCTAGCCTGTTGAGAAAGCGTAGCGGCCGCTGCCACTAGCATCGGTGCTGGGACGAAATTGTGTCCCATGATCGGGCAGCGCGGGTACCGGAGGAGCTGTAAGGCAACCAACAAACGTCCTTGCTGCGGCATCAGCATCCGCTGCCCAGGTCACAGCAGCCGGGTTTCAAGAAGATCCGTCAGATGAGCAGCCCTGCGAGCAAATCGAATAATGAAATTTTCGTTTTAAAATTCAAACCCATAAAACTAATCAGGCTTACATGTGAGTAAAGTTCGTGCTGTGCTGGATCTGCTTTTGACATCTTCAGGCAAAAAAAAAAAATCCAGCAACACAATGTTTTTCATTGAAATTAAACGCATGTATGCCTTCACACCCCACTGCTCGCCCCGCAACAGCTGAAGCGCACGCCTCGGGTGCATCAGTTTCCCGCGAACGAGTCGCTGAGTGCAAAGACGTCTTTCACATAGACAGCCAACCAGCCATACTTAACATGCCCATTTAAATTCCAATTGGCTTAAGGTTTGCAGCTCGGCAAGAGCACTAAGAATTCCAAAAGGAATACAGCTATACTTAAATTTCCTAGTGTGAAACGCTCTTTTGTGCCTGTCATCAGGATGAATGGGGAAGAGTAGGAGAGTATGATGTCTGAGGTTGAATAGAGTGTTGACCCGTGACATTTGTTACGCAGTTTGCCAATATTAGGGATCAGACACTTCGAATTCACTATGAGCTTGCTCGGGTACTTCACGTAGATGTAGGTGTGTAGCGTATCCGCAGGCCCCCCTGATAATCGTCCATATGGGTTGCTCCTCGGATAAAAGCACAATCGCATTTCCAAAAAGAAGCCACTTCCAAAACCATTTAGGCAGGTCCGATGTTTAGAACCGTCTTGCCTTACTGCGCTGCTCAGCCGCCAACATCAAACCTGTGTCTCGCCTTGTCAAGGCGCCACCTCCACCCCGCTCACCAAAGCTTAAATGAGGGTCAATGAGAAGAGGCATGAGGTGCTTTTTCCTAGCCACTCCTGCTACGCTGACCTCCATAGTGCTCAGCTGCGCCCCATTCGTGTTTTCACTGGGTTCCACGTGGTATACTTATGATCGAGTCATGGTGCAAGGGTCCAACATAGCACTCACGAACCATGCAGATAAGGTCAGATTCCAATTAAGGTTGACATTAAACCACTGCATGCGTGCCAATACTAGGGCTATCTGCTCTTCACGGTAAGCCTAATAGGGACGGAGTGGACTAGCAGAGTGCACTTCTCCACCGTTTCCTCCAGTAACAGATCAACTTTACATCCAGTGTCGAGGAACGCTTGCAAATTGCTACCATCAATCCGAGATAGTAGCCAAGCACAATTGGCCCGTGGTAGCTCCACAAGTGCGGCTCCGCTCCATCCTCTGTCTCCCTATTTACTGGGACACAGTTTCCGTGTAGGCTTTCCGTTGCCCAGTTGTGACGTCTTTGCTCGCCGAGCAGCCTGCTGCCGCTGTCTCCATTCCCCTAGTTCACGTTATCCGGCATTTTGTTTCGTTTGCAGCTCCAATTCGTATGACCGTATCTCTCACAATAGAAGTAGATTCGTTGTCGGGGGCCTACATGGGGCTGATGAGGAGCGCGGGCTCATCTGGTTCTTTTTTCTCAACTCACTTTTGACGGTAGGTTGGGGCGGGTTGTTACAGCCCCGATATCAATAGTTCTTAAATTCAGACTTCGCACATTTCTTTAAGCCGAAGACGGAAGAGCTGCGCCCCAAAATTTTGAAACTTCAATTCATCCACCTCTTGTGGGAGCTTCACCAGTCGGTCGTTTAATGCTGCATCGCTCCCCATCCCGCGACCAGCTCACTTGAAACTTGAGGGAGACCTCAATGAATCACTAAAAAAGCTGGTTCTCTTCTGCACTGGGACTTTTGGAAACCGAGCTTCATATTTCTTGACATACCAATCTATTGATAGATATCCCAACTCAACCCTTCCCAGTTCTCCTGAAAGTTGCTATTGAGATGATCCGGGTAAAAACCGATATGTGGGGGTGTGGATGAAGGCTTGAAATGGAGTAATCCTTGCACACACACTGGCTCCCCTATGTGCATACAGCGATCCTCAAGATACTTCTCCTCCCAATAAACATGCCAGAAGAAGCAATTGTTGTCTTCTTCTGGACGCCAAACACCGAAGTACATGTCCAACTGGCTGGCGAGATGTTCGAGTACTTGCTGATGATTGCAGCCCTAATACTTTTCTTGTCGACATAGACTCCTCAACACATCCATAGGCACTTATTGACTAAATACTCGTGCCCTTCTACCAGCGGACGACCTACTGCGCTTTCCCCAGCTTGCAATCCGGCCTCTGCCGCCCTCACAGGTGTTGTGCCGCCTCAACCTCCAAGGCTGGAGGGCTTCTCATCCGAGGCTATTATCGACAAAAAAGAAATAACTGAATTTACAAATCAGTATATCGAACACCAGACAACTGTTGCACGAGTACAAAGACTTGCAGTCTCACTGCCCCCCACAGCCAAAGGATAAAAGAACAGCTGCATCGAAATATGCAACGCAGCTAAACGCTGCGCTTCACTCTGGGTCTCCAGAAGGAGAGGCTTGACTCAAGACCCAACACAAAGTTAGTGGGAAGTTATTGAATATATCTCAAGTGTCCCCTCATTTCCTTGCAGCGCCCCTCTGACTTCCCATCATGAATGAAAGGGACAGCTTGGATGCGCGTGGCTGCATCCTAGAAGTGCTTCGACTATCCTCAGTTACACACGCATAGCATCTACTGCACGCTCAGACAACGTGCAGGCTTCTAGAATTGATCTAACAGTACTTCGCGCTAAATAATATAGTTGTAGTTATTTGTTTACTTATCCTTTGCTTCATCCAATGTCCAGCCTGATGCATTTGAACAAAGAAATGACTCTTACGGCCAACTGCGTCCGCGCGTAGAATAAATTATTTAAAAACTGCACGATTTATGCCATAGGCAAAGGCGTGTGCTCCAATAGGAAGGTCAACCTAATGGAATGTACGCTATCAATCCGGTAAGCAAGCGTTTCTTTGCCGTCCCTTGATATCTCACAACGCCATGCACATACCTGGGTAAAAGCCGAAACTAATTTGGAGTCATTGGGAATCCGAAAGACACTGGCGTAGCCAGGACAAGTGACTAAACATCGATTGATAATCTACAAACTACGTCTCGAATCCACATTTGTACAGGACAACCGGACAAATCCGTCGAACATAAATGGCGGCATCAGATCTAAGCAAGGAAGTCAGTGAACCGAAGACTGGACAGTCGCCTGAAAAGTAATAAACAGCATACACAGGAAACAGAAGTAAAAGGCATATTTGGCAAACAAGGAGGCCGACGCAAGGAGGCAGACGAATGTCAAAAATTGAAGCATCTGACAGCGAGGAAGACCTGCATTTAACGCATGCAGTAACGCGAGAGGCAGGAGAGCGCTCAAAAGATTCTAAGTGGGATAACACCAATAAGTTAAGTTTGGTGTACTGGTTCCCCCCTTAGTCCAGAGGTGGGTAAATTACAAGATCTGCGGATTCTTTCACAATGGCCAGGGCGTTGATGCGCTGTTCTCTCACAGAATCCAGCAGCCTGAACATGATCTTCCTCCATTTGTCAAAGGTCTGCACGGCGCCCGGTTGAGGAGCTGAAATTCTAGGCCACAAGTTGCAGATCTGCTGCTCCCTAGACAAATTGGAAATCTGGTTAACATCGGGCATGCGTTCTCTACGAATGTATGGCGATTTGCCCTCTGGAAAGAGCTCGTACAGAATTACTCCGAGCGTACACAAGTCCGTGGAAGCTTCTGGCACTGCAGAACTCGCCTGGTTGGGAGGATATCCTTTCATAATACCCATCAAGAGATCGGGTTCTGTGTATCCTGGTGTGATACCAACTAAGCCTCTTACAGGTGTTTCCGAAGGCACTGCTGGAGCCGAAATCACTTAGGAGGAAAGAGCCATCAGGCCGCAAAAAATGTGGGCTAACTTGATGCCGTTGTGGCTAAATCCCTCTTGCTGCAGCTTGAGCACCACCAGCAGGATGTGGCGAGCAATGTACTCCCTAGACTGGTTGTATAGTGCTGTCCTGTGCAAGGAGGCTCAAGTCACCGTAAAGCCTTTCCATGATCTGTACGCTTCTAAAGATGCTATGCCCCGCAACAATAGTGACTCCTTTGAGTCTGCAATCTGCGCAGACAATATGGGCAGAGCCAGGCCCTTCTGAGAGCCTGCCTCTTTGGCCAGAATTCCTCCTCTGATCTTCAGAGTCATCTTTTTCTCCATCTTTTCCATATTTTTACCTTGCTTGCAAAGTTCCTCCACAGTAAAGGCATTGGTGTGTCTGAGTACCATAAATCGCAGTGCGACTACCACCTTCGTCTTCGAGTCCTGTGCCCCTACCACCAGGTGAGACGAGCCCTTTCCAAAAAACGTGCCTATTTTCAAGCTTGAGACTGCCCTTGATGCTGCTCCGGCAAGTTCAGAGGCTTTACATTTTCTAGTCGAAGAGTCATTCTGAGGAGCGACAGCGAACGGACCCTCGAGACCGCCTAACCAACTGCGAACAGTACTCCCAACTTATTGTTTCCCGGTAATCGCTTTAATCCCCCTTCGGCCGCTATTCTGGTAGCGAGAACTTCTTTGTCTCGCATCATAGCCGGCGTCAATGTCTGTTCAAAATGATCAATTGAAGGCAAACCCCACTCGTCGTATAGAGGCTGCCCTTCGGCCACACTGAGCTTGGCGCCCTGCAGTTTTAGCTCATCATTGGCTACGAGAAAATACGGTGGTGCGTATCTACGAAAGTGCACCGCGCGCCCAACCAGCAACACAACAGCTTTTACGAAAACGAGACACTGGCCCAAGAAGCGCTTCTTCCATTTTCCACAAGAAGCTGATGTGCTCTTCTGTGGAGCAATCCTTCTCTCTAATGCAAAATTTTCGTGAAATACTCCTGGAAGGGTCTCCAAAGTAGTCGAGCTATCACAGGCGCCCGCGGGCACAGTAGCGCCAGGCGAACCGTACATGTTCATCGCTTTGAGCCTTCACAAGTGTACTTTCCATAGACTTATTACACATAGTTTCCCAGATGTCAAGTACGAGCGGGGAGCAAATACACAAATTTGACACGGTAGAGACGAACGTTCTCTTGTGTGGTGGGATCTTGCATCCCCGCAGCTCGTAAGGACGAAGCGAATCGATAAAGTTGCAACGAAGCACGGACTTTCAGCAGCAAAAAATGCGACGTAGAACAATGAATAGAGATTTAGAAGGCTTAAAAGCAAGAAACGTACACGGTTTACATGGACGAAGCCGAGCCCACCCACTGTTTGTCGACGGTGGCCTCTCCACCGCTTGTTCTGGGGAAACGCAATAGAGGACTTCCAAAGCTTCTTCTTAGGGACCTTTCCATGTGCCGCTGCGGTTAATCCACTGTAATTCGTACCTTGGATAGCTTTGAAGCAGAATTTCATGGGCAGGGGCCCCACCTGTCTCACCGCTTGCAGGTCGGGTAAGGTAGTACGGTGTGGAAGCTACGAGCAACTGAAACCCCCTACTGCTACCATACCAAGAGGTAGGATGCGTAATGTGGCACGGCTGTACAGAGAGTCAATAGACGCTTCCCAACCACCTGGCAGCTAGCCCTCGATGCATGCTTGTGCGCACGGATCCCCACGCCATTTAGAAATTGGCAGCTATGTCCGAAGCTGCACGATCGACAGGCTTACAAAACTGAAAATGGATCGCTTGCGGGTAACGACAATTTTAGAAACCTAGGGTGACATGAGAGGTGCCTGTGGACTGAAATGTCAGTGTTCAATACATGGCCCAATCTACCCAGACACAGATCCGCCAGCTGAAAACCCATAAGCTACACAGCTAAGAGCTACCATTTGCTTCTCCAAAAGCCTAATTCTGCAACTGCTTCCCCTTCTTCATCGTGTGCTGTGGCTACACGGGAATACGCAGAACTTTTCGGTGGTAGTTTGCACCTGCAGTTACATCCATGTATATATCACTCGCTAAAGATTGACTGTTTGATCAAGATACTTCTACACTCCATACTTTTCGGACAAGACCTAGCTCTACATTACGAGCATCCAGGGGTTGTGTCCGCGCAGTGTAGGGAGCGAAGCTACATTTGTGTACTTTTCTGTGGGTGGCTACTTTACACACATATAATATCTCCTGCACTAGTTCTATTCAACAAAGAATCAGTACGTAACTAACTGCAACGTTTTCCCGTTAGCATATACTATTTAGTGCGAAGTAGTGTTGAACCAATACTAGAAGACCATATGGTGTGTGAGCGTGCAGTAGATGCTATACGCGTCAAAACGCGGATAGTCGGAGCACTCCTAGGATGCAGCTACGTTCACAATAGCTGTCCCTTCCTCTCACATCAAGCGCTCTGAGGGGCACGAGCAACGGGCTGCAGCAACTTTCTGAAGAATACACAGGAGCATTCTACCAAGTTTAGTATTGGTCGTCGCGCTGGAAATTCCTCCCTGCGGAAACCCTAACTCGAGTGTTACAGTGTGCAACCGGGTGTGGGTGAATGCTTGGAAACTGCATATAGACAGAACAAAAGCTACCATGCACCCCAGCAACGCCCTTGTATTGGGTATGCGCATTTGGAGCGCTAAACTCGGGCTCTACGTTGATGCATTCGGTCAATTTGCACTACTAGTCTCGGGAACGCTAGAAATCAAACAAAGTTATCGTTGCTACTTCAAGGCCATAAGGTTATATCTCGTTTGAAGCATGGATCTTCTAAGGCTGAGCAGCAGCTGATAGAAATGCCTTGTACGAAGTGCTGCCAAGGCTGTAATGCTCAATAACTTATATTGAGTACCTTGCAGCTTCCTTGCTTCTTCGTCCCATGCCAAGCTTGAATTACTTAAAAAAACCTGAAGTTTTCTTAGGGCAGACTTATCTCTACGCAGTGTAGTCTGCTGCTGTAGAATACCATGAGCTAGCCGAATGATCACCCGCTGAAGAAAAGGAAAAGGAACACAGTAGTACTGCCAGGATTTGGCTCGCGCACAGTTCGTGACACAGGATACACTCGCGTTACCTATTTGCGTGTGGATAAACGAAGGCTATTATATGCTTTTTAAAATAGTAATACGCGGTGAACACTGTAGCCTCGAAGCACTGGCCAGAGATCTAATACCAAAACCCTTGGAATCATCCATGTACATAGTGGAGCATCGGCTAGGTCGTTAAAACTTGGAAAAGGGGCATTTGAGTTCGGGCGGATTTTCAGTGCAGTGTTCCTTCAGTTGTCTTCAATCGAACTTCTTTCTCCCACTGAGTCTTCGGGGTGTATTGCCCTGTAATCACTACTTGAATCGCATAAATTTAGTATTTGAATATGAGTGTAGCTAGAAACGATGTCCTACTTTCGGGCTGCCGGCTGCGTCAAGCAGTGTTAGGGCAACAAAGCCAAAGAGCTTTCTCAGTAGCGACATGATCTTTGCATATTTGGGAAGCTACACTACAGCGCTGCCTATTGTGTGTGATTAATAAGTCCGCTCCCACGTCTCCTGATTCTCCTCCCACCGTTGTTTGGACACTGTCTAGGCAGTCCAGAGCTGCCTAGGCATGCAAGGCCCTTCGAATTCCTTTTGAGCCGGCCTCCCGGGGGCCCTTTTTGCGCGCCTCAGCTTTTGATGGTTCCTTCCTACAAAAGGAGAGGAATAAACGGTTGAGTAGTTCCAGCCAAGACTACTCTTGCCTTGCAAAGGCATCACGCAAACCTCGAGTCACCGCTTTCTTCTAATTCGGACAGCTGACCCAGGCTCCTAGTGAAGGTACTGCAAGAGCGTGCAGAGATCTTCGCGCGTACCAATCCGGACTCGACTATCGCACACAGTCAACACGTACTAGCTATTAAAAAAGAGTTTGGCGGAAACCCCCCGCATATGGAGGCGATAGCCGAGTGAGGCTGCAGAAAAATTGCTGCACTAAGATATGTGTATGTTTAACCGGAGGAGAGCAGTGCCTATCTTCATTTGTCGCTAGGTTAGCACAGGTCTTAAGGGACCTTCCACACTTTGCGGCACTCTATCTGCAGATCCTATAGGGAGCAAAACTTAGCCGTCGTCCGGTGTATCGGTATTTGGTGACGCCATTTGCTAGTTTGTATTTATGGCTGCTCAGTGAAAGGCCTTACGTTGTTAAGGCTAAGTTTAGTAAGAAATGGTGTTCCACGCATCTCGGCTCAGTGTCTTGGTGTAAAGTGATGCGTTTTCACCTAGTTAAAAGCGTAATCCTGTAACAGCGTGGATGGTAAAGAATTGCCACTTCGCTTAGGGCAACTCTAAGCTTTATCTTGGAATTAGCGAGCTCGGGTGGCATTGGGCTTGTGCCCGAGGCCAGCCGACTTCACTGTTACCTTGGCAGAGGGGCGTCCAGAGGAACTGCCTGTAGCTTCGATGCGCTTTAGTACCTCCAAAGAGTCCTCCGTGATATTGCCGAACACCACGTGACGGCCATCCAGCCATGAAGTCTTCACAGTAGTAACGAAGAACTGTGAGCTGTTGGTGTCCGGGCCTGAAGCAGCAGCACCAGAAGAAACCAGAACCACAACGATCACACGGAAAGTATGCGTCAGGCAGCTTAGTTGCATCACTCCTGCTTTTATTAATGGCACTAACCGCCATTGCGTTGGGGGCTACTCTTCCCACTTAGACCATGGCGATGAAGCAGCGAGCTGCCTCCAAAACATATATATTGGCTAGTGCTTCCAACTGCAGATTTCCCCGTGATTAAATGCCCAATGATAACGCGATCCCGAAAAATGTGTAGAGAAATACTAGAAGAATAGCTTTGACCGGGTTGAAAACAACGGCAGATCGCGTTCTGTCCGCACCAGCGTTTGCCATGGAGAGAACGCCCGGGCCCACGTGTTTCAGTATGAAATTTTCATCTTTGAATGACGGCACGTCAGAAATGTCTGCATCTGGCAGACTATTTTTCGTAACGTCGCCACCCTAGAAAAACAGCGTGGGAATGCGCAGCAATACGATATGAGGCACATGGGCCATCAAACAGTCAGAGTTGGTAAATCTCAAGAATCGGGTAGAGTGAAAGGGCAATAAACTTACTTGAACCATAAAATCTGGAATTATTCTGTGGAAATATGTCCCAGCGTACCGAGGAAGTAAATCTGAAGCCAAACGCGCACACGCCACGCACTCTATGTGGGAAGCTACAGAATTCTGCATGCTGTAGTCAGAAGCTAGTGCATGCTCAGGACATGAGACACACACAAGTTTGAAGCCCTCTATTCGTGCAAATACATAAACATTGGCTGAGATACGCAACAGTTCACACGGCAAAACGGGTCAAAGACGAACCAGGGGTGCAGAAAACAGGAAAAAGCTTAATAGAGTAGCAAAATAAGGTTAACACACAAACAGGCAAGCAGGGATGTATGCAAGCGGTTGTTGTAAGAGGCCGCACCGACAAAGTTTTTGACAGTTTTGGGGACTACGTCGGGCCGCAGCTGAAAATTCAGGAAACCGATGCTGCTCCCGTCGATGTCTATCTCGAAGTGTGCTGCCTGGCAAATTCAAATGCAAAGCGCACACTCGTAAAGCGGATTTGTTGAAATACATACATAGGTGCTCCCAAAATGGCAGCATTTGTTCCCAACTAGATAAATGTTGGCCGGAGCGCTTTGTAGGAACTAAAGGCGGTCTTGGGCTAAATACAGTAGCAGATACAAAAAGACGGTGGAAGTGAGACAGACTGGCTTACATTCGGAATCTCTGCTGAGGCTTTAAGGGAAGCCTGCAGGGCTAAAAGGACGACAAGCAGCAGGGGCTGCAAAAAAAAGAAAGCACCGTGAAAACAACAGGCGAAGGGAGAAATGAGGAAGCATCTCAGGAAACGCTATGGAGAGGCATGTTGATTACATGCAAAAGCGATGAACAAGACAAACCTTTACTGTGCTACCCGTCTTGTAAATGAAGCCTAAACGGGAGACGTTCGGATGTTTGCGGGCTGAACTAGGGGGTCTCATCCGACCATCGGGAGAAAAGTGCGATACCCGATGCAGAGAGTGGTTTTAAGCGGCATGCAATTGCAAATACTAGGATTATCTCGAGAGAAAGATGTCTCATTGGACATGCAAGACAGCTTTGGAGGGAGGAGGCAGCCCTGGAGGGTGGGGGAGAAATTACGAAGCTTACGGCGGTTTTGTTCATCTTGACGCGATTATTTGAGGGGCACAAAATCAAAGTTTTGAAAAGGAAAATAAAATGAAGATTGCCACACAAGCGAAAGCAGCAGCGGCAGCAGTTCGCATCGCACTGGCAACGCGATCCGAGTCGGCGTTATTCGGTAGACACTGGCGTTACCACCGCTAGTACGCCTTGGGGGAGACGCGGGGAAGAGTAGCGCATGCACTCACACCTTGAAAAACTATAACAATTTTCAGGTAGTAATTGCGAGTTTAACAGCTCTAAAAGGTGGCAAGCGCTTGTTTCCCCATTTTTCTAGCGTGCTAGGCGCCAGTGTCGGTCTGGGCGGAGGGTGCAGTCGACTGGCGCAGGCTTAGTTGTGTGTTTCTCGCTTATCATGCAAGCTTCCTTCGTGCCCGAAACGCGGAGAAAAATCAAAGACGTGTATGTGTCTAAGGACTGTGGCAGAAGAGCAGGCTATACACTGCAACACGTAGTTGAAGGGGTCTGCGTGTCGTCGCCATGCCCATCATCAGCCCCATGCCGCGGTATCCTGACAGAACTCTTGTGTAGTTTTGAGATCAATGTTCAGGATTCAGTCATTAACCTTGCTCTGCTTCAGCTAGACAGTCTTCTTCATTCCACAGGTAAGCATCTGTAGTCTCTCTGCCTGTGCTGCCGCTAACCTGCGTGGCCTAAAGATAGGGCAATGAGACCGAAGGGAGGCACTAGCCACAACCCGCCCTGTCCGGAAGCACTTCCCACGTAGCTGGACTGGATGAGACGCAGGGGACGTTCCGCTGTCGTGCAGCCGGCACAGCAGGAAGTCGTGTATTGGTCACAGCTCCTGCACCTTCGGCAGCAACAGGTATTTCAAGGGCAGCAGAGACACTGCCAACGGTGAAAACAACCGACGCAGCGGCAGGAGAAAGAGCAGCAGCATGCTGTTTCGGTCTGGCTTCCGCCACGGAGCAGCGATTCAAGCTGCCGGGTTGCTCCTGGCGCTCTTGGTGCTGCTACCTCTACTGCCCGTTGCTGTGCTGCTGCTGACTCGGGAGCAGCGGCAGCTCAGCGAGCAGCAGCAGCAGCAGCATCACCACCCAGTGGATCTGGCCGCAGCAGGCATACGGCCCCTGGAGGTCCCCCTGTCGCTACACCCCAAGCAGCACCAGCAGCACGATGGAGCAGCAGATTCAGACGCCATTCCCACCTTCTTGCTGGGGCAGCAAATGCAGGAAGAGCATCGAGAGCTGCATCAGCCTGGCACGCAGCAAGAACCACCGCAGGAGCAGGCTTTTGGTTACCCGATGTGGCAGCTCTTGATGCGAGAGCTCCCCGTCATCGAAAGCCACCACACAACACACCAGCATCCCACAGGCCTCTTGCCGCATGCCCTTGTGACAGCATCCCCTGCAGATTCTCTTATTCCCAGCCCAGCCGCTAGCGGCAGAACCGCGAACGCCTCCACGGCTGCCGCTGCGCTAACGGCGCCTTTGATCCCCTTTGAATATCCAAGAGGCGTAATGCCCCTTCCCCAAGCAGCTGTCTCTCCTGTCGCTTCGTCTGTAGCTCCAGTTGTTGCTGTAGCCGAAGCGGCAGCCGCTGGAGCCGCTGCAACAACTGCTGACACCACGACTGCACTTGAAGAAAACTCACGAAGCTTCGTGCAGCAACAGCTGCAGCAGCTGCTCCCACGCCCCTCCTGGTCAGAAGCCGGAGGGTTACCTCTTCATTCGCTAGCAGCTGGAGGCTCTCCTTCTTCTTCTCAGCAGCAGCAGCAGCAGCAGCAGCAGCAGCTGTACGTCCATCCCGCAGGAGCGGCCCCCGCTCCAATTGTGCTGTCAACTTTCGGCAACGCGGCAGTCCCGTCGACGCAGCAGCAGCAGCAACAGCAGCAGCAGCAACAGCAGCAGCAGCAACAGCAGCAGCAGCAGCAGCAGCAGCAGCAACAGCAGCAAATGCCTCTTTCGCTGCTTTCTGGGGCTTCCAGTACACCGGGGCTGCTGGCGTCTCAGCAGCAGCCAGCAGCTGCTGCTGCACCCGCCATTACTGTAGACAACAAGTCGCAACATGTTGGCAACAATCACGCTGCTGCAAGTGCATTGCAGACGCCAGTACGGCAGCATTTGCAGCAGCAGCAGCCACTGTCTACCACTGGAGAGCTCCACGAGGATGCCTCCGTTGCGGCAGCCTCCGCTATTGCCTTGGAGCCGACTCGCATCCGTGACTTCGCCGCTGCCTCAACAGGACAGGCTGTAGCCGAGATCCCCTCCATTGATCGCACTTTCCTTCCGCCTTTCCGCGAGAAGATGCACACGCAGGTGGATCGAGAGGCTCCTGTGGTTGCAGAAACTGCGGGGGCGACTTCGAGTGCAGACGCGGAAGACACCAGCGCTGGTGCTGCTGCAAGACTGGAGAGCTGGCAGGAAGCAGCGGCAGGCACAGCATCGCGGAAGGCGTGGGAAGCCTTTGCTTTCTTAGGGTCTTCTGAAGGGAATGTGAGGAAAGAGAGGGGGAAAGACGAGAGTGTGGCTGAAGCGGCAGCCGAGGCAACCGAGTATCGGAGGCGTGTGCGTGGCGAAGAAAAGGAAGCCGTTGGATTCGAAAGGGAGGCACACGAAATGCACACGTCTTCTTCTTCCAAAGAGGCTGAGGTAGCCGCGGCAGACAGCAGCGCCGATCCGGCTGTTTCAAGGCCTCTTGCAGATGCTAGCTCAGCAGCACTGACGCAAAGGACGCTGCCAGAAGGTAGGGATCGAGAAGAGGTGGGGAGAGACACGGAGGAGGAGGCAGAGGCGAGCTTTCAGGGAGCCGAGGCTTCTCTCGTCGGAACTGACGAGGAGCACTCTGTTCGGCATTCCGCAGATGGCCGTGTTGAAGGCAGTGGAGAAGAACGTGCAAGCAGCCGCGGCAACAGCACAAGCAGACGCCATCCCTCGCTGCAGCAGCCACACGTGGGAACGCAAGGCGCTTCAAGCGGTGCCGCTGTAAAAGCTGCTTCAAAAGAAAACAGCCTTTCCGCTGCCGATACTCCTGAAGAAAAACAGCAGCAGCAGCAGGCGACGCGGCAGGCAGGGGCAAGCGCAGAGAGAATCCACAGAGAGGCGACCTCTGCTGCTGCTGCATATGCCTCTCCCGTAGTGGCTCCCGTTGTTGCTGCCCCCATCGTTAAGGCCTCTGCTGCCGCTGCTGCGTTTTCACCTCCAGACATCTCTGGAGCTGTTGCTGCTCCCCTCTCTGCTGCTGCTGATACCTTTCCTGCCAGTCGTGCCGAGACACCCGTGCTGCTGATCCCACAGCCGTCACTGCAGGAGCGGCCGCAAAAGGCCCTTTCTCTCCTGACTCCAGAGGAACTCATCAAGCAGCAGCAACTCCAACTTCAGCAGCAGCAGGCAATGGTGCAGCATCTGCAGCAGCAGGTGGCGCTGCAACAAGACCTCCTGCTGAGGGCTCAGGAGCAGCAACTGCAGCACAGTCAGCAGCAGCAGCGGATGCAGCAGCACCAACAGCAGCTCCTTAATATGCAGCTGTCTCATGTAAACGAAAAACAGCAGGTTCATGGTGCGCTTCTGCAGCACCATCTACAGCAGCTGCAGAGGGAACTGTTGCAGCGCCAGCAGCAGGGGCAGCAGCAAATGCAGTAAAAATCATAAGAGGCTTTTGTAGCTGCCTCCGCCTATGCGGCTGCTGTAGCATCAGGTACAGCCTCTGCTGCCTATAAAATAGGGAGAGTAAGGTAATGCAGTAGGTAAGCAGCAGCTGCTGAAGCTCTGCAGGCTCTGGCTGCTGCTGCTACTGCTTTTCTTGAGCCTAACCAGCTCAGTGGCTTCATTAAGCAGTGCCCTTCAGGCCCTCTTCAGGGAAGCCTTTGGTCGCAATTCTTTCTTGTGCTCAATAGGAGCAAGGGCGATTCTCCTTGTTACTGCCGTTGCAGCTTCTGGTGCTGCCGTTGCTGCTGCTGCAGCGGTCCCTGAGGCAGCAGCAGTAGAAACCCCACATATGCGAGGCGAATCCTACAAGGGCTATAGGCTTTCGCGGGAGTAGAGAGGTAGTATTCTTGCTAGCTATGCAACAGCAGCCGCATGAAGGCTGCAAGGCCAGGCCAGTCGCCACAGCACCAGCGATACGACCACCTTTGGCAGCAATGCTCTGAGCAGAATCGGCAGGCGTATGCCCTGTTCTAAGAGGAGCTTGGGCTCGACTGTACACGCGGCCGAACTTGCAGGCTTACAGAATAGACCCCTTATGCTCTAGATGCACTACTACAGCACTATACCAATTCCTAGAAAGTCCCACGTAGAGGCACATACACCCCAAGAAACGGATCTTTTCGGAGAGCAGGCAGATGGAGGTACGATGGCTGTTGTCAGTCGGCTTGCTGCCTCTGCGTGGCAAGCCCAGAAAACAAGCATGCTGAAGGCCTTTCTGGTGCTCTAAGCTACAAAATGCAGGATAATACCCTGTTGCCTGGGAGCTGTCGACTTGCAAAGTTTCGTAGCCATTTCCTACTTATGGGTACTCACCTCCCTGCCCCCACGGCTTAGAGCCAGTGTATATTTCTCGGGAGTTCTACGCAGAGACTGCTGCAGGAGCCCCTGCTTGCGATTGTGTGCCCCTTTCTTGTGGCGTTCATGGGTTTCTTGTTCAAGGCCTGCAAAAGGTGCCCTGCCGCTAATTTGCTAGAACCTTGTCCTGGTTCAACCTATTCGGTGTCTGCCTTTTTCTTGTGCTTGAGCTGTATCGCTGCAACTGCCCCCTATGCGCCTCACAGACTTTCCCTTTCTTACTGCCCTTCCACCCAAAAACAGAAATATGCTCCTGATAAACCCCCTTCTGTTTTTACTCTACGCCGTGCGCCACGTTTCGAGCAGTAGCAAGAAAGCAGCGACGCAGCCTCACGGAGGCCCTTCTGCGTGGAGAAATTATTGGGCCCAGGTCTCTCCCACTGAGCTTTTTTTCGATGTTTTTATCGGCTAATTAGGCCGTATTCATTTGGGACTGAATAGTAGTCTGCCAACGAGCTCTCATGAAGCCGCATCAACCCCTGTATCTACCCCTACATCTACCCCTCTTTAAGGCCAGCGGCGAGGAGGCCACCAGGCCTCCCCGTCTGGAGCACATCAGATGTGCGTCTGGCAGTGCCTTTACCACTGGCACCCACAGACCTCCGCGAAGACCTGCGCATGCAGCTTCTGCTAGCGCTGCTGCTTTTGTTGCTGTCTGTTGAGGCACCGCGAGGAATATATTGAAGAAGCACTTGCAAGCGGCGATGCGCCAGGAGCAAGTCTGACGGTGTGAATACACAAGCGGCCATTACTGCACAGACAGCCGAGCCAAGGAGCTCAAGGAATGTGAAGACGTATACGCGCCGGGCCGCTACTGTAGCGAGGGCTGCTTCTGTTGCTGCTTCTGCACCCGAAGCAGTGGTGATATGCGACAGAGGCTGCAAGACCTCCGCTACGAGTTCCAACAGCTGAATGAAAAATACGAGTGCCTTCAAACAGCTGAACTTCCATCCTGGAGGGCAGCAACAGCTATCCACACGCATGCTAGCTCAAACCCGTGCCCCAAAGCCTCAGCAACAACAGGAGCAGCAGCATCAGCAGCAACAACGAGCGCAGGCAGGCAGAGCAAGAGATATATGTATAGAGAGATAGATAGATAGAGATAGATAGATTTATATATAAATATATAGATAGATAGATAGATAGATAGAGAGATAGGTAGATAGATAGATACATAGATACGTAGAGAGATAGATATATAAATATATAGATAGATAGATAGATAGAGAGATAGAGAGATACATAGATACATAGATACGTAGATAGATAGATAGATAGATAGAGATAGATAGAGAGAGAGAGAGACCAACGAGGATTGGGGGGGAAGTCCTGCAAAGCAGCGTGCATACACCCCAAGCCTCGCGCTGCATTTCCTGAAAGTGCCCTGAGCGGACCGATTTTGAAGGGTTTGAGAAGAGGCCTTGTAGCGATAAAGACAACCGCGAGGCCCCACATTGCAAGGACCAAAGAGAGGAAGCAGAATAGTTGCAGAAGCCGCTGAAGCACGTGTTGCTCTCCCCCGCCTCCTTCGGCAGGATCAGCAGCCGCATCCTTGCTGTTGTTGTCGTTCCCAAGGTGCATCAGCATCGGTAACATGTAGCATAGCAGAACTCGCAGCAGCTTTAGTAGGGTGAAGGGGACCAGGCAGTAATAGCTCATTCGTAAATCCCACTGAGCGAAAGGCACATTATGAGCACACATACGAGACGAGGGCGCCCCTTTAAACTCAAGGCTCGAATATAAAGTACAAGGTACAGGATTTATGTAGCCCATAATGTGGGGAGCGGCGAGCAGACCACTCTGCGCGGAGCACCTCCCCAGTAGGCGTATGTTTTCGGGCATGGTAGAGGAGAAGCATCTTTCTTGCATCGAATAGCCGCTCTCATCTGCAGAGAAAGCGCTGTCGAGGGGCCGCCATCGATTTACCACACCGTGTGTGAAAGACGTACAGCCGAAAAGGATCTAGGCTTTGTATGCCACGCGAAGCAGCAAAGCGGAGGAACGAACCAGATCCTCCACGTCTTCTCTGCCGCAGCCCACTTGCAGGCCTCTTCATCATGAGCCACCCCTGAACTCCTAGCTGCCAAAGCAGTGGCAGCCGCGCATGCATCAAGCGACTTCAAGGCCAGAGCGTTCCTTGTCTGCCTCCTCAGCTGCAGAAGGAGAGGCGCACCGCTCGGCTGCTCTCCCGCCGTCAGAAGGGGTGCAGAGGCTCCCTGCGCTGCAAGCGAGCTGCTACAGGTGCTGCATGTCATCACGGCCATGCCTTGTTCTCCTCCCTCAGCGCTGCCAACTCCTCGAAAAAGCGGCTGTGGCAGCCGCTGTCCATACACGTCGACCCCCGAAGACGTCGTTAAAGGGTACTCAAAAAGCGCGCCTTCAAGAGGCGCGTTGCTGCAGCCTTCACCTTCAGCAGCAACAGATGAAATGCCTCGTGTAGCAGACTCCGTGGGAGGCTTCGTCCCTACGGCTTCCAACGCTCCCGCAACAGTCCTTGCCAAAGGGCGTAGCGGCTGCTGTGGCTCTGGCAGGCCACTGCTAGACGGTTCAGCGGCAGCAACAACTGCAGAAGCAGGTGCTGAGACAAGGGTTTGTTGGAGAGGGGAGACTCCCACCAGTGGCGGCTGTTGCCATGCGTTTTGAGGAACAGACTCAGCAGCTGCTTCGACGCCCCCTTGAGCCTCTAGAAGGCCCCTAAGACCACCCTCGAAAGTTTCTTTGGAGCCCTCCCCCCGCACGAGACGGTGCATGTGCAGCTTTTCTCTGCATCGGCGCCAGAGCGACAGCTGTTTTGGTTTTGGCGTATCCGCATTGTTGGCACTCCTGCTGTTTCTGCTGCTGCTGTAGCCCCTTTGGCAGCAGCAGCTGCTGCTGCCACGACTGCCTCCCCCTGTAGCGGTCCTGCCGTCTGGACAGCAAGAGCAGCCGCAGGCGCAGCAGCAAGAGCCAGCTGCTCCCGCGCAACAAAACGCACAGCAGCACTTCCTGTTGGTGCTGTCGCTGATTCTCTTCATTATGAGCCGCCTCCTCCACCTGCTGCGACGCAGAGGAGCAGCAGCCGCTGTTGAGTCGCAACAGGGGGGCATGCCGTTCTTCTGAGGGGCCTCCTGTGACACTGAGGGGTCCACTGACACCCCTTCCACCCCGTCCAAGTCTGCCCGAGTGCCTTTAGCAGCGTCCCCTCCACACGCTTCTGCTGCTGCGGCTGTTGCGCTTGGGGGTGTGACGAGGGCAGGGAGGCCGCTTCTGCCAGCCTCTGCTGCAAGGCGTTGAGCAGCCGTGCCTGGACCTGAACAGGAGGCGAGGGCGTCTCCAGCGGCTTGCTTCCATGCAGCGGGAGCAGAATGAACAGCGCTGGGGCGTTGGTCAGAAGAAGAGGAGGTTTTAGCAGCCTCTGCTGTCAGGGGAGCAGCAGCACAAGCAACGCCTTCTGATCCGACTGCCAGAGTTAAGGCTGCCGATGACTTTGCACCTTCGTGTAGGAGGAGGTCTGGGGCAGACAGACCACGACGCCAGACTTTTGTCGAGCCGAATCTTCCTCTTGAGAGTCTGCTACTGCTGCTGTTATGCCTAGCAGTGGTGCTGTTGATGGTCGTGTTGGTGCTGTTGATGGTGGCAGCGATGCTGCTGCTCCGGCACGAGAGACAAGGCTTGGCAGCCGTCACCTGCGTGCCTCCTGCCTGCACTGCTGTCTTGTCTCTTGTCTGCTGGGGAGAAGGAAGAGGATTCTGTGTTTGAGCTGAAGATATCTTCTCAGCGCCTCGCAGCTCAGGAGTGTCCGCACAAGAAGCCGCCTCCTCGGCATCCTTCATAGCTCTATCGATTTCCTCCTGGGAGGGCAGTCTGTGCTGCTGCTCCAGGAGGCGCAGCGTGCAGTCGGGTCCCCCAAGCAAGTGCAGCATGAGCAGCATGAAACAGTGCAGACAGCACACTTCCCAGGCGGAGCGCAGTTGAGAGAGCAGCAGGCCCCCACGAGGTTCCAAGAGGGAGAGCCTGAAGAAAAATGCCGCGCAGAGGCAGCCACCGAGAAGGCACGTCTACGCGGTGTCGTAAGGGCAGCATCGAAACGACCTGGGAAGAAGAGGAGCTGCAGAGGAGAAGACAAAGGAGGAAGAGGACGAAGAAAAGGAGCCGGGATCGAGGTGCTAAGAAGGCAGCAAAGCACAGGGCCTCTCGGTCCCTTCAAGTTTCCCGTTTTGCGGTGTCGCCGTCACCAGGGCTGCAGCGTCTGCTGCTACTCACCACGCAATAATCCCGGAGAGCGGGAAGAAGGAGAAGACAAGACTCATGTGGATTGCAGCGGGAGGACTGAAGCAACGGCCCTGTAGCTGTCGCAGTTCAGCTGCTGCCGCTGAGAAGCGGCGCTGATGCAATGCCCACAGCAGCACGAGCAGCAAGCAGAGGACAGTGGAGGTAGCCCTAAGGGGGAATGTCGCACATAGCATCACAAAAGGCTGAGCGACGGCATGAAGGAAGGGGGGAAGGAAGAAAGGAGGGAGGAAAGATGAGAGTTGCGCGGTCTGTGCAGTCTGCGACTGGGCTCAGGGCCTTATCCTTCTCTCCCCCGCCTCCCTCTATGTTGTTGTGGGCATGTTGCTTTCGGCTCTTTCCCCTCTGCCTGTTTGCCGCCACTGCTGCCGTCTAGAGAGAGCCTACCAGATCCAGGACGGCACTTGAGCGACAGGTATGGGGTTAGAGACATTCACATTGCCGTAGAAGGAAAGTGGTTCCTGTATTCCTAAGGAGGAAGGAGGGGCCCCTCCTTTGGTCGTCTCCGCTGTCGTTTCTAGAGAAGCCTCCCGTGGCGGAGGAAATGGCTGGGAGCCAATTTCAGAAAGATGCTCCTGCCCCCTGGGAGGCCCCTGTTCTGCATGCCAGACCCCGTCTGCTGACGTCGTAGCAGCGGCGTATCCTGCAGCGACTCCCTTGAGGAACCCAGATTCGCCAGCCTCCGCCTCATCGTCGTGAAAGTTTGAATGTGCATGCCAGGGGGGAAATTCCAGCGCTCCAGGCGAAGGCCAAGCATCAGCGCGCAGGTGTTCAGAGTATCCAACAAAGAAATTGCAGAGGAGTAGGGGGGCGAGGGCCTTCAGGAATGGCCTTATTCGATGGATCCCCATTAGGGGGGAGGTGTTCAACGACGCACCTTGGAAAACCTCTCTGAAGGAAACTGAAGAGTTCGAGGGATGGACACCCTTTGAGGAAGGCGTAGACAGAGAGTGAGTGAGAGGGAGAATGCGAGCGCGAGAGAGTGAGAGGGAGAATACGAGCGCGAGAGAGTGAGAGGGAGTGAGAGAGAGGGAGTGAGAGGGAGTGAGAGAGAGGGAGTGAGGGAGAGAGTGAGAGAGAGAGAGTCTAATGAGGTCTAGGGAAGAGACGGGGAAGGAGGCGATCGTGGCCGCGATGCATCACAAGCAAAAGAGACTTGAGCCTTACGTCGACTCTCTTTGGGGGCTAAGAGCGCAGAGGTGGTGGTAGGATAGCGCTGAAGGGCAGTCGTATTCCCCAACTCTCGCTTGCAGAGGGCTGGTCGAATTCCACTGAGCCTACGGTCCAAGCGGGTGTTCTGAGCCGTTCCATTCCGGATCGAAGCAAGAAAAAGGTGATTATATGCCTTTGAAGGGAATGGGGGCAAAATGTCACACCTTACTGAAGTGGCAACTCACGCAGATGTGCAGCCTTGGGGAGTTAGGGAGGCTTAAGTGTCTGCCAGGGCGGCAGGAGAGGGAAGCGAAGGTTTTCTGGCAAGCGAACTATGCAGAAGAGGGCCTATGAGGCCTTCCTTAGCCGAGCTGGAGGGTTCTCGCCAACCATAGAGAGTCGGCAGCTTAAAGGGCCTGAGACGTGAGTCGCTTTGCGCGTGGGTTGGTGAGAGGCTTCTGTATAGGAAGTGCGGTGCAGATACTCGGCCTACATGCCTGTGAACATTAGAAGATCAAGGAAGACACACCAACAAGGAGGGCTTGTAGGGTCTTTTAGGGGTGTTCAGCGACACACAGAGCTGCTTTGTCGGTTGCGGGCAACACATGAAAAAAACAGCCTCACAGGACGAATTTCTCCACGATCAGCATTGAAATTGCGTTATAAGTGCATGAGAGTTGTGTTTCAGACGTACAAACCGCAGCAAGCGCGCAACTGCTGCTGCGGCGACATCACGCAACGACAACAACCAGCTGAGCGGCAGCGTGCCTAAGGCGCATAGTAGAGGGTTGACGCAGTGTCACCCATATGAAATGCGTTCACAGGGCTACATTCATTAACTTGCATCAGGAAAAAGTAAAATATGTTAAGGATTCTTTTCTGTGCTCGCATTTTGTTGCCACCGCCTGCTCTACCTTGTGACTTCACCCACTTGCATTCTGCCCGCTACCAGACCTTTAGATACAAACCTATGGTCGGGAATCTACGGAGTGATCTGGACACACTTCGCAACCTTCTGTTAAGCCTTAAGATGGCACAAGTCGTTCGCTGCGCATCCTTCTCATACAGAGAAGTAGGTGTGACTGTTGGCCGCAACAATAAAGCGGAGTGCATAAAGTTTATTCGGCCAAGTGAGGACGGGCTACAGATTTGTGCTTTTGTTAGAAACTTGTGCAGTCTTCCGCATAACATGTGATCTCATATTATGGTTACCATTAACATCAAATTTTGAACGTCAGCATTCTAGATATCCCAATGTACGACTCCATTTATGGAGAGAACCAGAGCTGCGATCCCCATATAGGCGACATAAGTGTCAGCATGCCCTCCAGCAATATCCCACGTATAGCGGCTTATGCAAACAGTCTGGCAGTGTCTTCCGAATCCATTAATTATTTTAGTAGGAATTTTATAGAGAATCAAATAAGTTTGGCTTTCCCTATGTCGTGCTTTTTCCCGTTTATCGTTAGCTGAGCTAAGAAGACGCAATCTTGCGTGGGTATGCGCTAGATGCCAAATCTAAATTGCTGTGGAATCCCGGACTGATCGGAGGGTGCAGCAGCGCGCGCCCCAGCTGGCCTTCTCCCTTGTTGCCAGCACTCTCAATATCAGGGCAAGGGAAGGAGGGTTCTCGTTCCGAAAACAGTTAATGATTGTAACGATTAGTGTTACGTCTGCAGAGGGTCGCATCTAACTTCAGACTCAGTAAAAACTTCACAGGAAGCTATTGAACGTATTTCGAAAGAACTCCCTCTTTTCCTTGTAAGCGGCCCTCTTGCATTTCGACATGCGGGGAAGGGGACTGCGGGGGTGCTTGTCGCTTCACACTTCAAGTACTCTGTGTGTTCACTGCCAGCTCCACATGCATAGAGTATAGGCGATAGAAGTGTAAGCATGCCCTTCTGAATTATCCCATGTGTAGCGGGCTATGTGGCAACCAGGAAGTTTCTTATCCACTACTTTTTGTGAAGAATTTCATAGAGAAGTACACAATCAGTTTTGGTTTGGTAGATGAAGCGTTACATTTGGTAGCATTACGTGGCTCAATGCAACTTTTCTTTCACATCCATTGTCTGTGGATGCAGTGATATGTCGGTCATCCTGCAAAAGTTGTATGCTTTCGATGTACCTATTCAATCATTCGAAATGTTGATTGTCCGTAAAAATGCTTAGAGAGCAAAAGTCTTCTGGCATTGGAAGTGAATGGTGGAACAGTGCCTGTTGAGGCGCTGGAGGCCTGCCTGCAGGCTGGAGAAACGCAGTAGGTCGTCAGCTGGTAGAAATGCTTGATTTGCCAATTCAAAAATGCCTGCTGATGCACCGATGAGCTAACGCCAATCAGGAAAGTATGACGGCAGTAAGTTTAGAAAAGAACTCAAATATTTAATGTGTCGGTTGGAGGTGTGATTCGCTGTGAACCGCCAGAAGAAGAAAAACACGAGCCCCCTGCGGCATGGTTATGCGAGCGCAAAGCACTCCAGAGGCGGCTATATCCACGAAGAGGAACTCGTCTGCCTGCAGGAGTTACTAGATTTCAATCCTTCATAAACATCCATACACATCGGCCGGTGGCCAAAGCAGTTCAGCAGAAGGTGGAAAAGAAGTGGAAAGGTTTCAGCAGGGGAATCTCTGAAATACTCTGGCATTTTAGGAAATAACAGGCTTTGGTTCGTGAAAGCCACGACGTACATTAAGAGCCGCTATATGGGTGGTTTATTGTGGGTGCACCTAAAGTGTCACGTCAGGTGGCCTCAGGATGGGCAGTGAGTCAGCGAACAAACAACTGACCATTGGAGTAATCACAATTGGTGAACTACTAGGCGTCAGAAGCAAGTGAGCACAAGCTTTGCGTCTTTGGACATGAGGAAGAACCAAATTTGTACTCAAAGACTATGGATATAGGGCCTGTGTCAACTGACCCTAACCTACCGTCAAATGCCAGTGAGCAAAGAAAGTCAGAAGCAACCATGCTCCCCCGCAGCCCCAGAAAGGTCCCCGACAACGGACCTGCTTATGCTGTAAGCGGTTGTGTCATAAAGTCCGGACCTGGGAGCGCGTGCAAATGACCTAAGGGCTTAAACAATGGAACTAATTTTAGCGGCAGCAGGCTGCTTGGCGAGCACAGAAGGCTCATCACGGCAACGGAAAAGACCCCAGCAGGATGCGGCGCAGTGAAAGGGGCTATACAGGGTGAAGCTGCCGCTGGGGACCTACTACAGGCCAAATACACCCTGATATAAATAAACTTTGAGTGCCGAGAAAATGCTGACGTTTCTTAAAATCGAATGTAAAGTGGATCTTGTATCCGAGGAGATGGCGCAAAAGTTCAACATGCTTGTCCACTCTTTAGCGGTCCCAAGAGCTCCGGATCGATGGAGAGCGCGATACCGCGAGTATTCACAAGGGTACGGTAGTGAGACACTACTTCAACTCGTAGTTGGATCCTATACGCATGGTCGTGCGTTCTCTGTTGTATTCCTTCACAAGTATGTGAACTTTGGTATCCCATGGATGTCCCGGTGGAAACAGACACAGCACCTGCGCTCTAGAATTTAGTGTGCAAGGAGGTGTATGGAGGGCGCAGCTCCTGGTCTTCCCCAAAGCATCCATATCTTCCGCGGACAGCGGGGTAGAGTTGATGCCTCACACGGTGAGGTCGAGTACTCATGCGGAAGGCTCATAGCTGCATTGAGATAGGAGGGCTCTGAGCATGCATCTCGTCTTTCTGGCTCTACAACTGGCGCTTATTAGGGAATATGCTTGACCATCATGTACAGCAAAGTGGGGACTCCGTCGCTTGTGCCTTCCGACTTCGCTGCATAGAGCCAGTTTGCGCCAAGCACATGATCCTGCTAGGACTCACACTACACTGGGAAAACTCTCACTGTCCTTCTGGTCTCCTGGAATGCGTCCTATGGCATGGGAGGATGCATTGGCACGCTCAGATTGAGAGGGGCTGAAGCCCCGCGATTCACGTAAACTCGGCCTTTGCAAAGCCTTCTGGTTACTGAAAGGGGTTACACTGATCAAGCATGGATCGTGCTTTTAGACGGCTAAGAGCAAGGACTAGGAAAACATGTACGCCGTTGTCGAAAGACTCAATACATATGCTTGATACCTTGGCCCAGTTCTGTCAGGGCTCTGGAAGTTGCATCGTCTTTCTCGTCATGTTTGGAAGCTTCACAGACCCCGCATGGGAATCACTCTGGAGAGAAGCGCAAAGTTTACGAGTGCGTCCTGGCATACCTCTACGACCAGCCGACGTAGTAGCCATCACAAAGCCACTGTAAATCATCCTGAGGTAGTTGGACACACAAGGCGCACCAAACACAGACTTCTGACTCTAGGTTTACAAACATGCAACTGCTTGTATTTACTCTCTTCTTTGTACTGCTTGGGCTCATTAAATACAGCAACACGCGCGTCTACCCAGTGCTCTCCTGCATCATTGATTTACAGTGAAGAGCACCTCCCGATCCAAACCTCGACCTGGTGGCTGGGATCGGCAAACATCCTAAGCAAGAAACAGCCGAAGCAAGCAGCTGGCTACTGCAGACGGATGGAGGAGGAAATGCTCAGAGACGCAAGCACGTAATTATGATAAGCGGTGGTCGGCTGTGCGATTCGAGCCCTGAAATTCGATCCTAGTGGGTCGGCAGGCTCGAAGAGGTGCACCAGAGGGTGACCCAACACAGGAACTTTTGGCCAGGTGATTGCAAAACCATTTGCCGCCCTCTAACGAATCAGTGCGTGTGTGAAGGCACCAGAGAACTACACATATTGGCTACCTAAAGACGTTTCAAGACTCCCCGTATTACTTGCGAACTTGGCCACACAAGAGAGTTACAAATGTGGAGGCGGATGATCCACACAGCGTCGTAGAGGTGCTGGATTCTGAAACAACGGAACACTAAAAGCGCACTACACGGAGGTTTTAAGTGTACGAGGGTGGTTATAGCCAACCTCAGTGATTTCACGGGAGGGCAGCTGCAGGCTTCCTTCCATGCGGCAGAGTGTGAGTCTCTGCATGGTTAACAACACTAGTTGCAATGGACGGTATTCGTCGCCTCCTCTGGGGCTCTCAATGATTATATATAAAGCATTCTGCTGGGTTTGGGCAGACAAAGAGTTTCCCTTAGTAGACACTTCTGACGAAGCGATACACTCCGCATACACCCGTGATATGGCCAATTGCAAGTACCGAATAACATCTAAAGATGGTTAGAGAGCATTTGGCACAAAGAAGAGCATCGCGTTACAAGGGTTGCGATGGTTCGCAATGCGTTGCTGCGAGATGGTGTGGAAAAGCCCAAGCTAGCAAATACGTATCTGTTGTGCGTTGCGCATGGACGCGTTATTTGTTGTACTTTACCTTTGATCCTCTACTCCCTCCAACAACATAAGTCTTAAAAGGTATATGCTCTGAAACACAGTTTTCTGTGGTATCCCTTTTAAAGGAAGACTTTGTACGCATGGTTTCTACATGTCGCGCGCTACTTGTAGCGTGCCTCCAAAATTCCTCTCACACTAAATTTTCTGTCTTTCTAGGCAGATAATCTACAATCTCAGCCTGTTTCGCGTTTTTAGATCGGAGATATCTTCCAGTGAGATGCGTAACTCCTGGTGTCTCAATTTCGTGCCGTTGTTGTTTATACAACCAGTAGGTCTTTCGAATGATCGTTGGGGCTGGGGGCTAGCGGCCCGGTGGCATTGAATGATGTCCATTTCCATTTCTTTGGAGTTTCTGAGCACTTCAAAGCCTGAACACTGATTTAAAATCGGCAGACAGACACTGTCATTTCCATTCGCTTTCCCCTTGCAATCCGGTGTCTAACACGTCTCGCCGTGCATGCTGTTTCTCTTTCTTCTTAACACATACGAGAAGTACACAAACGCAGTCACAGATTTGCCTCAAGAACTCAAAATTCACTCCTACTTAGACTTATCTCTCATTTTGGTGCCATATTCGTAAGAGCCTCACAACTGCAGGCCCCTGTGCCGTTCATGGAAAACGTCCGCTGTTCCTATTTCCATCCTTTTATTTCTTGCGAATTGCATGCAAGCTTACTTCTCTGCTTGAATACCTTGGGTGCACAGCATTTGTGTAGTTTGTAAGCTGCCCTAACCCTACACGGCTCAGCCGTCCGCCGACCATGGGAATTGCATCTGCACGAGTTCTTGCGATTTTATGCGCTTTGTCCTTCACTAGCCTTATCATTAATCCACATGGCCAGACCTGTTTCCTAAGTGCTGTGCTTGCCGATTCTGGCAACCCAGGAAACCTCTACTCCACGCTCGGCGTGAAGCGCAATGCAAGCCCAACAGAAATCAAAAAGGCCTACAGAAAGCTCTCCATGAAATTCCACCCCGATAAAAATAAAAGCCCAGATGCGGAATCAAAGTTCAGGGAAATATCATACGCATATGAAGTTTTGAGCAATGCTGAACAAAGGAAGGTCTATGATGCCCAGGGCCACGCAGGACTGGAAAGGTAAAGCAGGGAGCTGACCTATCAGTGCCAGTCTGCAATGTCTTCCACTTTAGAAGCCGGTTTTCGCTCCGCTGCAAAGATCATACGCACATTATTTACGCGTTTTCACCTTTTAACCGCCCTAAAACACTGCTTTAGAAAGTTGCACGTACGCTGCGAAAACATTCATTGCCTGTAAATCCCTGCCCCCAGTATGTGTATATATACATATACGTGCTGTTATTTGTGTACTCCCTATGCATGCAGACTGAAGCAGGGAGCAGGCCAGGATTCAGGTCATCCGTTCGACGTGTTTTCTGAATTCTTTGGGGGCTTTGGTGGTTTTGGGGGATTCGGCGGCCGTAGTGGCCCTCGGGAGATCCCACAAGCCCCCAGCAGCATTATGAAGCTGCCCGTTACCCTGGAGCAGCTGTATGATGGTACAACTCTGGAGTTTCGTTTTTCTCGTCCTGTACTCTGCATCAACGCTGACGAGTGCATGATGAAAAAAAAAGACTGCAAGGGCCCGGGCATTCGCGTCATTACGCAGCAGATGGGTCCTGGCTTCATCGTGCAAAATCAAATTCAAGACGACTCTTGTCTAGATCAAGGACGTGCATGGATAAAGGGGTGCAAGGTCCGTTATAGCTTGCTGCTGATTCATTTCGTGTGGGTTGCAGGAGGGGGAGGTGGGGGAAGGGCTTTGACTGCCAGGTCACTTCCCGAATGGAACCCATCTTAGGGCTGACCAGGTTCAAGCGGTATAGCGCGTGCTGTAGTGTTCCATTTCTTCGATTTTGCATACATGTATACTTGCGCGCTTTCTGTGCGATCACAGGATTGCCCAAGCGGCATTACGGAGATGGAGACAATAGACCTGAACGCAAGTGTGGAGAGGGGGATGCAAAATGGCGAGAAAATTACATTTGAAGGAATGGGTGAAAATCGCGTGGGCCACGAACCGGGAGATCTGATCCTTATAGTGGAGGAGCTGCCACATTCCCGGTACGTCTGCTGCAGTGTAGGGCGGATTAAATGTAAACCTGTGCGCCACAACAGAGCATAGCATAATATTTTTATTCGTGAAGCAGACAAAGGCCAGCTTCCGTTCACGCCTACGCCTCTATGCTCTTTGTTGTTCCGCTTGTGCATGCTCGCTTTCAGGTATGTCAGGAAAGGCCTGGATCTGCACATGACGGTGCGGATTGACCTGATACAGGCTTTGGCTGGGTTTGAATTAGATTTCGAGCATCTCGATAAGAAAAAGGTGCGATTGCAAAAGTCCTCCGTAACTCACGATGGCGAAGTCATGAGAGTGAAGGGCAAAGGAATGCCAAAGAACCACTCTGCCACTGCGTTTGGGGATCTACATGTTACGCTCAAAGTGAAATACCCTCGGGCACTCAGTGATAAGCAGAAAAAGCTCATCAAAGAGGCATTAGCTGGCGTGACTATGGAGGCCTTCGACTGAAGCACAGACTAAGCTGCGCAGTGGAACAGACCGAGAGCCGTGCACCTCGATTTCACGAGCCAGGCCTTCTGTTAGTGGGGCAGCACTGCATCGCAGCTATGTTCCCAACGAAATCACGACGGGTTGCCTGTTTCAGGCACAGTTAACGGTTTAGCGAACTGAAATACGCGTTGACTTCTGCATGCCTCTTAAATTCAACGACTCTTGCAGTCCAATGATATCGGTTACGTGACTATCTGCGAATGTGGCTTTCGCCGGGCGATTCGGTCCGCGGCGGCTACGAGCTGTGGCTGGGCTGTGGACAACAACGACGATTGACATTCGATGTACCCACCTCTAAATGCGCATTTGCCCCCCCCTGGCACATCCGGCGGCCTTACAGATGTGTCTTCCCTGGGACATTTTGCTGCAAGACGGCGGTTCTCCGTAATGGCATCACAGGGCTGGCAACTGGCTCACCCACCTGTCGAAACCACGAACTGTCACTTGAGCAACCATAACCCAATGTCTCGCCAGTAGCACGTGTCCGTCTCATGGTTAGTGGGTATCTTTTTCTAAGGGCCTTTTTCTTCCTTGCTAATATTATCTCCACGGCTATTTGGCCTGCTTCGCCTAGCTCGTGCACTAAAGCATGCATAGATGAAACTAGACCTAGTGCAGAATACCGAATCTGAACATGCACGCAGGGGCTGACTCGGGTGTATGAAAGTCCCATGCTTCTTTTCCCCGCAATTTTGTAGATGCCCAACTTCGGAGGCATAAAGTCCACGTCACACTAGGACACTGACCGCCGCACCAAAGCCTTCTACACAGCTTAAGTGGGCAGTAGCTGCTGAACCCTTCGCCACACTGTATGTAACCGCCTCTGAACCGAGCTACCCCACTCCCCATCTAGAGCTGCTATGCTTTTCAGCTTGGTCGCGCCAAGGTAGAGGAAAAGAGAAACGATCGCGTCCGACCTAAACGTAGTGACTGCAGGAATGGCAACTGCATAACATCCGAAGGGCTGCGGATGGGCAAGTGCCTCACATCCAGCAGGGCGGGCAACGAAATGAATCTGCAGCAAGAGTGTGTGAGGGAAGTCATACCCCACACAGATATTGCTCTATGCCTTGTCATAGATGAGTAACTTGCCGTAAAGAGCGGAGTTACACACAAAAAAAGCACTACTGTATCCGGCTCTCCGTTGCATTGCATCAGCGATGCAACCGGCACAGTTGGTGTCAAGGAACGGAAGCTTTAAGCACTGAAGTCCATGGTCGTGTGCATGCGGCCCTGCTGATCCCTGTATCGGGCAACTTCATAAGGAGTGTACGTTTCCTCAGGACTAATACATTCGCAGGGGTCTACTCTTGTGACAAAGGCATTGCACCACTCTGACAGGCAGTCCCCTCTCCGTCTCCTTCTGAACACTGGCTTGAACTGAATTGGAATAGTTTGAAAGGCTCCGCTGCCACCAAATAAAGCGCTCGACACTGCGAATACACCTGGGTCGTAGCCGTCAGAGATGGGCACGCCGTAGTGTAGTGGACCGGGCTTCCCTCGAATGTAGTGATGAGGTGGCGGCTGTGGGTACTCCCTGTCATGGATTAGTACATCCCTACCCTTCTTAATCCTGTTTTGTTTATCAAAAAATTCCTTTGCCTTATGCTCCATTGGGGGAGGCATGTGGTCAAAGCTTGACATGAAGCCGGCTCTGGCACCTGAATGCGCCCTTTGCAGCTCGTATAGATCCATGGTCGCCCTGGAGGAAAGCGAATCGTAGAAAAGACGTATTCCACTTGAGATTGTTTGGGCTACTGTAAGTACCACTCTGAGAAGCGTACCTAAGCACAATCAGACGCACAGTTCGCTGGGACGACTACACAGATGACATATGCGAGGCAAATAGCGCCCTTGATGGCCAAGAGACCGCCATAGAGCACAATCAAAGGCATTTATAGCAACAACATTGCTAAATCATGTAGTTGTACTGGAAAGAAGGGGTTTTCTTGTTCTCCGTAGCCACCACAGCTGCATAGGCTCGATGCGGCAAGCAGAAAAACAGGTGAGAGTCCACTTTGTAAATAAGCCCACATGACAGCATCACGAACAGATTTCGCAGTAATAGTACAATATTGGCGGGGAAAATGAAGCATTAATGCTTTTATGCGAGCAGTACCCGGAAAACCCTTTGTGGTGTTTGTGCAACTCGAATGGAAACACAGGCAGTTTTGCGCTCTCATTACCCTTTTCTTACCAAAAAAAGAGGTTATTATGCTGAATTGAGCTGATGAGCTGCCATTTCAAATGAATATGCTCTTAATCTGTTTTTCATCTCATCTTGGTCACACCTCATGTTGCCCTCTATATGCAGCCGTCAGCTGCTGTGCCTCGTCCAAGCGGGGCATGTCTAGCAGCGGCTAGGAACGCGGCGAGGTGCTCCTGCTTCTCAATGGCTTCTTCAAATCAGCACATACAATGGAACCTATAGCTTAGTCTCTTATGAGGCCTGCAACTATCCCATATCCTGCCACGTAAACACCGCCGTAGTGGCTAGCGAACAACGGACTCAATCGACTGGCTGCTCAGGTAAGTTTTCTTCTTCGCACTGCTGTAGGCCAAACACAGGATCTTTTCAGGAGGTTCTCAAGAATTTGCACTGAATTTTTTCTCATTCTTAAGATATCCTGTATTAAATATCTTTGAATGAGCACCAGCCGCTCAGTTTCATGACCTTCCTCGTCAGAAAATTGCGACTAGGTGGCTCTGCTGTGCTTTGGTGTCTGAGACGACGAGCAACTTTCTTACTAATACAAAATGCCACTGGCAAAAGGAGTTTACGGAGATGTGTGTCTCCTTAGTCGAGAGTGCACCGCGTAGAGGAACAGTGCTGGGGTCTGCACGGCCTGTAGCTGCCAGAATCAGGCGGGTACGGAATTCACTGTGCGTTCTCACTGTAACGGATCAAGCTGCTCAATCGCAGCTGCTATTTCGGCAAACACATGATTAAGACTTCTTTAGTAATGGCTGCACTGTTTAAACGTCCTTAGGGTGGTGGCTGCAGCAGAGCAAGGGTAGCAAAGCACTGTGGGAATACATGCGGTGCGCGCCCACGTGCTTGGCTATTGCATACTGCCATATGTAAATGCACGTCTGCTTAAGGGGTGCAGCAGCGTATAAAGTATCTAGGGGGAGATCATTGTAGAGTGTGGGCAGAGAGTGCTGAAGTGCTTGAAGGGGGCGCGTGATAATTCCTTACCTGTTTGTTAAAGCTCTTGGGCTAGCGGTCTCCCCGTAGAAGATCTTACAAAGCGGGTAAGACTTGATGTGTTTGTAACAACTTCAGCACGTGCAGTGAAGGGGTTCAAAGGAAGGAGACGAAGAATCCTACCCAGTGGAACAGCTTGGACACCACAGTGTGTAAAGCTGTTTTACAGGAAGGTTACAGAGGACAAAATGCTAGAAATACCTGCAAAAGCGACATAAAGTTACCTTTTCGGTTGTTTTCATCTCGACCCTAGAGTTTGAATCTAACAGACCCTTTCCGCTTTTTAAACTACACTATGAAATGCCAAAATTTTCACAAGATTGAGTGAAATCTAAAAGCACCATAAGATATGTGATCTTTTTTATCTAGCACTCCAAAGAACCACAGTAAGTACTGGTATCATGCTGGATAAACCAAAACAGTGCGAGTTTATTCAACGCCTTTTCCTTGGGTGGATTAGACGAGTGGTGGCTGCGGTCCGGCGTGCGCAGCCGTTTTTCTGCAGGCTGAAGTGACAGAGCCCGTGGTTGCTTTGCGTGGAGACGAAAGTTAGCACAAGACGGAAAAAAGTGCATGCATAACCCTCCCTTCTCAAACGCCACCACAAACACGTTTTTGGACTCATCAGCTCGCTGAGTTTGTGCCCCAACGTGACAGAAACTCCCCGATCGTAGAAGCAAAGGAAGCGGCGCACTCCCAGAGGCTCTAAAGGTGTGCCTGATACGCTGTTCTAGAGTGCTTGTCTTGTCTTTCTTCCTGTGCTACATTGCGACGTAAAAGCACGGGGCTGCATTATGTAAACTACACCAAAGGGTGCCCTGCTTTTCCTCAAGGCGGCCTTTCGGCATTGATTGTGCAATTAGTTCCACACCTCAAATCTTGCAAGGAAGTGGCTAAGGCCGTGAAATGAGGGAAGAAACACAGGAACTCTGAGTTGGGCCTCAAAAACCCCACCTGTCACCATTCTGAAATATTTGCTTTAACTCTTCAGAATAATACAGAACACCATGGCACTATGTTGTTTTCTCTACCTCTGGGTGTTTTTGTCTATAAAGCTGCTTCTCTCATTCGACTTCTCTCTGCCGGCTTACCCCTTCTGGGTTGTCTAAGGAGCTGGCGAGTGAATGCTGCCTCTTATTATTAGTCTACCACGATGTTTTGTACACCTTTTCATGGCACCCTCGGTGAGGAATGTCGATTGCCCCAGGAAAAGCCTGTGCTTCGAGGTTCCGCTGTGCGTTCGCAGCTTCCCTTTGGACGTTAGGCAAGGCCTGGCGCCTCCTTGCCGCTGAAAGACCAAGAAGCATACGTGAGGCTATTTTTGGTCGCTTGCTACATCTTTGGCGCGGGCGGAGACGCCTTTACTTGGTCCCGCTCCTCCCGTGCCCCTTGCGCGGCTGCACGATCCTCTTTATGCATTAAAGCTGAGCAGTGTTTGCTTGCGGCCTTGGCTGTCTCTATACTTGGCGACTTCGTAGGGCGTATATGTCTCTTCGGGGCTAATGCACTCGCAGGGGTCAACTCTTGTAACGAAGGCGTTGCTCCATTCGGGGTAGCTGTCACCTCTTTGCCTCCTGCGGAAGACGGGTTTGGAGGTTATTGGGATGGGCGTGAACGCTGGGCTGCCTCCAAACAGCGCATTTGAAACGGCGGAGACGCCAGGATCTGGGCCGTCAGCAAGAGGTACCCCGTAGTGGAGGGGGCTCAAGGGGCCAGCAATGTACGTGTGCGGAGGCGCCTGTGGGTGCTCTCTATCATGCACAATGTAGTTGGCTTGCACTTCATCTTCTTTCTTTTGATAGCCCTTAAAGTAGTGTCCTGCCTTGTGGGTGTCGAGCTCGCCCTTCACACCTTCAGAGCGGGTCATAAAGCCGTGCCCGTAGGCAGAGGGATACTTCTTCACGGACTGCGTAGGTGCCATCTCTTGCGAGGCTCTCGAGAGGGGGTCTTGTGGCATAAACAATGGAACAGAACGGAGGCGCGCGACGGATAGATATATGTATAATGTCGCGCGCAGGAAGCGAAGACCTCAGCTGCACACGCACACACACACGCACACACACACGCACACCCATGTATGTATATCCACATAGATATGTATGTATACACGCTCAGGAAGCGCATGCGTATGGCACGCCAAAATACTCCTGCAAAAAATGAAGACGGGCGCGAGGGCTGCAGAGAATGTACACTGCTGCGAATCCGGCACGCAGCAGGCGCGGCGGCCACCTCTAGGGCTTCGTGAAAATGAACGACAGACGTGCCACAAAGAGGTAGACAGTCACAGAGCAGGAAACCACGGAAAGGCGAAGGAAAGGAACACGAGGAGGTGGTCTTCCGCAAGAGCACGCCGATCTACAAACACCCCAAACGAGGCAGCATCCCTATTGTGGAGCAAAAATGCAACAGAAACGGAAGAGGGGCCTTCGACGGGATTGTTACACGCCTGTACTTCTTCTTGAGCCCCCTCTTGCTTCCAGCGCAAACATGGATGCCAGCGAAAAAAGCAGGACGTAGGCACTGAAGGTGGTGAGAGTTGCAATATAGATAGAGGACCCTAAGCAACGCGGTTTCAGTCCTGCTGTTGCCGCAGTGGAACCAGATTCTCATGAAGCAGCCGCTATAAAAGCGTAGGCATCTCACATTTTAACAAGGATCTCCGGCAACTCGTGCCCGGCGGCAGTGGATCGAGCTTGACCAGCTGTTGGCGGTGTTGCTTCTCTGTTGGCAGTGCTGGTGTAGCTTACCCTTTGGAAATATAGACTAATGCAGGAATAATCAGGTGATATCTGATCATGTAGAATGTATCGCAGGTTCTTGATGGGAATGCCTCTCCCGCTGCTGTCACACAGTGGCAGCGACACGGTGCTCAGAGGAGGGGTCTAAGCACGAAACAGCGGTGCTGAAACAAGCGGCTGCGGTGCTCTACAGACCGAAAGAAAAGCTGCTTCGTTGGATCTTTACTTCAGTACACAAGTTAATGTATTGGCATGCAAGGCCTTCCCTTTATGTTCGTTTATAGGCCAGCTACAGGAGAGGGAGCACTAGGGATGCAGCTGCCACGGAGTGAGCCGACTCCCTGGGCGCTGTCGAAGCCTCTACTCTCTCTGACTTACGGTTTCAAGCGCTTTCTCGGATAACTTTGTTTTTCCTAAGGACGAACTTTGTACGGTTGTTTGTGCTTCCCCCGTTTCTCTCTCATGTTCCTTTCGCCGCGTGTTTCCCACCAAACAGAGAACAGAGTGGTGTTGTAGTATCGACGGCTCGGAACGCCTAAATTCTACCACCGAGAAGGCGAAAGAGGCATCCTGAGGCATTCCTTTGCAGGTTCCCACGGTCAGTGTGCAGATCTACGCTGCCAAGCTGGGGTGGAAAGGGGGTATTGCTCGCAACTAGGTGCCAGTGCCAGTCGGGAAAGTCCTTTATTACCCCGACACGAAGAAAGTCGAACAGGAGAGCATGCCTATGAAGACGCGGCGGAAGAAGGTAGCAAGGGAACAGGGGCCCTTACCCTGGGCTTTACAGAGAAACGCACGTATACAATAGCAGCAGGACCCCTAAAAATGAAGCCCACACGTGATCCGACGCCGCACTGCTCATAGCATGCACAGGCAGTCTTTTATCGAGAAGGCACTGCACACCAGCGCGTTAGTCTACAATGAGCGAAGGAGGAGGAACGCAGTGGCAGCCAGTCCAAAGCACCCTTCCACAGGCAGTTCACAGGGGTGCACTGGCACCAGTGGGCGGCCCACCCAGCACACAGGTGGTAGGCCATCTAGGCAGCCGGCTAGCTAGTCATTGAATGGACAGAAGGAGCTGCCTGCCGCTTTTCTCTGAATTCGCACAGAGGCAATACCCCAAGAAGACTGCGGTTTGCCTCTCGCAACGCATCAGTCCAACCTTAAAACTGTAACGTAAGCCTTCTGACAGACGAAGTGCAGCCAGAAAAGCCTTTTGCTAAACGCCCTATGCTGTCAGACGAAACAACAAGACAGGCCCCTAGAAGCACGCCGTCTCCCACGAAGGAGGTTCAGTCTAGTGGCAAGTGATCTAGGTCGAGGCGCAGAGAAGGTTTTACAAACCGAATACAACTCTGTGCAAAGATCTGCGTCCGTGTCGTTGGCACGTTTGCCGCGCACGGTGCTCGCGGCTCTTGTTTTTTATGTCGTGATCTAACCTTCCCAGCCTAGTCGTAGCTATGGGTTCTGCCTCGAACGCACACCACCTCGGCCCTTCGCTTTGAAGAGCGCCCTTCAGCACAGAAAAACACACGCGGAAAATTCCGCATCTCGAAGTTGTTCCTGCAAGTGCAGCAGCAAAAGCAAGACGTGCAGCTGCTGCTAGCCTCTCGGTGCACGAGCTGTAGTTGGTGTGCTGCAGCCAGAAAAGCTGGATGCCAGCGTTGAGAGAAGGAAGAGCTCCAAGCTCCGGCTGCCTCGCATCCCTGCGCTCAGTCCTGCGAGAAGAAAGCCCCCTCGGAGAGCGAAGAGACCAACATGTCAAAACGCATGCACGTCTGAGAGCCTTTATACCCAGCATGCATGCGTGAAAGGCCTCGTCAAAGTCCTTCCTGAGCCGGTACATTGGGGAGCAGCGGCAAGGGGCGGGAGGAGGCGCTAGACACACCTGCAAACCTCCCCTTCCCTCCCTCCATCCAGAAGCCACGGCGCATATACCATTTGTTGGTGCTTCTGTGCCCTCACAATCCTCACAGCTGAACAGTGGCAGGCGTGTACGCAGATATTGCTTCCGAGAGGGAGAGATGGAGACAATGGATAAGCAACAGCACAAGGAGGGCAAGTGCGCGCGCACATACGTACATACACACGAACACACACACACACGCACGTTTACATACACAAACACACACGCCTCTTGCGGAGAAGCGATCTTTACAAATGAGCAGCGGCTGACGAGGACACAAAGAAGCCCAAGGAGGCAGAGGCAACCAGCAACTGTGTCAGGAGGGAAACTGCTTCCGCTTCTAGGGTTCCTCAGCAAGAGGGTGAGGGCCTATCTCTCCGAATTTGCAAGCCTTCAAAGACCGACACGGCATGGATGCTCGCACTTGACTGCCATGTCATCCCCGCTTCAGTCCCACACGTGGATCTGCTCTTCCTGAAGGAAGTGCAGAAAAGCTTTTTCGTCTGGCTGCGAAGGCCTCCCAAAACAGCAACAGTTTGATGCCTGTTCCTTGAGCTGTCTTGGTCTGTGTGTCTCTCTGCCGCTCCCCCCTTGTGTATAGGTGTATATATATATGCATGTATATAAGTTAGTAATAAGTGTACATATATATAATATATATATGTATATAAACATCTCTGTTCCTGTACTTCTCGCATCCAAATCCCTCATTTCCTCCTCAACTCATGCCGCCTGCTTCGCCGTTTCATCCTCTCTGACCCGTCGCATAAAATGCCAGGCAGCAGCTCTGGCAGTACGAGCAGTAAGGGCAGGCAATCGAAGCGGCCAGCGAACGCCTCCAGCAGCTCCTGCGTCCTAGGGCTTTCTTGTGCCTTACGATCGCCAAAACTGAGCTGCAGGCGAGGAGCGCTCGGCGCGGACTCTCTCTGCCTCCTCTTGAGGTTCAGTGCCAGGGGAAAAGAGAGCAATGCCTGCCTTTGCGAACCCGGAGGCTCTGGCAAGGAGCGGCCCGAAGTTGCATCCTGCCCAGAAGCCAACAACGATCCCGAGGCCAACTCCCCACCAGAAGCCGAAGATCGGCTGCTCCGACTCGCGGATCAAATCATCCAGCTCCTTGGATGCGAGGTGCTGGCTGACTCCAAACCCTCCGAGGAGGAGGGCCGGCAGGAAAAATCCCATTTCTTGTGCTGCTGCGGCTACCACTGCTGCCGCTGGTTTTGGCGACGCTTCTGAGGCGGGCGCGACGAGGCTCGGGGGGCGGGTTCCTAGGCGAGTGCCACAGCCCTATTGAAGAAGGGCGGGGATAAAATCACAGGGAAGGACCAACACGAATACGCTGGGGCAGGGCCTACAGAGGCCACAGGGGTCTGGAACCCCTGCAGGAGCACCTACGTGGAAGTGCAGCTCGGAACAGGCGAGCCAGAGAGCAAGGGCCGAGAGTTGAGGCAGTGCAGAGGGTGACGAGGGCGACCAGAAGGCCAGGGGATAAGGAGAACAACCGGGAGGGCCTGTGGCAGGGAGCGCTAGGGGCCGAGATCTAGCACAACAGAGAGGCTCCGGATGAGCCAATTCGACGGAAAGTCCAAAATCATGTGCAGAAACATGCAAAATAAGGTGAAAGAAACACCAAGAACACCCTTTGGACCGCCGTTGGGTCGACCGACCGCACTGTTCCATCAGCAGGGCTGTACGTACAGCCGGGCCCGCCACGAATTTCGGCGTCGTGGGGGCACTGGCTGCCACAAGAGCAAAAGGCACCAAGGTCTATGTTATAATATAGCACTACTTCCATGTTTTGTTGCATTCTCTCACATCCACCCTTGTGCTAACAAGAGAAGCAGCAAGGGTTCCCCCCGCCCCTCTGGGGTGTGCAAACATCGCAATCGGAGGCTGCAAGAGGCATTGGAATTTGGCGGCTTCCACCTCTTCTGACCCCCGCTCTCGTCCAAGCCATCGTTAGGGCTCAGATTGTTCTCCAAAGGACGGCAGACAACACCGCCCGCCAAGAGAGAGTGACTTACAAAAAGGTGACATGCCGATCTCGGATCCTAAGCCTTCTTAAGGGTTCTGTAGGGTTTGAGGGCCTCTGCTTAGCGTAGCATTGAGAGCTCCTTTCCCTCTCTTCTAGGGCTTCCTTTGTTTCCTCTTTCATGCTGTCACAATACGGGCTTAAGGTGGGGGGATCCAGGTGCCGCGGTACGAAGACAGGCTAAGGGGGGCAGAATTATGGGTGTTTTGGGGTCTCTTTGTCGCAGAAGTACCTGATGGCTCTCTCCCAGCGTACGCGGAACATCCTTTCGTGGGCGGCAGTTGTGATTTTAGGTAACTAGGACCCCCTCGGACGCAGGATTTAGGGTGTGCACGTGTGACTGTGGCTTCGTGACGTCTCTATCAGAGAGAGGATCATTCAGACGCAGAGGTGCCTTCTCAGGCTCTTCTTATGCAGGAGTATGGGTTGACAGGGGGCACGGAGTCATGTTCTCTCCCCAACATCCCGCTCATGGTAGGAGAACTGACCTGTCGCTTGCATGCCTGTGTGATGCGCTGAATCAGGAGGCGCTGCGCCCCTAGGTTTGGCAGTCCTTCAGGTGTCTATGCAAGATGTTCATTCCGAGGCGATGGCGATCCATCTAGAGGGGGAGCGGCAGAGGCAGAGCTTCATGAGGCATCATAAGCACAGGCAACAGCAGTCCAGCGAGTAAGGCGCATCTGCACACATTTTGTGGCTGTGTTCGCCTCCGCTTTTCGCCCCCGCGGATCTTTTTGCGCGTCTCGCTTGTGCGCCTTTCCTACGGAGAAGGAAGATGCTCACGACTAACTCGGTGCACGGGCAGGATAGTCTGGCGTCAGCCCCCATGTAATTCCACGAGGCCCCAGTAGGAGCCTCGGCAGGGACGACTGCAGCCATTGAACTTTGGCGTCACTATCTCCACACGCATGCCCAGCCCTTCCGTGCCACAGTCTTCTTGAAGAGAATTGCTGGGCGGCTCCACAAAGTCTGGCCGGTTTAGCGGTTGCTGGAGGGGCAAGGTTCCCTCAAATCGTAGTCGCATTTTACACAGGAGGCTCCCGAAGGAATGGGGTTGCCGAGATGCAGGGGCGCCAGGGAGCTGGCTGATACAGGAACCCCTAGCTTGAAACAGGAGTTCACTCTTCGAGGGGCCGTATCGACGCCGTATAGAGGGAGGGAAGCCTTTCAGGTTGGGTATTAGCCAAGGTGTGCGTACTTGACACACCCACTCTTTTCCCCCATTAGACTTCTAGGACTCAGAAGATTTGGGGCTTTGAAATTTCAAGGGTCTATCAGGTCTACACACGCTCTCACATGCCACTGTGCCTTCATAGAGAGTTTGGTTGTGCCGTACACCCCTACTGTATCGTGTTACAAATCGCCGTTACTAACAGTCCTAGAACCGTATGCAAAAGACTAAAAACCAAGACCCCGCAAAGTGCTGTCCCCTAAGGGGTTCCCGTAAGTCGCCATCGTAAGCGGCTCCCAGAAGGCGCCTTTGTTAAGCGCCTCCCACGAGTTGCCTCCTGGAGGGGCCCCCTGTGAGGGGCCCCCCATTGACTTCCCGATGGCCGAGGTGCCCGCGCTGTGGCTCGCCAGCCTACACGGGGATCACATCTGCGTAAATTGCATTGAAACAGAAAAAGGCGCCAATATGTTCGTGATAAAGCGGCGTGCGTGCGAGGCTGTACGCTTTGGAGGGGCCATCGAGTCACATCGCATGGGCGGGCGGCACTGCAGTGTACCGACAGCCGAAAGCGCTGGTGTCCTCTCTCGAGATGAATTTAGGACAAATATTTAGCCAATATTTTTAGAAAAAGTACAGTGTAGAAGGTTTACGGAGGGGAAGGAGCTGGCGACGGGTGAGGTCCCTCGAGCTGCAGGGATCTCCTTTCCCCCTCCTCCCTCTCCCCCACGGGTAGAGCGAAATCTGAAAGCACTAAGAGAGTGTCTGACGGCGCGCGTCGTAGTATAGGAGACGCGTTTACTCTCATGGCTAGCTTTCAGCCGCGGCAAATCACGAGGCTGTCCCTTCAGCCTTGTGTGCTTCGACGGCGTGCCCGTCTGCGCGCCTTCCCTGAGACACAGCCAGCGGCCGCTGCGTTTTTTGGCTTAAAGTGGGGGGCCCCGCTTGCACTCGAGCTGCCAAGGCACTCAGGCTCCTTGCTTTGGACAGTTGGTGGGGGGGAAAAACCCCTCCCTCACCAGTACGCAAGTGCCTCCTGCTGTTTTCGCGCGTGCGCGCACAGCTCTAGCCGCGTCAGAGAGGGTGCTGGCTGCATCGACGAGAGCAGCAGCAGCAGCGGCTTGTGGGGGTTGCAGCACGCGATAGTAGATCAGCAGGAGGCACTCGACAATGGGCGCCACAGGCGGGGGCAAGCCCAGGCAGCTCAAAAAGGCAACCACCTCCCCTATGGCGGATTTTCTTCGCAGCACGGAGAAGTCTCTTCCAAGAAGGTGTCTCTCGAGCACTCGGCAGCCTTTGCTGCTGCTGCCGCTTCTCGGCAACGGCTGAAAGAGCTGCAGCAGCCAAAAGCCCCCCGAAGGCGGAGGCATGCAGTCGCGACTGTGGCAGCGAACGCCTCGGAAAGAGGAGCGTCTGCGGAGCGACATGAAGGAGGGCTGCGAATGCTGCAGCCTGATGCAGTGGTGGCCGCTGCGTTTCGGGCAGCAACCAACAACGCACGCAGTGAGGCACTGTGGAGAGGCATTTCTCGCCGCTTGGCGCTTGCCGCCCCTTACCTCAATCCCCAGCAAGTCGCGATCAGTCTCTATGCAGCAGCACGAGTCAGGTAATTGAACGACGCCTTGCACTGCTGACGCGTCGAGCCGTAGAGGCCTCACGGGGGAGGGAAAGGGAGAGAAAGAGATAGGCACGCCAAGAAGCTGTGCCACGCATGCCCTCACAGAGAAACTTCGTCTCGTGGAGTGCTACGCTATGCGCTTGAACTCAGATACCGTGACGTCCGGCTGGTGGATGCCTTCGCCCCTCTCATCCTCAAACAAATCGAAGACTTCTCCGTAAAAGGTAAAAAGAAGCAGAAAGGCTCAAACTCCAAGCCAAAGACGCGCGTTTCATAAATCGCTGCGCCTCTCGCTGATCCTCTGCATATACAGGCGCTTCAGCATGCCACGCTTCTCTGTCTGTCTGTCTCCCTCTCTGCGTATGTTATGTGTGGTGTATGTGTGGGTGTTGTATGCGCTTCTCTGTCCCTGCGCGTGTGTGTGTCGTTTGTCTTTTCTCTCTCCATCTCTCTCTTGATCTCTTGCTTCCCCTCTCTCTGTTTGTCTTTCTCTCCCTCTCTCTTGCTTCCTCTGTATTTCTCTCACTCTCTCTTTCGCTCTCTGAGGCAAATTGGCTGGCGGGTATCCGTGCGTTGCAGATATTGCACTGCTGCTAAATGCATTTCGCAAGTTGGAAATTCCAAAGGCGGATACCATCGAGCTGCTCGTTAATCAGGTGGGGCATGTGCTTCGCACAGCCATTCCTAGCGCTTGACCTGCTGCCTGCGAAGAGACACAATACAGTCCCCCCCGCCTCTCTATCTCCCCTCTACCTCGCCACTTGCACGTGAAAAGAAGCGGCTCATACCCTGCACATCTCCCTCCTGTGCTGCTGCTGCAGCTCTGTTTTCGGCTAGGTGAAGCGTCCGCCGTGGACCTTACGCTTGTCGCAAATGCCTTATCCTTCTTTTACATTTATCACAGACGGTAAGCTGGCGATGCTCTTTCTTTTAGCGGCAGTGCCTCTCCTCCGAGGCCTTTGTATGCTTCCTTCTGTGTCATCAACTTCGCCCTGCCCTTCCCTGGTGTTACACACAGCCAGCACGTGCGCTGCTTCGGGTAGGGGGTGAGTGGGGGATCTGGCTATCGCTTTTCCGCACATTGGCTTTTCGAGCGAGGCCTGCTGTTTTGTCGAAGCTGTTGCGGCGTCTTATATGGCCCTACCCTACGCATGTGTATATATATGTTTATGTATGTTTATGTATGCGTGTCTTTATATATGTATGTTTATATATGTTCATGTATGTGTGTCTATGTATATGTATATATGTATATTTATGTATGTGTTTGTGCATGGATGTGTATGTTTGTGCATGGATAAGTCTGTGTGTGCGTCCTTGCATGCCACCGACGTGTTGCGTGCATCAATCATGCAGGTTCTGGAAAGGCCTGCTGCAGTCTTTGCCGCGCATCTTCCCCACACTTGAGCCCCAGCACGCAGTCCTCCTCCTTGCAGCATTTGCCAGGATAGATCTCAGGTAAAGGCCCCCCTCCCTTCTATTGTCATAGATGCGGCGTGTCATTTGCCCCTCGTCGCGCTCTTCGAGTGGAGTCTTTTGCTGCTGCTGCTTGCTTGCTTGCTTGCTTCTGCCTAGGGACGGATCAACGTTGCTGCTCCTTGCCAAGATTGTGAAGAAGCACGCAGCTACGCTGCAGCAGCAGCAGCTTGCTGTTGCGGCCGCCTCCCTAGCCAAGTTGTCCTTCGTGCATCCAAAAGTCACTGTAGCCTTGCATCGAGCAACACACCAGATGCTGGATCAGGTATGGATGCAGCTGCAGCTGCATACATACGTGTGCTCTCGGCTCTTGCATGAGCGCGAATGCAACGCATTGTGCTGTTGCATGTGTTTTCCTGCTCCTCACCTCACCACGCCTGCGGCCGCTGCTGCTGCTTCTGCTGCTGCGTTGCGGGTTGGATTTTTGCGTGCAGCTGGACTGCCCGTTTGACGTGCAGTCATTATGCCTTCTTTTACACGCAGCCGTCTGCTTTTCTGGCGCATCCGAAGGGGTCAGTGCCTGCTGCATGCGTGGGTAGGCGTTCCCGCATAGGGATCGCGTCTACGCCGGGAGCTGCCGTCTGCGAGGCCTCCAGCCAAACGCTTTGCGGAGCAGAAGAAACAGCAGGGAACCCTTCTTGGCAACATCGCAGCAGCTGCTAGTGGCTTGTGTCTCGCTATTTTAGCACGCGCACACACTTCTTGCGACGGTACATTTTTCTGCGATGCCGCAGCTTCTTCTAAAGCTCCTAGCCGCCCTGCAACGACGAAGCGACCACTTGACGCCGCATCAGAGCCACAAGCTGCAGCAAGTTAGACTTCTTCTAGAAAACCACTACCAAGGTCAGCTGAAGTAGATACACATATCTACATCTATATATATATATATGTATATACACACCAACCACTACCAAGGTTAGCTGAAATGCATACATATGTGTACAGATATAAATATTATATAGATAGGGCAGAGACAGTGGCAGGGGGATTTATGCAGGAAAAGGTCGAAAAGCAGTGCAAAGCACGTGTGCATAGCGACGGGAGCCTCCTTATAGGTGGAAGCGCATGCGGCATTGAGCGACCTTGGGAACGGTTGCTTTTGAGTGGGGTTATTGCAGATTTTTACTCGAGGCTGCCCCCTGAGCTTCATGCCTTTTTACGGCAGCTTCCAGAAACCCATCCTAAGTCGGTAGGTGTCCCCCGCTTTCGTCTCTGGAGCAGGATGATACGTGTGCCCTCGTTTTTTGCACACCTGGTCCTGCTGCTGCTACCGCTGCCAAAGCTCAACTACCAACGCAGCAGAAGCAGCACACACAGTCAGCAGCTGCACATGCTACTGCTGACTGTCTGTGCTGCTTCTGCTGCGTTGGTAGTTGGGCTTTGGCAGCTTTGTCCGGTGGCGTCACGACGTGTTGCAAACGCTGCGGTCTATGAACATCGCGTTTGAAGCGGCAGTCCCCCTCGGACCGGCAGTTGCGGACGTCTTGCTTGCCAAGAAGAAGATTGCGATCAAGTGTACAGGTAAATGCCTTATTAGGGGAGCTAGCTACTGGCCTCAGAAAAACGCTTTTTGCACGCTCGCAGGAGACGTGCGCTGCTTTGAAGGCCCCAATCTTCTTCATGACGGAAGTCCCTTCGCCCTTGGCGAGATGGGCCGCACACAGACACACGGGCACACACACACACACACACACACACACACACACACACACACACACACACACACACACACTAGCCCCTGCACGCACAACCTCCTTCTACTCAATTCTTGCCTCTGACCTTTTGAGATGCATAGAGACCGGCATTCAGACTTTTTGAGGCATTCACTTTTTGCAGGACCCCACAGTTACTACTTAAATTCTTCGCGCTTGACGGCATATGCCCTTTTACAGAAACGCTTGCTAGAGATTCAAGTGCGTTCCTCCTTGTGAGGACCCTTTTTGATGCTCCGTTCACCACCTTCCCATACGTCAAGGGAGGAGGCGATGTAGAGCTTAGCAAGCTTCAGCCGCGTTTTCGTTTTCCCCGTAGAGATCGGGGTGTCGGGGTTTGGATCTGTGGTTGGTGCTGCATGCAAGCTTTTAGGGTCTTCCGGAGTATGGATGCGTATTTGTTATGCTGCATGCAGGGCTTAAAGGTTTTGCTGCTGCCGCACATGGAATGGGCAGAGTTGCGGGACGCAGCAGAGAAGAGAAAATACATTTGGGCATTTGGCCGGCTTGCTGCTGCCTCTCTTCAGCAACAAGAAACTATACACTTTGTGAGCTCGCTGTTGGGGGTACCGGTGCATGCATGTGCTTTAATGGAAGCGCCTTCTTACAGGGCCTGCTTTTATAAAAGCAACACCATGGCTTGTGGGTGCCGCAGGAAGAAGGACCTGAGGTGTATAGAGAGACGATGTCTGAGGACGGGGAGGCCTTTGCCTTGGAGGCGCACGAAGCTCTAGGAGAGGACGCCAACGAAGATGACGGTCTGCGATCAACACACAGACAGGCACACGGGAGGGCGGCAGCTAAGCCGGAAGGCGTGCAGGCTGCTGTATTTTGTGTTTGTTTCCAGCCATCTGCATTCGTTTCTTTCGTCTTTCCCTATGTGTGTTCAAGCTTCACTTCTGAGTTTCCTCGCTATCGTCACATGCCCTAATTCGCTTTCTCCCTCTTCTGTGCTGCCTTTGCTTATTGTGATGGCCTCTTTTGCGCCTTTCTCTATTGGCGGAGTGCGTTTTTCCTCGCTGTCCATGAGTTCGTCTAAATATCTGTGCCCAGCGTCTTTCGGCCTTCCTCCCATCGCAGCTTCTGCAGTCTTCTTCTTGTCCTCACAGCGCTAAACCCCTCCTGTGTTTTTGATTTCGGGGAGCTCTCTTCTTTCCATGTTGCCGTTCTCTCCGCGCAGCATGCCTGCCACGGCCTTCTTCTTCACCCCAAGGCGGCCGCAGGAAGCGTCGCCAACATGGAAATCTCTCACAAGAAGCTTTAGATGAGGATCTTATACTCTAGGGCTCATGCTAGGCCTACTTAAAAACCGATTGTTAGGCAGGGGGCATGTGGAACGCCGCAATCCTGTTCCCCCCCTCCTCCTTTCCCCCCCGATCTAAGGTTTTCTCCACAGGGAGCCACTTGACTACTGACGCAGTCCACGCCAAATAGAAAGCTACCCAGAATTTATGAAAAGGGATTCCTCATTACTTTGCCTTCTCCCCCCCTCAGGGGTCCTCCTACATAAAAAGGCGGGTGCGCGAGGATGCGCGGCGCAAGGATCTGCTAAGCAGCGGGATTGGCACTTGACATTTAAGTACAGAGGGGTTTTCTTTCCGTATCGCAATTGATATTGAAGTAGCTAAGCCAAGTTGTCGGATATTTTTCTGAATTCTTTGCTGAACATGGCTAGTGGAGTGTCAAGGGCGGAAGCGACGCTTGTCCTCCGAAGGATTTGGCGAATTTTCGCGCTTTGGAAGGCGAACCTATGGCACCAAGAGAGAGGGACTAGGGGCAGGGTGCATATATACGTCTGTGATGATGATGCTGCAGAGAGGGGTTCTTCCGGTTTAGGGTCTGCACTGTCAACATTTGTGGCGGGGATATACGAGGTGACTCGCAGGGTGTAATAATACTGCAGCTTGAATCGAAGGGGGAATGCAGCTATCTGTAAGGAGGTATGGTATTCAAGCTTTAGAGGAGTGGTTACAAACGGGGAGGTGGCTGGATAATGAGTGCCCTTTCTCGGGAGATCTTAGTGTGTGCGTTGGGAGGGCCTTCTACGCCTTCCTGCGGACCTCGCAGTCTATTTTTCCTCCGCCGCGGGTCAAAGCATTGTTATTTAAGGTTTAGACGACACATTTGTAACTGGATTTTTGCGCACATGCGTGTAACAACAAGGCGCAGTGCTCGTGGCTGGTGGCCCTGGTCCCTGGCGGCTGCGGCGCGCGGCTGCGAGATCCGTATTTCTGTGATTCCCTTCGTTTTTACAGCACAGCATGTGCAAATGAGTTTTTCCACATATTCGAAACCTGAGTCGCTCGCTCGCAGACTCGGTGCGTGACTCCCCGAGTTGCAACACTCGACAGCAGCCGACAGCCGTCGAGAGCACATCCAGGAGAGGGGCTCACTCTCTCTCTCTAAGTAGTGATCCCTTGCTTGGCTTTCTTCAGTTTCCCCCCTCCTCCATTACTGCCTTCCCCTGCCCTCCTTTCCTGCTCAATCCTGCGCAGCAGTCTCTAAAGCAACGGAGCTACCCGGCCTCACAGGGAGTGCCGCAGAAAAGTCCTTTTCTCAAGGCCGACTCCTGTGCGATGAGCCTCTCGCTGAACAACACTGCAAATGTGTGGGTAGTAGTACCAGCAGCGGCTGCAGCAGCAGTAGTAGTAGCAGTAGTAGCAGCTGCAGCAGCAGCAGCAAAAAATGGGTGACAAGAGACTACGCGGATTCTTCACGAAAAAGCCCGCAGGAGCTCCCTCGCCAAAGGGCAAGACAGCAACTGCGGCACACAAACCCAAGGCGGTTGTTGTATTCAAGAAGAAAGCTGTTCCTCAAATGCCTGCAAATGGAGCGACTAAGGCAACCCCTAGAGCTGCTGCTGCTGCTGCTGCTGGTACTACCGCTGCTGTAGCGCCTCCTAAAAAGAAAGCCGCATCAAAAGCAATGCCTAAGGCAACAAGCACACCACAACCGCGTAGTTCCCCTGCCACAAGTGACTCCCCGACTTCCGTGCGATCAAAATCGCCAGCAGCAGCGGCAGCTAAACAGCAGCCAGCTGCAGCCAAAGGAGCCGGAGCGAAACAGCAAACTACAGCAAAATCAGTTGCAGCCAAGCAACCAGCTGCAGCAAAAGCAGCTGGAGCGAAACAGCCAGCTGCATCAAAAGCAGCAGCAGCGAAGCAACCAGCTGCAGTAGCAAAACAGGGAGCTGCAGCAAAACAGCCAGTAGCAGCAGCAAAGCAACCAGCTGCAGCAAAACAGCCAGCAGCAGCAGCAAAGCAACCAGCTGCAGCAAAAGCAGCAGCAGCAAAGCAACCAGCTGCAGCAAAACAGCCAGCAGCGAAGCAACCAGCTGCATCAAAAGCAGCAGCAGTGAAGCAACCAGCTGCATCAAAAGCAGCAGCAGTGAAGCAACCAGCTGCAGCAAAACAGCCAGCAGCGAAGCAACCAGCTGCATCAAAACAGCCAGCAGCGAAGCAACCAGCAGCAGCTGCAGCAAAGCAGCCAGAAGCCGCGGCAGCAGCAGAGCAGCTAGCAGCTAAGCCTGTAGGGGCCCGTAAGGAAGCACTCCCACCAAGTTCGAAGATTGCAGGAGAGTCGTTGCCACCAGCGGCAGGGAAAGAAGGTTTAGCAGCAAAAGAGGGTGCAGCAGCCAAGGAGGGAGCCGTTGCAGCAAAGCCCCTCCAGCCTGCAGCAAAAGAAGCAGCGCCGACTAAAGTAGCGGCTTCCAAGGCAGCAGACACGCGAGCGGTGAAGACAGACGGCAGCGCAGCTGCGCCAACAGGAGGTGATGCCCCTGCTGCAGTCAAAAGTGCAGTATCAAAAGATGGAGCAGCAAAGCCTGCAGCGCCTCCTCTGGGTAAGCCTGCGTCCAAGGAAATGGATGTTTCGGCAAAATTACAAGAGGCAGCCGCAAAGTCTGCAGCAGCACCTGCTGCTTCAGGAGCAAAGGCCGATGCGAAGACAGCAATTTCGCCGCCACCTCCCACAAAGCCTGTGGCAGTCAAAGTGACCCCCAAACCCATTGTGTCTGCAGCAGGAGCAGCAGCAGCGAAAGATGCAGAAGCTGCAGGCAAAGCAGCTACGAAGGTGGCAGCCCTAGCCAAATCAGCAGCAGACGTTACGCCTGCCTCTCCTCCAGCCGTGAAACCGTCGCCACCTGCAATGCAGCAGAAAACGCTCGATGCTTCCAAAGGTGAGGGGCCCCCGAAGGGTCTTTTGCAGGCAGCAGCTGCTCCTACAGGAGCAGCTAAACCGCCACTGATACACCCAGGTGACTCTTCAGCCGCTGCGCCAGCTGGAGCAGGCGCCGCTGCGTCAAAAGCAGCAACGGCAGCAAAACCAGCCTCCACAGAAGGCCAGAAGCGGCGGGATGTTCTAAAGGAGGTTCTGGCAGAAGCTCCTCGAGCAGCTCCCTCCGCTACTGCTGCACGTTCACCGAAGCATCCAGCAGTGCCTGCTGCAGCGAAGCCTCTTACTGTGCCTTCTAGGCCCTCGGCAGTAGGAGCGAAGGCGCAGCCAGGAGTGGGAGGAGGTGCTCCCACAGCAACAGAACCAGCAGCACTAGCAGGAGGAGCATTAGCGCCAGGAGGAGCATTAGCACCAGGAGGAGCATTAGCACCAGGAGGAGTATTAGCTCCAGGAGGAGCATTAGCGCCAGGAGGAGTATTAGCACCAGGAGGAGTATTAGCACCAGGAGGAGCATTAGCACCAGGAGCATTCGCACCAGGAGCATTCGCACCAGGAGCATTAGCACCAGGAGCATTAGCACCAGGAGCATTCGCACCAGGAGCATTCGCACCAGGAGCATTAGCACCAGGAGCACTAGCACCAGGAGCATTCGCAGGAGGACCATTCGCAGGAGGAGCACTAGCACCAGGAGCATTCGCAGGACCATTCGCAGGAGGAGCGCTAGCACCAGGAGGAGCATTCGCAGGAGGAGCACAAGCACCAGGAGGAGCACAAGCACCAGGAGCATTAGCGGCAAAAAAGGAGGTGGCTGCAGCTGCGAATGTGGCTTTGGAAAGAGTGCCGGCGTCCGATCGTGCAGGGGGCCCTGTGGAAGCAAAGGCAGCTGCTCCAAAGCCCCCTATGCCACCGCGGAACGTGTTACCAGTGCGCATGCCTTTGCTCGCAATGCTGAGAAGCGTTGAAGAGCATTTGCAGCAGGAGAATGCGGAGGCTGAGAGGCAGCTTCACGAAGCAGACATGCTGCTTGCTGAAAAGCGGAGGCTGGACGCTGCGACACAGCAGCACGAGCAACAAAGCGTGAGGCAAGTCCTTAGGGCCTGGTTGCACCCCGAGGCTGCGGGGAGTGTCGCCGAAGGCGCTGGATTGAAGGGAGCAGAACAGGCAGCGGCGGAGGAGACACTTCGTCGCCTTACAGATATTCGAGCCTCGGGAAGCCCCACGCTGCAACTGCTTGACGCTTTTAGAAAGCATGCGGGTGGGTGGTTTACATAGCGGGGGAGACTTGTTGCTCCTTCGGCCTCGTGGAGTGTGTGTCTTGAGTCTGCGGCTGCCTCTTGCTCGGCTTTTTCTCCGAGGAGATGGCAGCGGGAGGGGGTGGATGGCGCTGGAGAGGGGAGGGGGGGGAAGCTTTCAGAGTCCGCCTTGCCAAGTGACACGTGTAAGTGTTTTGTGCATTGCTGTGTCTCCAGATGTATACTCCATCTGGGAATGGGAAGCGGACTATGAGGGAAGCCCTTATCCACACACCGCAACAGACATCGACGCGCTTGCTACTGCTGCTGAAGCGCTCCAGCGGAGGCTCCTACGCCTGCAGCTCCTCACCTCTCGAAGCCTCAAGACTGCACAAGAGCAGATCCGAGGGACAAATCTGGAGGAATCCACCGCTTACGGCCTCGTAAGCACCGAGCCAGCGAGCCACACACAACCACACATTTACACTTTGCTGCCTCCTTCTTCTTCTTGTTGCTATTCTTTTTGCCCCCCGTTTAATAAACGTTTCATGGGCCTCTGGTGTGCCGTATTTCTCACCTCCTCGTACACCCCTCACGCTGCTGCTCTGCTTTCTCTCACTCGCTCTTTCATAGTGCATTTCTCTACTTCTATGCTTGTTGCATGGGCCCTTGCGCGCCGTTCGCTGCGTCGAGAAGACCCTTATTCGCTGTTTTTCTCTTCGCAACTACTCCTGCTTCATCCCTTTATATATGTGCCTTCTTTCGCCTCCCCCCTCAGCCTCATCCAGGGGCCGCCGCTGCGCATCGCCGTCTGCCCCCTCTGTCTGCTCCCCTATACAGAAAAGTGTTCTGCAATGCACATGCATATGTATCTATCTACTGAAAATATGTGTCTGTGTACATATGTGTACATGAACAATCTGCGGCATGACAACCACCCGTATCCTTTTGTCTGCCCCGTGACGGAGCCTGCGAGGTGTTTCCTCTATGCGCCTGGTGCTGCTGCTGCTCTCTCTTTATCTGTCTCTCTCTCTCTCTCTGTTTGCCGCTTGACTGCCCTCAGGACTTGGATGCGGCCTATCTGAGCTCCTTAGAGTCTGTTGTCCGCTCCCTTGACGTGAAGCTTCTTCTGGCGGCATCAAAGGACAAGGACCCCGATGACATCCTTGCTGAGTTCTGCAGAAAGGCGCTCACGGTAGAAACACCCAGAGGCGCACTCGAAGAAATAACGCAAAAACACCAGGACCTGAAGCAAAAGAAGAGCCAGGTAGAAGCAGACAGGCGAGAAAACCTTCAACGGGCCCCTAAAACTGCGGAAACGGGAACAGCGAGCGAAGCCTCCAAGGAGCCGCCTTCTTCCAAAAAATTACCTGTCAACATTCGCATTCCTAGAGATCCTTCCCTTTTTTCGGATTTCTCCATCATGCGAAAGAAACCTTCTGCGCCTTCAAGCAAGGGAGCAGCACAAACTCAGACCGCGGACGCCAGCAGCCCTAGGCTTGCCAAGCAATGGCATGCCTCCCCCAAGCCAACCGCTGTCTCTAAAGAAACACAGTCCAAACAGCCCATCACGAAGGGAACCGGAGAACACAAAGCGACAGCAGCACGAAAGGCCAACCCGCAGAAGCTTCCTGAGACACCGAGGGCCCCTAAGGATGGACCTAGACAAACGCAGAAACCTCCTGAGACACCGAAGGCCCCTAAGGATGGACCTAAACAAACGCAGAGGCCTCCTGAGACGCCAAGAAAGACGGCCAAAGAGCCCGTATCCACGGTGGAGCCTTCGAAGGCAGCAGTCAGTCGGAAGGACTCTTTGAAAGGGTCTTTTGAGAAGGGTTTGGGCCCCACAGGGGTCCAAAAATATCCAGGATTTCCTTCTGTAGTGGTCCTAGCGCATACAAAGAGAGCGGCCCCTCAGCGTGCGTCCTAGCCACTGGTTTGACGTACTTGGTGTTTTCCAAAAACCCTGAGCAGTTGCTCGGCAGTGTGCTAAGCAACTGATGCGGAAAGACTTTTTTTGTCTCTTCTCGAGTATTTTCGTTGCGGCTCGCTACGTTTGAAACAAGGGTTGGGGGTATATGCATTTCTTTGAAAGCAGGTCTTCTGTTTAACCCGCACTTGATCCCAAAAGTCTTTGTATGGGGTGGTACTTCAGTTGAAAGATACAGACCTTGGTATAACGTTCTGTAGCACGCTAGGCTACACCGGAATACTCTCTACTACGACAGCTATGTTAAGTATGAATTAGTAGAGAATTGAGTTACGCATTTGTTTGTTCGTATATCGTATGTGATGCAGGGTTGCATTAGCACAACAAGAGATAGTGCAGTGTTGTGGATGTGCGCTGGGTGATATGTGTGTAGCCTTGTATCTAAGGTCTCCCTAATAAACCGTCTACCTGTCGAATCAGTACAGATTTAGTAGGATGGGGCTATTGATTGTATTGTCACCAGTCTCCCGCCTTCTCTTGCCTCATTCCCTGCAGTTCGCGACATGAGTAAAGGGGGACAGCAAGGATGCGCGGAGCTGCATTCTTTAAGCACTCCGACCAGTCACAGTTAGTCGTAAATATCACCTAGCGCACGTGCACACGACCTCGCGTCTTCTTGTTTCCAGCCAACATTACCGTGCAGTACATTAGCAATGCGAACAGATAAATCAATGAGTCAATTTAAGTACAAAAAGCATGGTAGAAACTACCTACGTGGTTTTCTCCCTAAATTCAAAGCACACACCACAGTGTTTCAGGAGTGGCTGTGTCCGTCGAAACCAAGCGCATGCAAGACAAAAGCGTTCGTGGCCTATCGCCATTCCCCCGGCAGGTAGAAGCGCAAAAGCGATTTCCTTTTAGCGGTTGATGCACAACCTTTAAAGGAAATCGGCAGAGATAGAGGACACACATATATCTACACATACCCACACACAACGAGGAACCGAATCAACACGACTTCGCCGGCGTGCTAGCTTAGTGCCTTCGGAGCGCTGCTATGTGTGAGCTTCCTGCTACATAAGGAAAAATGTTGGGACAAACCACCTGCGAGTACCTGTGCGTACAACTGAGTGTAGAAAACGCGCGAGCGATGTTATTCGGAACGTCTTTAAGCATAAATTTAAAGAAAGTAGCTATTTTAGGCACAGCGCGCGCTGGAGGACAACCAACGAAGAACGCGAGGAACACCGTCCATGGCTACCATCGCTAACCAAACAGAGCAGCCAGTTCTACTGCGGGCACTGAAGCATGCAAATGCTCCTTATTAACCAGTGAGGCCGGCTTTATCCATCCCACTTCACTAGAACCTCTCGTTTGGTGGATCCTTGCCGCTCGGGAGTCCGCGAACCCCGCGCTTCTACGGCTCCCTGTGGATCGTCCGCCTTCATAAGGGACACTCCCCTGCGCGGGAAAGTTCGCGGCTAACTTGCAAAGAACTGAATTATTTTAGAAGGCCAACATTAATAGGTCTGTGGCACCTTCAAGTTTTAGGCGAATTTCTAGATTGAGAAAGAGCATTGATTCGTGAGAGCACCGCAGATGGTTCTAACCACCTGGTAGCAAACGTTTTTGTGTGGTATCCTTCTGGTGCGCCTCTTACAGACTTCCGATTCACAAGGACCCTATTTCCCTTCTCCGAACACACTGGCAGCCGCCGCTTTTTGCCTCGTGCCTCTCTCTCTTGAGCATGGCACATACCTTCGTGTGCACTAGTCAGCTGTTAACTTAATCCAGCCGTCGCCATCGCGGTATATGGTAGCTGGTGACTGTTGAATTGGGACTCTCAGGTTCAGGTGCGGATTGGAAAGGCGCTGGCCATGTAGCCCAAGGATGCGAGAGAGCAAAGGGTAAGCCAGTGTACAGTTGGATTAAAAATCCGCTGAGCACAAGGAAGAACCTCAATTCATTTTATTGGGTTTGTGTGACCTTACACTCAAAAAAATATTGCAGAAGAGTCCAGTTGGAGCACTTTAGTCGTCAATCTGCCTCAGGGAGACTTGCAGTGGCCAAATGCTGGTCAACGCGTGGGCTAATCGTGAAGGCATGCCAGAACAAACTAACGAACTTCTGATCCATACCTGTATTGATATTTGTGTGGAATCCGTGAAGCTTCGAAACATTATTTAAGAATTTTTTGGAGACTCCCTGAGCTGTCAAATGGATGCACGGAATGGAACGGGCAATGGAATGGGCACAGCTGCTGAGTCTGGCGACAAAGGCACAATATATTTCTTACCCTTGATCTTTATCAGTCAGGCCGAATTGTTCGTATCGGTCCAAATCCTCTTGGGAGCCGAAAAGCTCTGCAGAGGCCGGGTTTAGGAAGTTTGCGTGGCTTCAGCTGCCGTGAGAAGCATCCCAGTCCACCAGAAGTGCCATGAGAGCTTCTTCAACGTAATGTAGATTCCGCTATGGCCTGAGAGCGGTACTGTGGAACAAAATCGGTATTTACAAGCAAGGAAACTCCCACATTGTTTTGAAGTACAGCAGGCCATCCTTTACATGACAGTGCATAACTTAACCCTTTTGCCATTCTGGTTTTTGGCGATAGTAGTGAGTGCATGGGTGTCACAAACATAGGACTCCCTTGATTTCCATAAACGTCTTCAATCATCACAAGCAAGGGCAGTAGTGCTGCACAATAGTGAAGCATTTGGGCTTCGCAAAAACTCATGGGCGACGACGTTGGGAGTCGCTGCCCATCCTGAGGTCACGTGGCGTGACCCTTCCCATAGAGCAGATATGAACCACTTGTGGAGCAGTAGATCTTCCAGTGAAGTTGTGTCTCTGAGAAACCAAGCTTGCACATTTTTGAAGTACCAAGCACTTCATAGATTTCTTTGCTTCACCCTTCTCCATTCTCCCAAAGCTTGCTGTTGAGCTAATGTTGACATAAACTGATGAACCACACCGTTCATGAAGGCTTGAAGTGGGATGCTAAACTCTGCTGGTAGAGAGCTACCTCTACATGAGTATAAGCATTGTTGAAGTGCCGTGCCCTCTAATAAACATGCCTCAAGGTGCATTACAAACAGTACTCCATAGCCAAGGGGTAGATGAACTTTACGAATTTTACTTATATTCCTGGCCGCCATACTGTTGTGGCTCGTATAAATTTATCGACGCATCCCGGGACGTATACACGGCTGACACCGCATGCCTTTCTACCAGCTGTGGAGCTACTGCGTCCACATCAGATTGCCAACGGGCATTGTGCCACCATCAACACTCATAGGCAGAGCGCATTGTTCTACATACTGTTGCCAAAGGCAATGAGCGTAATGAACTATCAATCAACTTAGTCAAAAATAGACTACTGCTGTAGGAAGCCCGACTTCCCACTGAATGCACGGCCAGTACATCAGCGAGGAATAGCTTCATCGAGTCGTGCGGTGCTGTCATATGTAGCCCTCCATCTAAGGTCTCCGCAAGGAGTGCTTAACTGCACTGTCTATTCAAGCTTGAGAGGAGGTTCTTAAGTGGGTTCCCACAAAACCCTGCCTGCCCTTGCCCGCGTCCCTAGGAGTTCCTGGTATCAGGAGAAAGAGACGAATAGGGTGCGCGCAGCAGTGCCTGCTGAGCACTCTGAGCATTCATAGCTAGTTGTAATAGACATCTAGCACACGAACAAAAAATGCGTATGCCGGGAACGAGCCAACAGTACTGGGCGATAAACAAGGTTTTTGAACTGCCACAACAGAGAGTCCAATCTTAACTCATCCCTAATCATAAATAACTAGCCTAGTAGCAAGTGGCAAAGGGCAGATTTGACCGCGCCATGTGTATGTAGCACACCTAAGGCTGTCACCCCCCGTCCCCCCCGCGCTGTTCATAGGGAGCTACTACCTCACTTTCTAGTGAGTGAGCGAATGGCGCTTACGACAAATAGGGGCTTTGTGTAGGCCGCCTGTTTCCTAAGAGTGCTCTGAGTCTTGGGCAACTTGGTAGGGTATCCTTTCAGCACGTGCCAGGGCTTAGCGTAGTGAAAATATGGCAGGCTTCGGGATTCTTGGAAACGTCATAATTAGAACTCAAAAGCTGCACTTTAGTGGTTAAGCGAATATTTCTTGATCCTCAAGTTCGAGAAGGGCACCAGAGTAACTATATGAGATTCGGGGCTGGGAGAGGCCATCCCACGGCTGCATGCGGCCGAAGTCCGCGCTCTCAGGTTTTTGAAGTATTTTTTGGCAAGGCTTTTTTGTGCTTTCAGACAAGGCTATGCAGAGCCTTAAAGGTGGAGCAGAGAAGCGCAATCGGCAGTAGGCAAACAAGCGGAAGGCTGGGGGTGACGAAGGCGATACTTCCTGCTCTGTTTCGTGCTGCAAGTAGCGGCAGCACCAGCTGCTGCTGCAATTAGCAGTGCCAGAATTCGTGTGCTGCTTTTTCCTATGGCCTTTGGGAGCCATAAAGCGAGGGCATCCACCCCAAACCCTGCGCACTCCCGCTCAAACTGTTGCAATGGAGTCGAGCATACGGCGCCTCTTTCGGGCTCGTCGCACTTGCTGTGAGATACTGGAGGATAGAGGCTATTTGCTGCCTCCCCAGGAGAAGACCGAGGCTTTTAACGAGTTCGTTCAGCGCTTCAACGACAATGAGCAATCGTAAGGCCTCTCTAGGGTGCTCTCTCACAGGCCTGCCTGCCTACACGCGTGCATGCCTCCTCCCTTTCTTCCTCCCTCTTTTTGAATCAGTCTGCCTCCAATCAGGGCCCACCTCTGTGTAATAACGTCTCTCGGCGGAGCTCCGGGGGTGGCGATGGGGGAGAGGGATAAGGAGGAGGGAGGGAGGGCTTCGAGGCTTCTGGCTTTCGTCACCGGCTCCTGCTGCTCCTACTGCTATGGACAGATCTGCATTAAACGGCTGTAAAACGTTGGCCATTGTTGTAGACTCTCGCTCTCCTCCCGCCTGTTCATAACGCGCTTCGGATTCATATGCTGTTGCAGACGTTCTCGCATGCTGTTGATCGCATCGCACAAAGTCGATCCTGAGGCGAAGGTGATTGTATATTTTGCGGACGAGATCAAGAAGACAGGGGTCAAGCCTATCAGGGAGTAGGGCGCTGCTCCCAGGGGTATCGGTTGGATTTCGCTCGTGTTCTCTGAAGAAGGGTGCTATGTTCATTGCCCAAACGCCACAGTACGGTATTTGCATTAAGCTGTGCAGTGGGGCAGGTGTGTGTGTGTGTGTATATATATGTATGTTCATGTTTGAGGGTTGGTGCCTGTGCAGGCTGACGGAACGTATGGAAGAACGAAATATCCACAGGGCGATCCTCGTTACGCAAAACGTCCTCACGGCTTTTGCTAAAGATGTAGGAAGCCCCTAGAGATGCCTGTCATGGAGAGCTGGAGAAGAGCTCGTGTTTTTTCAAGCACCCCATACCACATCCTCAGAGCCTGAGATTTGCTTCAGCTGCCAAGACGGCTGCAAGGAAGCACTTGTTAAGGAAGGCTGCTACTGGGCTGCAACAAACTCGTCGCGCGTGCTGCTGTTTCTCTTGCTGTTACTGTTGACGCTTCTACGCCTTTCGCGCGCTTGGCTTTCGGCGGAGTGTTTTTGCGTCCTCAGGCCATAGCCGAGGCGGCTCCCCGTCACATCATTGAGCACTTTATGGAATCGGAGTTGCTTGTGAGCAGCAGGAGGCGACACCGTCTGCTTCGCGAGCAGTGCTTCTGTGGTTGCCGCGTTTTAGCCGCTTGTCGCGGGGGTGGAGGGCTGAGGATCGTGGAGGGCATGCGTTGCGTCGGGCAAGGCGTTTCCTGTGCAGGTTAACATCACGAAGCATGAACTGGTGCCAAAGCACGTGCCCCTCTCGCCGGAAGACAAGCAGCAACTTCTGCAGCGCTACCGTGTGCGTCCTTGATGCGAAATAGGCGCTAACGCCCCTTGCGAGCGAATTCCTGGGCAGGCAGGCAGCCAGCACAAGGCTCAATCACAGGGGAGTTGCATGCGTGGCGTCTCGTCTGCGGTGGCCCGAATTGGGGCTTTATGCATGCGCGCATGCAGGTGAAGGAAGTGCAGCTCCCAAGGATCCAAGTAGCCGACCCGATTTCTCGGTACTTTGGTCTTTCGAGAGGGCAGGTCTGTCAAGCTGTTGTGGAGAAATTAAGACTGCCAGGCCGTGTCTTGTTGCCGCATGGAAGCTGTTTCCCTGTTGCTGCGTTACGGGCGTTAGGTGCTGCAGTGCCAGTTTCCCGCGTTGCTGCAGATATCTGGTGCTGTGGGGTGAGGGTCTACTGTGCAGGTGGTTAAGATCATTAGGCCCTCCGAAACTGCTGGCCGTTATGTTACTTATCGGTTGGTGGTCTGAGCTGCATTTGGAAGGGCGGCAGCTGCGGGAGCATATGGGCTGCAGTCGCTTCTGGAAAGCTGCGCATTCGCTTACTTGCCGCTTCAGTCGCAGGAGCAGCTGGACTGCTGCCTGACTGGCTGTCACGGTTGCGATGCGCTTGCAGCAGCGTTCACGCGACTGCTGCTCTACGCGGAGGCGTCTGGCGCGCCAGTGGGCCCTTGTCGTTGGTCCCACGTTTGGGGAGGAAGTATTGCAGCAGTGCAACTATAGCACAATGTTCAGCAGGTGGGTTAAAAACCAGGCAGTAGCAGGCAGGAGGGGTAGTCTGCGCTAGTCCGCAGCGGTCGTCACGAGGCTGCTGCATCGTTGGTGACGAATTCGGTGTGAGCCGTGTGCTTTTTTGAACGGCCTGCGTTTGCCTGTATGGGTACGAGCCTCTACGGGAGGGGGAAGAAGGGGGGAGAAGGAGGGATGAGGTTAAGGCGGTGCTGCGGGCAGAGGTGGTGATGGTGGTGCAAGGCACCTCCACCCGTAATGCGCTTCCTGAGTTCCTCTGAACGAAACCGATATTCAAATGTATTCTTGAAGGGAGAGCTTTTACTGCTTTCTCCAGGGGCATTTGAGGAAGGAGGGTACGCGTAAAGCGGCGCACTTTAGAATGATGCGAAGAGAGATATTTTTACACCATCCGTGTAGGCAGGGTAAGCAAGAGAGACAGAGGAGGCTCCTGAAACAGCCCATTTGCTTCCAATAGGCAGATAGAATACGTGAATGCTTTGTTAGCCCGCCGTCTCTGGAAGTTGCTGTGGGTAGCGGCGCGCCCTAAATCAAATCCGGTACATGCATGCAAGGGCAAAGTTGGAGGGCTTCATGGTTGCGGCTTCCCGTGCAACAGGGTGCTCGCATGTCTAATCAGTACTGTCGTCACTTCTCAGAGACTCCCTTCCCGTCCTGCGGCCTAACGATTGGCTTCTTTCTGTTGCACACACATCTTTTCTACCCAGTTGCCTCTCGGAGCCTAGATTACCTGCGGCTAGGTTCTGCCATGTGGTCGTATGTTTGAGAGGCAGCCTTTTGAGACTACTCACGATTGCGTTCCGGAAAATACATTTAAGAGGATCCTTCCCCTTGCCCCCATTGCTCATCCCAATTTTTTTCCGCGCAGAAACACTCTGCATGCCTTCCCGTTAAACCATCCTATCCCCCCTTCTCATAGGCCAGCAACTGCGTAGACTCGCTGAAATGCACCCAATTAACGGAGCAACGTCCGCATTTTGCTACCCATATATCTATACCTCCATGTATGGATGTCTATATGTACATATATGTATATATACACCCGGGGGAGCTGTGTGGCCTAACGTGAAAGCCTCCTGCCCCAAAACCTCTGTAACAAGTCACTCTTCGTCCATCATGCGTGAGACGCGCAATAGACGCTCGCGACACCCCCGTGTGGAAATCTGTGCTTCAAGTGAACTGTGTATCGCACTATTAATAGCACCACACCCGCATTGGGGCAGCAAGGACGCGAACTCATCCTCTATGCACGTATCGTAACGCCTATCTGTCCTTCTGTGAGTTTGACGTCTTGATTAAAATTTCTTGCCGTTTGTTTGGCGTAAAGACGTTGTAAGGAATACATGGCCAGCTCTGCAAAACGCCTGGTATAGGGAAAAGAAGGGTGCAGGGAGGCGGTCTGTGTGTGAGGAAGGGCCTCCTGCATGAAAGGGGCGCGGGCGGCACGTAAAACAGGAGACAAAGGCGCGTCTGAATAAGGCGCTAGAGTGAGATACACGGAAGAATGTGAGAATGGAAGACTGCTTGCTCGAAGTCGTTGCCTGTGTTTGCGTGTCTCTCTACCGAGCTCTTCGTGTCCCTACGCTTTCAGGGTTATATGCCCTGTGCTGATAAAAAGTAAACACCCTGAATGCTCATCACGGGAGCTTGAGAGCACCACCAGACGCAAGACATACACACGCACCTCCTCAAGGCAGCACCTTTCCTGCGATATTTTAGCCAAGCCAGCGGCGCTTGGCCTCCTTCCTCTTCCCCTATTCCCCCCAAGTGACACGTGCAGCGGAGTAGGTTGCGCATCAACAGCCCACCCATTTCCATCATCGAAGCGAAATAGAACCGCTGATGATGAGGCTTTCGCGGCACGGGCCATGGAAACAACTACAAAAAGGTCTTCTTAAGCGAACAATGGAGCATCTGTCATGTCCAGGAGGAGGCAGAGAGGGCACTCTGTGATGTTGTGAGCGGGAACCTCGCAGCCACAATTCGAGGCGACCATCTTTGCAGGCTTCTCACAGAGCCTAATACCACTCTTGCGCCTGGCTTTGGCTGCCTCCTCAAGGCTCTCCCGCTGCTCTTGCTCATCGCGCTCCTTCTGTAACCGGCGACTTTCCCTGTCCAGAGTCTTGGCACGTCGTGCTGCTTCCTCTGCCTCTCGTTGCTCTGCCCGTTTCCTCTCTGCTTCTTCCTTCCGCCGCATCTCTTCCTGCAGTGCCTCCTCCTGCCGTTGCCGCGCTTCTTGCTCTTGCCGCCTCCGTGCTTCCTCGGCCTCTTCTCGGGCGCGCTGAAGCTCCTCTGCCTCTCGCTGCTTCTGTCGTTGAGCCGCCAGCTCTTCTTGCCTGAGGCGCTCTGCTGCGTCTCCCGCTTCCTTCGCAGCTGCTGCGGCCTCGGCTGTCTGCTTCTTTTTGGCGTCTTCTTCCATCTGTTGTTGCCGCCTCTGCTCTGCTTCGCGCTCGGCAGCCTCCTTTTCCTCCTTCTCCTTCTGCATCCTCTCCGCGGCTCGTCGCTCTTCTTCCTGTTGCGCTCGTCGTGCCTCTTCCTCCTTCTGCCTCTGTTGCATCTTCGCCTCCTCGTCGACCTCGGGCTCAAGAGAAAGCGCCTCTTCCGATCCCTCCTGGCCTTCTTTCTCCCTCATATCTTGGGGGCCCTTCCGCCTAGGCTGCTTTGTAGCACTTCGTCCGCATTTCCCCCCCATTGTCGGTTCCCACACCCTCACCGCTAGTGCTGCACAAGCGCTGCCTTGGGTGGTACTGTGACCTCCCTGTCAGCCTTTGAAGGCGCAGCCCTGCTGGCAGTGGAGGCGCCGAGGCGAGAGGCTCTAAGGAGAGGAGGGGAAACAAAGGACGCAGGGAGATGTGGCTAGGAAAGCCCCCAGACACTCAATAGAGCACTAATGACATCCAGAGGGAGAAAGCTCACCAGAAAGGGCGAATTTAAGGATCGGCGTCAGCTCAGCCCAGTGAGCCTTCGCAAAGTCTTGGGGTCTCTTTATCCTGGGGAGAAAGCCAGTTGCGCGCGGGGAAAGTGGCTAAAGAGACACTTCGGCTAACTGTTAGCCGATGGCGATGATGTGCGCCACCCCTAGCAGAGCTATGGCGCCCATGGATGGGCGATTAAAGACTTTCTTCTCCTTGCCCTTCCTACAGGCTCTCAGCTGCAGAAAAGAGTCTCGAGAGCGAAAACCAAAATAAGGGCTGCTTGCGGTGCTCTCCCTTATCCAGCACCAGGGATTAGAGATGCACACCAGGCCTGAAACTGGTGACGACCGAGGGGCATGCAGTGGCGGCACCCCACCAAAATACACAGGCTACGGTGATATTTTACAAGACAAAGAATGTTATCCACAAAATTAGGCTCTAAAGTACATAGGCGACTGGGGGCCTCGTCCGCAAGGCCCTCACACAACCCGCCCTCAAAGACCGTCGCTGCGCTGCTGCTGCTGCTTCTGCCGCTTGTTGAAGTTCTTCCTATCCTTCCTGCCAGCCAAGTAATGCATGCGCTCCATTTACGTGGCCAGCCTCAACTCATTCACAGCCCTTGCAGCGGTGACGCACTTTGAGCAAGCCGGTACTGCCCATCTGGGGTGCCCGTAGCTACTAGCCGCGTACGGAGGATGGCATCGACATAGGAAGCACTGCCACGTGCAACTATATTTTCACGCACATATTTGATATATCACATACTGTAGCTCAGGGCATGCTCCCTCTCCTGTCTTATCCAGTGAATTACTCGCATGTTGACTGACCAGTGGCATGAGGAGCCCCTGGTCGGTCGATCATGCACTGCAAAGGCATAAGCGCCTCCCTCCTTAGAGGGCGCCTGCGCAGATCTCTCGGTCCTCTCTTCGCTATAACAAAGAGCTCAACTGGAGCAATACAACCAGTAATGCTACAGAACTTCAGATCTCTAGATAAAGCCTTACAAGCAACCCTTATTACACACTGCCGGACGCGGGCGGTCAGCGCATGAAACGTTCCTTCCACGGCTGTTGCTGCAGCGGACCAACCAAAAACCAGACTTTTCGAATTACTTAGGCTCTACTTTTTTCATATAGATCTACCAATTTGGCATCTGCACGAACGTGCCCCTTAATTTCTCTTGGTTCTGGGTCGGGGTAGTCTCGTGTTATGATCCTGTATTTGCGGCAAGCCTGCGCCTCAAAGTGTATTTCGTGTGACACTGTGCGGATGCTTGGGGCACACATAGGGTGTAAATGCTTGGGCCAGTCTCTTCCACTCAAGTAATCCGGTATCCTGGAACCTTGGCAAAGGGCTTCCTTGTCGTGAGGTAGTCTAAGACACCCACTGAGGGCTAGAGCATCGACCTCCGAGCTCCATAGTCAAGTCAAGCCCCAAGCGCTCGCTTCAAAAGAATTCGCGCATAAGTCTGAGCGTCTCGAGTTGCACACGGACGCCTGAATAGAACAGAGGCGGGTGCCAGGGGTCCCTAAAATGCCGGGTGGCCATCCTACGCCCATTCATATGTGCATCTGGAGAACTGTGATGAGCGGCTAGTTCCTAGGCATTCCACTGAGGGGACCTGAAGGGATATTCCCTCTGTAGGTCTGCACGAACTCGAGAATAGAGGCGCTCGCTTCCCTCATTTAGACTTAGAGAAAGGAAACTTTAGTTGACCTTAGGAGCCGCTACGTGGCCTTCCCCGCGTAGGTTGCAGACCACATGAAGGACAAAGTCGGTTACTCGCTCATTGGGCGGGGGCAAAGGACCGATGTTCTGTCGCACGGGAGAGACATTTGGCTTCTTTCCCAACTTTTAGGCAGCCCTTCCCCTGATCCCCCATCGGAAGCGTTGCTGTCTCTCTGCCTCTCCCATTGAGGAAGCGAGGGAGGCGGTGCAACCCGCAGTTAGCAGCAGGAAGGCCGTCCCCCTTGTGCACGGCAAGGGGTGCACTGCTCACCACCCCGCGTTATTAGTCGCTCTGCTCCAGCGTTGTTTCATAGAGCGGCGGCAGCAGGAGGGGCTCTTCGTTGTCTAGAGGTGCCTCTAAAGGGTTCCTAAAACAGCCGGTCGAAATATAATTTCCGTATGTTGCTGTCCACCCCTCTGCAGCAGACACAGAAAGGAGAGCAGCTCTTTGCCAGCATTTGCCTGAGGCGTCCGCAACCGGAGTGCAGTGCCCCTCGAAGGACGCATTGCTTGCACCCTGTTTTACACAGCCCACAACGGGCAAGCAACATGCGCAGCGACATGGCAGCAACGGGAAGCAGTAGTAAGGCCTCGTTTACAAGAGAGAAGGAAGCTATATATGTATGTATTTCAGGGTAAGCACGGCAAACAGTCCATACGAGATGACGTTTGCACCGGTTGGGCTCTTGTCGAAAGAGCAAGAAAACGATGAGAGGGCAAGAGTGACATGGCGGGCCAGGAGGAATAGACTGCCTTTTGTTTGCCGCGGTAGGCTCGCTTACTCTCATAGACAAGAAGGAGCCTCAGAGGCTCAGCCCAGTCTTCCGCTGGGAAGCAATCAATTGTGCCAAGACTCTGAGCATCCCCTGGGTTGTCTACATTGAAGCGAACGATGGAGAGGCTCCCCCGTGCGTCGTTCGCCAGTGCATACAGCTGGACACACACGCACAAGGAGACTGATAGCAGGAAAAAACTTGAGAGCAAAACGACTTCGTCTAGCAAGGCGAGTGCGAGGGTCACCAAGGCACCACTCCATCGGACCGGCCTGCCGAGGTTCCAGCACATGGTAAGCAAGAGGACCGGCTACGTGGGCTGTGGTAGAGTTCAGCGCTTCACCTGTCCGTCGAAGATGCGAATATCCTCCACGCGTTTGTTGGGAAGCAGGTGCACGAGGCTCCCAGGCGCTGCTACAGAAGCGTCTACAGACGTCCAAGGCTCCAAGGAGGCCGCAGCCATGGCCTCGGAAGGGCGAACTACCGGCATTCTGGAAGACGAAGGATCCACAAAGAAGCAAGTTCACATTTCCCCCTTCCCCGTTCTCTTGTATGCGTCTAAGTGGTGCTGCTCTTCGTGCTCCTCCTTCCACCGCTAATGCAGCCTACCGCATGTCAACTTGCTGAATTCTGCCCGTGAAGTCGCCCTGGCCAAAAACGCCATTCGCGAATGCCCTGTGGCCTGCGCAGCAACAACAGTAGTTCAGGTTCCAGTAAGCGCGCGCACATAGAAACACACAAACACGTACACTCACATACATACATACATACACACAAACAAACAAACAACAAAAACACACACACACACACACACACAACAAATACACACACACACACACTTTCCTTCTACGGCCGCCACCAAATGCGAAAGACAAGATGGTGCAAGGCTTGTTGCTATTGTTGGCACAGAAGCCCTAGCAAGGAAGGCCCCCACTACGTGCGTCGGCTTGGAGTACCCTGGGTTCAGAGGTGCCTCTACGGCAAATGAGAAAGTCATGCATGCAAAGCCAAGCGCAAGGCGGCCTACCTTCCACCCTCAAGGGCCACAGCATTCGCTTCGTCTGCGGAATCTTCTGTACGACTGGTCGCGCCAGTCTGCAGTCGAGGCGCAGCAGGGCGAAGCATCCAGCAACTGAGCTCTCTCCAACTGCAACAACGTTGCTGCTGCTGCTGGTGCGCAAGCTGCTGCTGCCACCTGCGCTGCAGCACCAGCCAGGAGTATTGTCAGACCTCCCCTCCGAACGTGAGGCGTACGGGCACCGCATTGAGAGCTGATCGACGTCCACAGCGTGAATCCAGTGCCCTGAGGGAACGCACACCCAGAGATAGGAAGGCATGTGCTCACGATAAGTTGAACAGTCTACATCCGAGGGGGACTAGAAGCACAGAGCGGCCCAAACGCAGATGCACCTTTCAAAGACGTGCGTAGACGGAGAGACAGAGAGGGAGAAAGAGCGAAAGAGGAAGCGACTCTTTGTGAGACGCCCAGAGAAGCGGAAGAGGGCGACTGGCAGGCAGAAAATACTCTGGCCAAGATACAGAGGCGTACAGAAAGCTCAGCGAGACTACATCAATGGAAGAGTGCCTTTCAAAATGCAGAGCAAACATAGTGTTGGGGGCATTGGCAGCGGAAGAAAATCCTGCCCCCTTTCCTAGGATATATCGAGAGCCACTGGCAGCAGCTGGGGGCCGCCTACTTCTACTTGTTCCTTCCCCCATCCCCCACGCCTGCGAACCCCTAGACCTCTGATGCTACTCCTAATTCGGCCTAGCCGCCTTACAGTCTCCCTTCGCATAAGAGGCCTCTCACAGGCGGGTGGTGCCTCCTCCTCTGTCTCCCTCTGGCTAGTCTGTGTTCCCCTCTGTGCCTTAGGCCTCAGAGCCCTCCTGCGGCGAGCAGTCGGTTTTTCTCACCTTCGGTTTGCTCCGGCTTTATGGCTCTGCTGACGCCGGACTGAATATCCAAAAGGTCTAAGCCCGCAGGATAGCGGCTTGCCGTCCTCACTGCGAGGACGTGCTGCTCCGTCCCACACAGCCGCAAGTCGTTTACTTCTTGGGAAGCCCTCAGGTTAGGCGGCAGGAGGCCGCTCGGGAAGGCCCTGCCAAGACAACGGGCGCACACAGCAGAGGCCGCTAGCTGCATCGATGTCTGCCTCTATTCGCAAAATCCGAATCACAATGTAGCAGGAGGGAGAGGGACCCCAACCTCCGAGCCTTGCGAAGGCAAGCCATGGTGAACGCTCAGGTGACACAGCACAAGGAAGGCCAGAGAGCTCACAACAGGAGCAGCCACAGCCGCAGCCCCCTCACGGTGCACCGAATTATGGAGGGTCGCGGAAGCAAACAAAAGCAGTGCTCCACAAACACACCAGAGCAGAAGCAGGCAGGGGGACTGGCGGGCTGGCAACGCAGCGCGCTGCTGCACTGCTTACGGAATGTGCCGTCCTTTGGCCTCTAGGGAAAAAGGATCAAAGAAGCGAATGACGCCGCTGTCGTCGCCGCACACGAGGATCTCATGGCTTACTGAGCATCCACAGAAACAGGGTTGTACACCGTGTGTCGCAGCTGCTGCAAACAGTCTCAGATGCGACTTAACTAAGGCCGTCCGAAGCGCCGCAAGTCGAATGTCTCGGGCGTGCAGACACTGCAGCTTACGGTCTAGGCAATTGATGGCCCTAGATGATAGGGAAATTCGCGCTTGGAGCGAGAGGTCTCTGAGAGAGAGGATCTGCAGCTGTGCAGATGGCGGGCAGTGTTGCCGTTTGATGCCCTCTCCCGCCAAGTACAAGAATCCAAACTGCTGCCTGCGTATTATGCGAAGAGGGAAAGCGAAACAGAGAGATGGAGATCACGCTAGGGGGGTGTCGATGACGTGCAAGTGCGGGTCTAAGGACTAGAAGGGGCAACGTGGGGGAGCTGCAGATGCGTTAGTTTTGTCGGAGGCGCCTCCATCACCATGCGCATGGCAGCCCCCACCCCTCCCCGTGTTTCGACACTCCTACCTGGCATCCATCGTATTGACATGCGCTGGGTTTGCTTCGCGCTTGATGCGCCTCCATGATGGCGCAGATCCAGACCGAGGCTTCCATCCGTTGCGATCCAAAAGAAGCCGACGGTAGTCAAATCCGTAGGCTTCGTCGTTGAGAGTGTGCGCAGCCCACGCCTCCCACTGAGACACGACAGGCCGCCGCTCGTCGCTGCCGCTCTCGCTGCTTGTGGTAGCACTCCCGTTACTGTCACTGCTTTTCCTGCGGAGGAAGGTGCTCTCCCACAGGCGAGCAGGGGAGTCTGCCTCTACGTGATCCTTGCAGGCCGCTGCGCGTGGTCTTCCTCCCGGAGGTGTAGCTAATGCCGTTTCGCCGATCGTTGCCGCAGCTTCCGCTCGTGCGGGTTCTGCCCTGCCGCACAGCAGCTGCTGGTTGCGGAGCGTCCATTTCCTGCGCAGCCTCAGCCTCTGTTTGAGGGGGGCTCCTAGGGGGAGGTCTGCCGTTCTAGCAGCCGTTGCTGAGAAGCACGGAGCCAGGAGACGCGTGCAACGCAGCATCCAGCAGAGGGGGTGGTCTGCTGCTGCGCGCCCTGCTCTCCCAGCGGCGGCAAGCGCTCCGATTGTTTGACTGTCTAAAAGGCTGCATACCAGAAGCTGCACGCCTTCTGGCAGTAAGGCCCAAGCAAAGTGCCTCCTGCCGGAAGCACCCCCCGCCCCCACCCTGCACGCGGTAGGAAATAGGCACGTCCCTTCTTGGCGCTTCTGCTTCCCAGGAAGCTGCTGTTGCTGCTGCTGCAGGGGGTGCTGCCCGCCCGCCATGAGCCGCTGGGGGTGTCGCTGCAGATGAAGGCCGTCCTGCAGCGTTCCGTGGGAGTGAGGAGGCCCCTCTGAAAGACTTTGCGCGCAAGCCATCGCCGCTCCCAGTGCTGCTCGGGGAGTCTCCTCAGTAGCGGCAGCGCCCAGAGCCCTTGTGCAAGACCTGCACGTGAGCACTCCAGACGCCGCTTCTGCGCTTTCGTCCGGTGCTGCAGCTGGTGGTGCTGCTACTGCCGACTCCCTTTCGACTGCCTCGTACAACGGTCCTTCCCACTGAACATCCGCTTCGCTCTCTCTTTCTCTGCTGATAAACTGCAGCAGCAGCTGGTCCTGCTGTTGCTGCGACAAAGGACTGCGCGGAGGGCGTCTTGGATGGTGCCGAAGTGGCTGATGCTGTTGCAGCGGCAGCGCTCGAATCTGCGGCGGCTGGCGTCGGCTCAAGTGCTGCCGTTTCGAAGTCTCCTTGGAGGCACGCTGTGAACGAGGTGCTGCGAAGGCAGCGTCTCTGCCTGTAACACGTTTTTGCCTGCTGCCGTTGTTTGGGTGTCGGTGGCAGCCCGTCTGGCCGGTTAAAAGGCTACTGCGCAGCCTCTCCGTTTCGTGCATCTGGTGTAAGGCTTTCTGAGGTCGCCCTGGAAGCCGCTGTGGCAACGACGCTCTCTTATGATGGCGCTGTCTTTGCTGCTGCCGCTGCTGCTCTCGCGGTTGACGGTGCAGACGCGTGCAGAGAGACCAACCAAAGCGAGCAGCTGCTGCTCGTGGTTGCTGTTGCTGCTGTTGCTGCGGGTGAGCCTGCTCCTGCTGCTCAAGCTGGAGAGCTCGGCTTCTCCACTGCTGTGCGGCTGTTTGGGGAGCTTCTGCTGAGCAGACAGCTTCTTGTGTGCCCTCCGTCTGCTGACGCAGTTGCGGACGCCGAAGACGTTGATGGACCTTTGCAGCAGCTCCAGGAGGTGTTGCCGCAGCGGCAATTCTGCTTCCCAACTCCCGATGCTGTACAGTGTGATGTGGCAGCCCACGCAGCTTGTGATGGGGGGTCGTTGGCAAGCCCACAGCTGCAGTCGCTTGTGTGTGAGCACGCACAGTGGATCCTGCCGATGCTGACAGGTGTCTAAAGGCGGTGCCTCCCTTCTGGCATCTGCTGGCGCGAGTGTTCATCTTCTTCCGCGGTGGCGAAAGAGAGACTTCCTTGTTTCTCACGCTTCTCAAGGAAACAGGCGTCTGGACTCGCGAAGCAGACGCTCCAGCGCTTGTGGCTGCCCACCCGCTAAGAGCCTCGCCAAGAGGCGTCTCGCTGGCCGTTACAGTGGAGGAGAGGGCAGCACCAGGATGGCTGCTGTTGCTGCTTCTAGGGGCAGCCCCATTCAGCCGGCGGCCTTCTTGCGGCTGCCGCTGCTTTTGGCTGTTTGTTGCTGAGTTGCGCAAAGGATCCCCCTGAGAGTTGAGGAGCGACTGAGGGGGAACGGATCGGAGGCTCGCGCATTCCAGCCGACTGCGCTGCTGCGGCGGGTGCTGCTGAGCCCGCTGAAGCCACAAGGGCTGACCTGGCAAGCCGTTTCTAAGGCAGGTAAGCCCTTGCGTGTGCAGGCTGCCCAAAGAAGGGATCAGTCCACGGCTGCGGCTATCGTGAGACGCTGGAGCGGCGGCTACTGCTGCCCCCGAGCAGGAGGCTGAGACTGGCGCTGCTGCTCTGCCGGCGGAAGGAGCTGCTATCTGATGGCTGGGATGCAAACAGCAGCTCCTCCACTGTGCTCGTCCCAGGGGTCCCTCGCCATCCGACTGCCGCGCTACAGCCCTGTAAGACCGCAAGTCCAATGACGCCGTAGCAGCCGTGAGAGTCTCCAACACACATACTCTCGATTCATCCTGGGGCGTTCGCAAAGGCAGCACACTTTTGATACTGCCGAGGGAAGTTGGACGCGTCTGAGAGGCTGCGAGGGACCTCCCATGAGCGACACGCTTGCCCGCCATAGTCGCCCTCGCGGGTACGTGCACGGCCCAGCTATTGGAGGGCTGGAACGTGTATACTCGAACCCTTCTGAAGTTGCTTCTGCATCTGAGCGTGAAGTAGGAGCGCAGTCTGTCGTTCTGAGAGGGCGGCGTCCTTGCAAGCGTTTTAGAGTGTTTAGCCTATGCTTTCCATGCCCAACGAATTGAGACTACTCTGACCTGTATCGTTCCAGTACGCAGGCCGGCAGTGAAGGCCATTGGCACGAAGGATTCTGGCAAGTGTTCAACACTCCTGCAAAGCGCTTATTTATGCCGAAAGAATGTCTGAGGCTTCCAGTCCGTCAACGGCCTCCGTCACAATAGGAGACTTCCCGAGCTTTGTCCTTGCAGATTGCGAAGAATTCTGTGGATATGGCTCCTCGTGTAACACCCTTTAGCAGAGCAATTGGTACGGAAGCACTATGGTCAGAAACTGTCAGCTTCTGTGCCTCTTCGCCGCTACTTTGGCGACTTCTGAAATTCTCAGTGATCAACCAGTATGAGCTCGGTATATTGGTCCAGAGTTGCCTGAGGGCAATAAGAACTCTGTGTCCCTTGGTGCCCTAACCAATGGCCAGTCCGAACTTGCCCGTGCATGTAGAGCCGGTAATTCCTGTAGGCTCCCACTCTTTGATAGCCTTATTATCTAGAGATTTTGCGATTTATAAGTCCCAGAAGGCAGACTACTGGCCAGCAAGGGCAAGGATCCCCATAGTGTTTGAAATTCTCAAGGGGCAGGTACGAGTCAACATCGGGGGAAAGGGCTCAAAGGTCCAGACAGACGAATCAGAAAGAGGGACCCAAGAACTTGAGTGAAAATGCAACGAAGAATGAATCAGGGGAAAAGGACCGAAGGATTAGAGTAACGGGTGGGAAATTCCGTCTGCTGGGCGCCGACGCTGGAGAGGCAGAAGCACTGGGCATCTGAACAGCTCTCCTCCTATTACCTTTCTCCGTGCCTTCAATCCAAAAAGCGCTTATTTGTCTAAGAGACAAGGCTGTATGAGGTGGAAAAGTTCAAAGAGGTGCCGCTGCAACATAAGACATTGGTCGCGCCCGCTGGGCATGAGGTGAGACCCTGATGAAGCCGATACATTGAAGCTGGTCCTGAAGCAGTGCGAATATATAATTTCGCAATTTAGGGTATCAATGCTGCCAAATTCAATGATTTTCTGTTAAATTTTCAAAGGCAGGGAAGGGAAGAGCCCCTATATCCTCTCCTTCATTATATTTGGAGACAGATACGCACGGCTGCCCTCTTTTTGCCGCGTCCAGGGGGCTTGTCGGGCCCGCCTTGCGCCGCTTCGTGTTTACCTACTAAGCGTTCATACAGGCAGTTTATTTTGCTCTACTTGTGTTTGGTGGAGGCTAAGATAGCCAGGATCAATTTGTAAACCGGAAGATTACGGCCTGGGCGTCGCTGTCGCGACGCAGCGGCCGAAGCTGGGACCTCTTGATAGACTCTGATCCCAAAATTTATTGCCTAGAAATAGTGATTCCTCAATGGTTCAGTCGTTTTACATTGTACGCACACGCGGGAAGGACGAGAAAGTACTGATTTGCAAAAGGTCAATCCCCAGGTCACCAACTGCCCTCCTACTGAGGGGGACTTCGGATGAAGGCACATTTCTACCGCCGAAGTGAAGCTTGTTTTTCTTACTCTGTCTCGTTATGGAGAGGCAGCTTTGGGGTATGAGCTATATGTTGGTGACTTTATGCACATGAGTCTTGTCAATCTGCAAAGGAAATCAGGCGGGTTTCCTAACAACTCAATATCTTCAATAGAAAGCGGGTTATCCTCAAATGCGTAGTGCAGGTAGTTTTGTAAGCAATTCATGTGTTTTATAAGCTACAAGCACATTTTAAAAAATTGATGCCTTTTTCTATGCTCCGCAATTCACGGATATATCGTTTCAAAGAACGAAAGACCATTCAGAATCGCCGCGAGGAAAGGTTCAAACTTGATGATGTTGAAAGCAATGTGGCTCAATTTTATACCATTTAACCAATGCTGTGCAAAACCTGCCAACAATAAAAATGTTTTTTTTGCGTGGGCGTCGTGAATTCACTGAGGTTCAGGGTGTGGGCATAGACGGATACAAAAATAATTTGCACTTTGGAGCCAATGTGCATTCGGGGCTTCAACTGGAATTCGTGGTACCTTGATGAGTAGAACTTACGAAAATATCATGGTTTCTTAATTAAATGAATTGAATGCTTCATTAGGAGAGTAAGCTTTCCATAAGTCAACTCATACATAGAGCAATTGATCGAAGAGTTGTATAGGCCAAAGTGCTTACAACTCGCTACGCTGAGAGAACCTCTTTTTGTGAGTGGCCAATTACAGGAATACAGTCCTATAATTGTCACCATTAATTATTTAAACGAGATTAAAATCCGTGTAAAACAAACATGCAGATCTGCCTATATGTGTCCCATCCTTCTTTGTCGAAACGCGTACAAGCTTGTGATGAGTTTCTGTGGGGCTAGGGGCACGGATTGAACCTCGGAGAAGACGAATGTATAATAGTAGTCCTTAAATGAATTTATTGCATTTTAGAGGGTAATTCTGCATAAATCCATACTCCACACGTTGCGGGTTCTGAGTGTTCTTCATCTCCTTCAACAATTTCCAAAGCTCGGGTGTACGAACACGGCTGGCCATGCAGATGTGCACAATTCACTCCGAACCCCTCATAGACGAACTGCTTGTTAAGAGGCCAAACGTACAAAGGCCTTGGGCATGAGAAGTGCAAAGTTTCTTCCGTGGATATTTCCAAAGTCACTGCAACACAGACAGCATGATTCCGGCTGCCTGGTGCAGGGGTTTCATCTGTGCTGCTCTTTTTGTTTCACTGGCACTTCCCTCACAAGCACAGGCTCCGCTCGGTGCACCAAGAACTCCACCACCACCTTCTGATAATTCCTCTCGTGGGCCCCCAGGTGCAACTGAACTGCCTCCAGATCAAGGTCCCCCCAGCCCTTCGCCTGTGCAGGATCCTGCCGCCCAAAACGCAGAGGGGGATAATACAGCTGCTCCACCAGGTCCTTCTCCTGGTTCTGTCAGTCCGGGAGAGCCCCGTGGGCCTCAGGATCAAGGAGCTGCTGACCAGCCGGCTGATATTGCCGGTGGTGGGGGGGAAGCCGCTAACCCCTCAGGTGCCTCTGCTGCGGGCACAGCTAATGCAAAAGGCAGTGCTACGACAGGGCCTGGAACCACAACAACAGCATCTGGAAGCGATATTGCGCAATCTGTACCAGCTCTACAGAAGCTGACTGAATTTCGCCCGAGACATAGGAAGACAATTGACGGACGCCTGTGTGCGGCGGCGTTTGTGCACGAAGGGCAAACATACACAGACTGTACAGATGCGCGTTCTCCTGATGGAACCACAGGTACTGCTGAAAGCAAGTAATATGCGTCCTTGTGAACGTTGACGGCAGCTATGTTCAGGTCGAGAGTGGTGTTATGTTGAAGTTCAGCTTCTGGGGAAGGGCCCGAAGGACTGGGATTTTTGCACACCCCCCTTGAACTACAGTCAGCAAAAAATTATTGCTTATGTACTAGTTCACAATGAGCGATGATTTGTGTAGATGCCCTGCGATCGTTCGTGAGGCGGGAGTTCGACGCTTTGATGGCAACGAATGATGAAATGGTCTGTTTGATTACATGACACGCATACGCTTTGCTTTCAAGTGTTTGCTGAAGATCGATAGTCTAGATGTAGAGGAGCTCCGGTTGCAAGACATGCTTTCTCGGTAAGCCTCAAATGGGAAGTCATCATTCATATGCAATGGCAACATAAGTAAGCACTAACTCAGGTTTCGGCAAACATGTGGCCCAGCACACACTGCCCTAAAGCAAACTGTTGGGCAAATAGAAAGCCGGTTAAAGAGAGGAACACAATGTCTAAAACGACTGGAGGCTTCCTTGAAGGAAGTTGGACTTATCGAGTCTGCAATCGAAGACGTTCGGACAGATATCGAACGCGAAGGAGCGAAGTCACTAAAGGATCCAGAAAACTGCCAAGTGAAACCCGGGTTCGTTGCTCTGCTTGAAATTAACGCATTCTCCAGCTATTTCCCTAATAAATTTGATATTAAGATACGAAGATGATCCTCAACCGGACGGACTGAGAGGAGCATATTTCGCGAATGATCGTTTTCAATGGCCACCAAAAAAATACCGGACAGACAGAAAAGTTGATTTCCTCTTCTTTGGAGACGGGCCGATTGACGAGGTGCCTTCCCATGCATACTCTATCCGTGAGTGGCTATCATTTAATAAAGCTTCCTGGCTCCCCGTAGAATCGCGATGCCATATGGTATGATGTTCTGTGAAATATCAGGCTGGGACGGATTCCTTTCGGCTCCCCACAGTGGGCCCTACGTTTTAACAACTGGTAAGCCTTCGATTGCAGTCGATTTTCGTGCATACGTATAGAGTATTTCGCTTTGATTATGTGTATGTCACAGAAACTGACTGTGGCGTCCGTGTATTTCTGAACGAACGCCCAGTCATCGTGGACAGAATGCCCCCTCCTACAAAGGACGATGCTTTTGGGCATAAAGCAGTTCCTCTTATGGCCGCTGAAGAACAGTCCGGTGTTCATGCAAAGGACTCTGAGAAAGTGGAGCTGATAGCTGGCGAAAAGTACAGAATTCGCATTGAGCTGGTGCACTCTAACCATCTGAAGTACCATAACCCGGAAACCGCAGTGTTAAGGCAAGTTCAGTATTCTACGATACCTTTAGTTCCTTCATGAGCCACATTCGTGATCAAATAGGCTTCTATGGCGAAGTGGGGCAGCGGAGCCGGAGGTTATCCCGGAAGAATTCTTCTTCACAACAAGCGCGTCACCAACTGCAAAATTTTTGGGGTATTTCTCTCACCGCTTATGCACATGTATGAGATCTCCCTCTACATAATTGGAATCAGCGTCAATCCGAAGATGTTTGATAGTGACTTTCTACAGAATGGCGTCCAGCCATTCCTGGACAATAAGAGCTACTTCATAACGGACATTCCTCTCCGTTATCATGGCCGTCGAATGTTGCGATCGCTTGCTCAACCCAACATAGACAGCTTTACGATTGATCTAAATGTTCCCGCCATACTTTATATCGCGTCTCCAGCAGACGAGTCGCTGCCTTTGGAACCGACTAACGACGCACCTTGGACTGCTCACGAAACTCACGAAACAATGACGCTGCTGTCAGGCGTAGATGCTTCGGGCAGAGCTCTGGAAGCGAAACCCCTTAGCATCCGGTTCATTTCCTTGAGGACCGCAGGGGGCGTCAAGTGCAAGGTGCGGCACACTGCGATCCCGTTCATCATTTTTGTGGAGCCGCACAAGGAAGAGGCATTTTCGTGCGGTGAGAGGATCGAGTGATTTTGGTGACACTTTCTCGTCGGGGTCATACAGATGAATCAGATGCTGAGGAGGATGTCGTTTCATTGGTTGGAGGGCCTGCATTTGCGGAATGTGATGCGACTTCCGAACAGCCTGATGGCTTTGACTGTTTTTCCGGGCTTAACGGGAAGCACATGGACCGACCTTTTGGGACCTGGAAAACGAAAGGAGGAGGTATGATTCCCGTGCTTAAAGTGTATATTATTTTTGAGTTTACCTTTTCTTTGCACCACAGGTGTTGGGGAATCTATTACTGTGCGCTTTCGCCACCTCGTCCAGTTGTAAGTGCATTAACGGCAACGTTAGAGAAATGCGACAACAAAAGTTGAGTATCTCTTCGCAGAACCCATTTTCGATTCAAGCCCCTAGATGACCAGCTGTTATGGCCCTCTGAAGTAACGCTTTCCTATAGCGGTAAGCTGCATACCGCACACTGTTACGAATTCAATCGCCATAATCAAGGCACTTATTTCTCGAAAGAGGAGGGAGATGAAGGGTCGGAAACGTTTCTCATGCGTCACTCCAACTCCCTCGAGCACAACACGTATAAACTGCGGGCTCCAGTGATCACGCAATATGTGAGTAGTACAGGGGGGCCAGGGTTTGTGTACCAAAAGTGGAGGGTGACTCACTAGGTCGCAGACAACACATTCTAATGTATTGATGCTCTTTTCTCTTCTGGCTATGCATGTTCTCGGCCTGATATGACCTGGTTATGCTACAGGTCAAAGCGGAAATATCGCAGATGTACGTCAACGGGATGGAAAGTGGTGGCTCCTTCGAGTTTCTCGGCAGCATTTGTACAACACAAGTGCGGGCAAAGGGCATTTCTTCGCTGAGAAAAATACTCATAGAGGCAAGTCAGAGCAAGCATTCAACATATCAGCCTTTTGCACGCGTAAATATCCTCGAACGAATGATCCACTGCAGAAATGCGACCAGTCTCTTGAAGCCATTCCGGAGGTTGTGCCACTGGAGGAGGGCCTACAATTCATTGCCATTTGCCCACATCACTGCGTTGCTTCCCCTGAAGGCCGTGTCTTCGGCTCATCCTCATTTGCTCCAGAGTCCACTGTTTGTGCTTCTGGAGTTTTCGCTGGGATCTGCAAAGCGGAAGTCCAGGCAGAATGCAGTTTGCTGGTTACTGTCGGAGGTGCCAAGAACACATTTTCGAAAGATACGAAGCACTACATCGAAGCTGCAGAGCACGGCCCAAGCGACGCCTCATACACCTTAGCCAAAGCTCCATGCGAAGGAAAAGAAGAGGAGCAGCCGTCATATTTCTTCACATTTGGAGCGCAGTCTGCCCCAGAGGTCCGCCCCTCTCCACACCTTAGAAGGTCCTTTTCTCTACATTCACACACTGAATTCCCCAGGGATGGCTCATTGATGATGGCTCAGCCCGCCGAGTGCGAAATGGAGCAGAATATGGTATGTACAATGTGTGGTGTGGCGCTCTCATACGCGTGTTTCACGAAGACTGGCCTAAACCAAACAGGTTGGCTTCGGCCTGCCCGCACAATTAGGGCACCGAATGATCAAGACTCCGTAGCGGGGTCTGGAGTCGTGTTTCCCTCGCCTTCAAATTACGCCTGTCAGCTTGGAGAGGTAAGGTGTTGGTTTCGGCGAAAAAGAAGTTCTCGCCGTCACATGCAGAACGGGCTCTACAGGATTGCACACCGAACTTCTGGTCCTTAGCTGTCGCTGCCAATGGCATATATCACATAGAGGCGCTTTTAGCGGTACCCTTTGATTCGGCTTACGACAGTGCGCCACTTTACCTGGAGGTCAACGGCGTGCCCATTGCAAACGGCACCGTTATTTCCAAAGGGAAAATTTTTGGGGTAGGCTTTCCATTTCTCGCGCATGCCTGCCCTGCACTGCATTACTTAATCGTTTCTCTCCTCAGGGCTCGGCTACCGTGGAGGTGACACAGAGGCTTATTGACTTTGCCTCCGTCTGTAAGAACGCAACGTGCGGGGCAGAGCCCACACTTCTCCTCAGTGCGTCTGTGTCATACGTGGGTCCTCTTCCCGGGAACAGCGAAACGGAGGAAGATTAGTTGCGATTTTTTTCCACTTTACGCGTGCTTGCTAAAAAACAGAAGAACATTAATCTCACGGTTTAAGTACATCTTCCCAAACAGCACGTAGTTTTTAGGCTAAAGCGAATTGCTGCCCTTCGCTTTCCGCGGCTAACCACCGTTAGGACGCTATGCTGCATGTGGCTAGAATGCTGCGGTCGTTCTTCTGAACAACCGACTTTTCACTCACACAAGCACCCTTGCGTCGCCAGTTCACGGGATGCGAGCAAACGGTGCTCATCAATAGTCTCGTAAGCCGCAACGAAGTATTCAAATAACGTGTACTCGGCACAAGGAACGGTAAGGTATACCGCAATATACCACATGCAACACAAGGCTCTACATGCCATGCATATGCCTGTTTGTACACGCAAATCGCGGCAGCTTTCCATTAAGGGAGATGGAAGGAAGGGGGACAGTCCATCAGCAAATACAACATAGACAAGTGGAGACAAATCTACTGATTGATACGGCATAATTCTATTCATTCCTTCCATCTCTCCCCGTTTTCTCTGCAGCCTTTTCGAAGAAGCGCCTTTGCGTCAGGGAGCATGGCGGGCAGTGGTTCGCTGCAAACCACCTAGGAAAGCAGTTTCCATCAGCAAGGGCAAACTGAATAGCAAGATACCCATAGAAAATAGCTTTAAGATGTAGAAGAGTTCTATAATACATATTTCAAGAAGCCAGAGGACAAGATATGCCACGCATGCGGCCTGCTGTTGTTTGCTGTTCAACGCAAAAGTGGGCGAAGGGCAGCCCGACGTGCTCCAAATAAATGAGTTCTCCCGCAAAGCAGTGACTAAGAGCTGCCTCATGAAGGCCATAGCACTTCGCTATAATGTAGCACAAAACAATTAGAAAGCACGAAGAATAAAAGAAGGTCCAAGGGCACTAAGCTCTGTCTGGCTGAACCCTGGCCTGAAGACACAGGGAGCGGAAAAAGCTGTCTTTCTTGTTGTACAGCACACGGGGAGAGTCAAACTCCTCCACACGGCCTTCAGAAAGAACCAGCACCTGCGCACAGTCGGTCGGACAGGGAAAGGGGGCAGACAACATAGCGCACAGCAAATGAACCACACACATACACCACACAAATACGCGCTTCACTGGTAGCCTAGAGCCTGCATAGGCGGATAGAGAATGATACATCCCCGAAATCCGTTTGCCCCACGATAGTACAAAAAAAAAAACAGAAACACACTATCCATCACTAGCAGATCAACAAAATTAACCGCAAACCTTACATACCCGACATGCAAGGAAAGAAGCCGCGAGTTCTGCGCGCTTCCACCCTGTTAAAACTGAGATGTGGAGTGAGCGACTGCATCTATCAAAGGAAAAATCCACTAATGTTCAAGGGCGTTCGAGGAGCCTTCCTCCCTGACAGCTTTCCCCCCCTCTAAGCCCTTTATTTGTTGCTTGCTCTTTTCTCCCCTGCCCTCCTGCTCTCTCGAAGTCTCCCGCGTCTCCTTGTACCCTGGCCTGCCCCCCATCAAACCCTATGATTCTGTCACCCCACCGCGTATCTCTCTCTCTAAAATGCTTACCCTGTCGTAATTAACAATGGTATCAATACGATGCGCAATTGTGATGACTGTGCACTCTCTGAAGTCCTTTCTGATCGTTTCCTGAAGGTGCAACAAATACCGATATATAGATATATATATATATATATTCTGTACTCTCGTTTGGGGAAAAGTAGAGAGTGCCAGAAACACACACGGAGGGCTAGAAAAGACAAGGAAGCCACAAGCACGTGGCAGCACCGGTTCGAATCATGCAAGGGTAGCTAGCAGACGGCCAGTCAGCAGGGTGCAATCGGTGGGAGAGCTGTGCCAGCCATAGCGCCAAAGAGGAAAGGACGAGGAGGAGTGAAGCAAACGCACCTGAATAAGTCTATCAGTCCGTGGATCTACCACGGCAGTAGCCTCGTCCAGAAGAAGAATGCGTGAACGTCGCAGGAGGGCTCTGAGAGCGAACAGAGGGGTCCCCCAACGACCAACGAGCAAAGGCGGAATGAACCGAAGCAGACGCAGCAATTCGCAAGTAGACACTCGAAGGCAGAGGGACTGAATCTGCAGCCCGCAGGAAGGGTGAAGCTGTTCTGTAAGGGTGGGTATGATACGCAAGGGAAGATGCCTCGCTGCTGCAGCCTACCTGGCCAGGCAGATAAGCTGTCTCTGCCCTAAAGAGAAGTTTCTGCCGCCCTCTTCCACCATGAGATCCAGAGGATTGAGTTCCTCTGGTTGAGAAAGGGCGACATCGATTGCAGCAGCAGCTGCGGTTTCTTCAGGCTCTTCTGCTGCAGGCAGCATTGCAGCCTCAAGCCCCTGTTCACCCTGCGAACCATTCCACGCAATTCCCTCGGTGCTCCCTCTGCTCACGCTGCTGACGCTACTGCTCCTCCTTCGCCAATGCCGCTCAGCCATGGCTCGGACGGCACTTGCAAGGTGTGCCCCTTCCAGCGCCTGCCAGATTTCCTCATCGGAGTGCTCTCCCTGGGCGTCTACATTGAACCGCAGAGACCCCTCGAAGAGAACGGGGTCCTGAGCAGCACAACATGCATACGTAGAGACACAGAGAGATGGGAAGGGGACAGTCGGCGTGAATAATCGATGCATGCAGGAAGCCTCGGGAAAGAGGCAAAAAGAAGATCGAGAAACCGCCGAAAAAGCCTGCAAATTGCAGGCAGGCAGTGTTTAAAAAGCCGTCCTGCAGCAGAATACTCCAGAGGACCTTCCTAGGTCGACGCCCCCTCTCCGTCTATGTAGTTTTCGCAGTTCATGATCGTTTCCCCATCAGCGCCTCTTTGCCGTCACGCAACACGGTGCCCCCTTCCTAGCATCGCCTACCTGCGGAATGATTGCGAATCGAGATCTGAGAAAGCGAAGCCCGACAGTCTGAATATCGACGCCATCTATTAGGATGCTCCCTCCACACGGCTCAACGAGCCGCAACAGCGACACGAGCAAGCTGCTCTTGCCGGCACCAGTCCTCCCCACCAAACCAACTCTGAAGCCGCAAGCCAGCAACACACACCACCACTGCCCTCGATAAAGGTAAACACGATGCTCGGCAGCCTATATACAAAGACTCCACAACATGCATCCAACAGAAACTGAAGACACCCCGCCGGGCAGGAGGCAGAGAAGAAGAAGCAACACGGCAGCAAGACAATTCGGCAGCAAGCCAACACGGCAGCAAGACAATGCGGCAGCAAGCCAACACGGCAGCAAGTAGATTCAGCAGCAGGATAATTTTTTTCCTCTCTCTTCTCTCCAAACGCACCTTTCTCCCGAGCGAATACAAAACGAGATGCCTTTAAGAACTAGGGGCAAGTCCGGTCGGTATCGAACACAGAGATCCCGAACTTCGACTGCTCCTTCCAGAGGCCATCCTTCTGGCAGCTTCTCCCTCCAGCTAACCAGAGATCTCTCGGCACCAGCAGCAGCCGCAGTAGCCGCAGTAGCTGCGAATACTGGCTGCCCTGCAGCCGTACTGGGAGGCACACCGACTGTGGGCTCGAGGCGCTCAGCATCGATCCCCTCGGAGTAATCTCTTACTCTTTCCACGGAAACAATCGCTGTTTCTCTGTCGCTCGCCATGCGAACTAGCCAGTTGAGCTGCTGCGTAACCGACAGCGCGTAGGAAACAGCGAGACCTCCAAGCCCACCCGTAATGATGCCCCTCCCCAAGACGGCAAAAAGGGCAGAGCTGCAGACCACTGCGGCTCCAACCAGCTCGAGCCGCACAGCCAGCCATCGATTTGCGGCTATGGACATGTAATAAATCTTGCTATTCGCGTCGAGCCGCGCTGCAGAGACGGCGAAGAATCGGGCTTCTTCCCTGTAGGCTCGGATAGTCTCGGTGCCTTCGAGCGTTTCCTGGAAGTGGGAAATCACCGGCGATCGCGATACCGTCTCTATGCGCTGCAGCTGGCGGCTTGTCGGAACATAAAAGTTCTGGACCGACGCGTAGTAGAAAAGCAGCGGGATCACGACAAGCAAGAAGGACGGAAATACGACAGAAATGACGGAGAGGGTGAGCAGGCACGTGATTAGCGTGGTTACGTAGGACAGCAAGGCGGAAGGCAGCGCCTCATCGATCCCATATATAGACTTTGTAAGCCGATTCAGTAGGCGGCCGGTTGGCGTCATGTCGAAAAACTTCATTGGAGCACTGACATACATACACACAAACGCATGCACACATAGCACATAGCAACCCGGCGGCATCAACCCCCATGAGGCTACCACACAAAAACGTTTACGTATGCCTATATACGTATATGTAGACATATACATATATAAATGGATAGGCTGATCCTGCGTTAACTACGCAACCTCAGAGCAAACGTGAGGGTGAACGGCGTGTGCCCTCCGCAGTGCACAGGAGGCAAGCGACTTGAGAAGGCCGCTGGAGAGGTACCAGCTTTCTTCAACAGACCAAGTCTGCTCTCGTGAAGCACACACCCGTTGGGGGCATAAATGACACACAAGAAGGACAAACGGCACATATACATACACATATGCCTTTTTCGGGAGTGGCGAGGTGACAGTGATGCGCTGGAGCATCGTTTCTCGCGGCACTGAAGAGGAGAGTTCCCTTACGGGAGGAGGCAAAAGGCAAGGAGAGGTAGAGGCGCTGTTCTACCGGGAGAGAGAGAAGAGAGCACACAGAGACACACACACACACACACTATACGCGAGACAGATCATTGTATGGCCTTCAGCGGTGAACGGTGAGCAGCAGCGCCTCCCTCCCAGGAGCTACGACTGCTGCCTCCTGTCACGTGGACGCACTCAAGGATGCTTCTTAAGAGCTGTTCGTGGAAATGCCGCGCCGCAGTAACTGTTCCCTCAGAGACGTTGAGGTAGGAGAGGACAGACACTACAACGTGGGCTGCTCCAAGGGCGGCAAAGACGCAGAGCGATATGCCTGTCGTTGTCTGAACTCGCTTGTCTGCCCAGTTGGAAAGCCACACGTTGGACAAGACCATCAGCAAGGCGCCTCCCACCATCATGAAAACGCAAAGGCCTACACGGCAGAGGCCTCCTGCGGCTTGCAGATACTCCAAATACACAGACATGGGGACTGCCCCCCACTGCACCGTCTCCTCGTCCGTCAAAGCTCCTGCCGCCTTCCTGAAATGCCACACGCGAGGCGACAGCAGCGCACGTGCAAGGCACTGGCAAAAAAACGAAGGCTGGCGCTAACACATGCACACACGGGTGCAGGTAAAGGTGTAAATGCAGGTAAGGGTGGAGGTAGAGATGTAAATACAGGTGCAGGCAAAGGTGTAGGTAAAGATGTGAATACACGTAAAGGTGTAGGTAAAAGTGTAAATACAGGTAAAGGTTCAGGTAGAGATGTAAATACAGGTACAGGCAAAGGTGTAGGTAAAGATGTGAATACACGTAAAGGTGCAGGTAAAGGTGTAAATACAGGTACAGGCACAGGTGCAGGCAAAGGTGTAGGTAAAGATGTGAATACACGTAAAGGCGTAGGTAAAGGTGTAAATACAGGTACAGGCAAAGGTGTAGGGACAGGTACAGGTAAAGCGCTATTTCGAGAGGTATCAACACTCAGAGAACGGAAATGCATGCGAAAAGGGCAACAACAGGCACTCCCCACGCTCCAAAGCAAGAAAGACGGGAAGAAGCTGGCTTTGTGGCAGAAAATGCAAACCGTGTCGGAGAGCAGTGACAGCCACACATCGAGCCGGCACAAAGGACGCGGATATCGCACACAGAGGGAACTGAAAACCAAAGGCGAGTGAGAATCAACAGGAGGAGAGAGACAGACAGAGAGACAGACAGACAGACAGACAGACACACACACACACACACACACACACACACACACACACACACACACACACACACACACACACACACACACACACACACACACACACACACACACACACACACACACACACACACACAGACACACACACAAACACACACCTACATACAGGCAGCCGCACAAGCCGTGCAAAGGCTTATTCCGCGCATGTCTTTTAGCGTGCCAAGACGCAGGATCTTCCTCCTTGCGCTGCTTACCACGAGGCACTTCCGTCTTGACGTGCTGCTGCAACAACGGCAGCAGCTGCGGGAGATTCTCAAGCTGCAGCAGCTCCGGACTGCATCCTCGCCATGCGCCTAGTAAGGCATGCCACACAAACACTTGGAGCTCTTCCTCCTGCTGCTGTTCCTCCTGAAGCCGCTGCCGTTGTCGCCTTTGCAGCAAGGAGACACAGGTCTTTAAGTCTCCCACTGTGTCGCTGTTTCCGCCAAAAGACAGTGCAAGGGAGCTGCACAGCTGTCCAGCATCCCTGAGGCAGCAGCACATATTAAGCAGGGGGAGAAGCAGAAGCCTGGCGCTCAGCGAATACTACCTAGATAGAGCACCACATGCGACATCCTGCAGCTACGGCTGATTTCAGACCGCAAAAAGCTCGTGCATGCGAGAAAAAAAACAAGATAAAGGGGGAGCGCCTGCGTCTCCTTGACGGATCAGATCCCGAGAGCTCATGCTGCCCTTACTGTGGCGTGAACGGTCTCGTTTGCTGCCAGCCATCATCTAGAATAAGCCATCCAAAGAGACCCAAAGATGCAACCTGAGAGCAGAGCATAACCCCCAGCAAGCAGCGCATGCGCTGAATGCTGACGCGTTTCTCGAAGGCGAAATCACCTGCAATATACCGCCAAAAAACAGCAGCAGCAGCAGCAGCAGCACTTGCTGTTGCTGCTGCTGCTGGGGATCTTACTTCTTCAAGGCCTTCTATTCGAAGATGGGGACCAAAAGCATCCCAGGAGCACCATCCTAAGCTCCTCAGCAGCGGCAGCTGTTGCTGTTGCTGCTGCTGCTGCTGCTGCTGCTGCTGCGGCTGGGGAGGGTTCCTCGTTGCCTGTTGCTCTGGTGATGTGGTTGCTGCCGTCCTCTGCCGTTGCACGATAAACTCCTTGACAGACCGAGGATATCCAGTGCATGGCAGCAAGGCTGCTGCAGCCTCTGCGAATACGAGCAGGACCTTAACAGCAGCAGCAGCACAAGCAGCAGCAGCACAAGCAGCAGCAGCACCTGCTGCTGCTGCTTGAGCTGCAACTGTACCGAGGAATGAATTTCCCCTTCAAGCGAATTTCCATGACCATTCGCAGCTATGGGGGTGCGATGGAAAAACAGCAGCAGCACGTTCTCCCCGCAAGGGTCTCACCTCTTGCAGAGAGACGCCTTCTGCTGCAGACACACAAAGGAGAAGCTTAGCTGGCTTGTCTTGCAGGAGGCCCCTCTCTAAGTGCACTTGCAACTCGAAGACATCTGACGCGGCGGCACCAGCGAGGCTGCTGCTGCTGCAGCTTCTACGCTGCAGAGCAGCATAGCTGCAAGCGTCAGGATCTGTCAAGGGGCTAAGCAGCAGGAGCCGTCCCTCCGAATGTTGGTCCTTGTGCTCAGTCTCAGAGAGGCGTGCTATGAGAAACTGCGTCTCCGGTTGCAGAGCAGCAAGCGCAGAATGGTGCTGCGGATACACCCAGAAGGGTGAAGCGAGAGGCAGCGAAAGCACGTGCTGCACTGCAGGGGCCTCCTGCCACTCTATAGTGCACTCCGCGTAGCATGGGGTGAAGGGGTTCTTGCTGCCGCTTCTGCTGCAGGAGAAGAGTTGTAGAGGGACAGAGAGCTCGGTAAGCTCTTGAGGGGGGTTCTGGTGCGGGTTGGCACGCAGCTCTAGTAAGGAAACGGCAGTCGCCGGAAGTTCCTGTGAAATTGCCTCGAATTCTCGTACAGAAGAATGCAGCGCGTGAAGTGTATAGCCTACAGGTACAAGGCACTTGAGGGGAGCGCACTCTAGGGGAGGTGTGGCCCAGTTGCTGCCACACTCGGGGCTGCAGCTGTTTACGTCACGCTTTCTAAATGCGCAAGCCTCTGCTAAGGGACCGGCGCTACTCGCAGGAGCCTCAGGTGTATCTGCTGGTCGTTCTGCAGAGGACATGAGGGGTTCCTGTTTGTCGGGCAGCCACAGCGTGCTGAAGACCTCCCACGACGTGCATGGGCAGCAACTGTTGCACTGGACACCCTCTACGCAGCTATCGATGTTTCTGCCGCCGCTGCTGCTGCAGATACTTCCAGCAACAGGTAGCGGCACTACCCACCTCTCGGACGGCATCGCTGAGCCCTCAGGCACTGCAGATGTTCAGATTCCTACGACTATATATGACTGTGGCTGAGGGGGAGGGAGGAGTGGAGGCGGCTCGCAAGCAAGCAAGGTGCTGCCTGCTGCCCTGTATGCCCACTACCACTCTACGTCGGCGCTTCCTTCGCCGTAATTGTGGATGCCACACTTGCCGTTGTTGCCACTGTTATTCTCGCATCTAGTGTTTTAATGCTCTTTGGAATTTTAAAAGGTTTGTTCGCACTGCTATTTATTGAACTGCCGCCCTTGCCGCCTACCGTGCCAGCTCGGTCGTGTGCCCTGCTGGCACACCCGTCCAGCTGTCGGTACACCCCGCAAAGCGCTTGAACCGACAACGCGAAACTTTGGGAGCGAAGCTCTCAGATTTTAAGATAGCCCGTAAAATGCCTCTTAGGCAGGACCTGCCTTATTTTTGGACGTCTGCAGAGGCTCCTCACCAGTATCAGGCAGGATGAAGAAGAGCAGCACCAGGTGCTGCTGGTCCCGGTGTGCGCTCTGATGGAGGCGGGAGTCGCGTCGATTGTTTCACGATTGTGGCTTCTTCTGCCTCGCTGTGTCTACGAGGGTCTTCCGCATTTTTTCTCGTTTATGAGTTATTGCAGTGGTCAAATACAATCCGTAATTACTCTTTAGGCGGCAGCAGGACCCCATACTTCATTAGAATGGGCCAAAGCAGCAGCGGCTTAGACTGTGCTGCTGCTGCTGCAACGCCTCAGCGGACAGGAGGTACGCAGCAGTAGGCCACTGGCTTGCTGCAGCAGCAGCTGCCGCTGCTGCTCTGGCTGCTTCGGCGGATACTGCTGCTCTTCGTGTGCAGGATTTTCTTTTGTAGCAGCATCAAAGCCGTAGCAGAAAGGAGGCAACGGCAGCACGACGGCGGCGGCAGCAGCAGCAGAGCCGCCATTAGAGTTGTTGCCCCGAAGCGCGAACGTGTCGACACACGGGCTGGCATGCGCGTGGGCTTGTGAAGCGCAGCTGCTGCGTTGCATGCACGAGTCTTTCATCGCGCGGCACTCCGCGTATTGGCCTTGTTCTATGTAGAAAGGGGGCGAAAGTGATCCGTAGAGACAGCAGTCAGCAGCCCAGCTGCAGCGCTGCAGCCGCCCGTTACGGTGTGCAGGTTCGACAGCAAGGGCAGCAGCAAGTGCAACAGCAAGGGCAGCAATGGTGTTTCATCGGCTGATGAGCCCTGGTTCTAACCAGGATGGGCGGAGTCAGCAGTCCTCGACATCCTCAGCGCCTGCAGCAACAGCGAGCAGCGCAGTGGGTGCAGGCAGCAGTGCGTTTCGTGTGCTTCGCGGTGCTGTCTCTCGTACGATGGGCGTTTTGCGTGGCTCTTCGAGGCAGCAGACTGCTGCTGCGTCTTCTTCTCCAGTGCATGCTGCTGCTACTGAGGCAGCGACAGCAGCCCCCTCGGCAGTGGCGGCGACGGCGGCAGCAGCAACAGCGAAAGCAGCAGCGAATTTGAATGCCTCGAAGTCGCAAGTCGCTCCTGTGTCTCGCGATGAAGGGGGGAGTGCACTCATGGCTGCTCGTCTGATGCGGCACCAGACAGCCCCTGGGGTGTTTGCCAGCAGAACGGGGAGGTCTGCCGCCGGCGTGTTGAAGGAAGAGGAGGCTGGAGAGGGGGGGGGGAGGCGACGGGTGGCTGGCGAGCTGGCAGCGGTGCAGTCTCTGCGACCGGTTGACGCCTTGACGCTGAAGCGCATGGGAGAGTGGCCTGAGTCTCTGGAGGAAATAGGAGCTTTAGAGGTCCACATTATGCAAATCGACGCTGTTGCCAGCCTCGCAGGAGCCCGTAGCGGCTCGACTGCGCGTCTTCCTCGGGAGAAGACGCTAGGGGGTGCTGCTGTCGGTACACCGGGGGGGGCGGGGGCAGGGGCGGCGGAGCTGCCGTTGCGAGCAGACACTGCAAAGCACCTCGTTCACGGTTCTCGGTGCTTTGCGACGGCGTTTCTTGCGGCGGAAGGCAGAGCCAGGGGCCTCCACGACATGCGCGCACGCACTGTCGAGGCGGTCGTTGGCGGGGGGGGGCAGGGGGGCCCCTTCGGGGAGGAGCATTTGGCGATTGTATTTCCAGAGGGAACGCCTATTGTGTTGGATATTGAAGGTTTTCGACGGCGCCACGAAAGAGGGCCTCCTCAAGGGGTGGGGGGGGGCAGCCCCCTAGAGGCCTCCTTGCTGCGCATCCCCACCCTTATGCCGCCGCATGCGGAGGACGTGTCTTCTGTCTCGGAAGCAAACCCTCCAGGCGATGTGTCGAGTGGAGCAGACAGCAACAACGACAACAGTCGCTTCAGGCTGGGGGCATTCCTCAGGCTGGGTTCAGGGCGTGTCACGCAGTGGGGTGAAACGGCGCCCATATCGCTCCTCGACGCGCGGCTGTCTGTGCCGTTTCGGTGGCCTCTGAGGGGCCCCCAGGGGGGCCCCGTTGTCGGCGGGGTGGCCTTTTTCTGCAGACCCCTGCAGGGGAGAGCCGCTGGAGGGGGGGTCCAGCAGAAAACGCTCATGAGCTACGCCTCGACGCCTGCCTTTCTCCCGAGGATGGCCTCTGCCGGCTGGATGCTCCCGCCGCACGCTGAGGGGTACGCGGCTACTGCACCGACACGGGAGCCTCGACGAGGCAGTCAGCACTCGCATCCGACTATTCTGCAGGAAGCGCAGGCGCAGGCTGCAGCGGCAGCCTCTGAAGGGGCCAAAAGCCTCCCTGTGCGACCACCAGTGTCAGCAGTAGCACCTCCCCCCCGACCACCTCCCCAAGAAAATGTGCCCGCAGAGAATCTGGAGGGAAGCGTACCCCTGCCGCAAACAAGCCCCTCCCGCGACGCCAGCAGCAAGGAAACTTCCTCTGGAGAGCTCGTAGAGGGCGGGGGGGGTGGCGCTCTCCGCGTAGACAGTTGGGGTTCCTGGTTTAGCCACCCTGAGGAAGAGGACGTCTCGGCAAACTCCGCGCAAGAAGGGCCCCTTAGCAAGGAGGCCTCGCGGGGGGGCCCCCCTTCCCCTCCCCGCGAAGAAACTCAGGGAGAGGCAGGGGGGGGCACTGCCATGGGGAGAGTTGGCTCGGCTCCGCCGATGTATCCCCACGCGAGTGCGCCTCCAACGCGCCTCTCTGGCCAGTCGAAAGCTGCTCTCTCGAGGGGAGAAATGCAGAGGCTGCCCCTTGAAGGCAACCCAGAGGGGCCCCCCTCCCCGAACCCGCTGCAGCGGGGCCTCGCGTCGTGCCCTTCTATGCGCGAAACGAGGAAGACTCCCGCTGCTGAATCGCCCCCAGCAGGGTGGAACGCCGTTTCTCCAGCTCATCAAAGCCTGAAGAAGCGCGACGCTCCTGCACGCCACCAGGAGAAAGCGACTGCCTCAAGGGCCCTTCCTTGGCAGTCCGACCGATATGCGCAAAACGCCTTGAAGCGTGATGCCCCCCCGGGCACATATGGAACTGAGGGGGGGCCCCTTCTCCAGCTCAAGACTCTGGAGCTAGCCAGAGTCACCGCAGCGAATCGCAAGGAGAGACACAAATTGTAACGCACAACACCCCCGTGGTGGCCTTCCTTTCAAGGCACTTAAAGAGCTATCAACAGCCCAAGGCAGCTAGATACTGCTGAATATATATATATATATGTAGCCAGAGCTGTTCCCGCCAGTATTAGCAGTGGCCAGTGACAGCCAGCGGCATCCTACGCTAGCTAGCCACGGCTACTGGTAGCGCGCGCGATGTATAGCTAGCCGCAGCTAGAGTCCCATGGCTGGGCGTGCGTGTGTGCGGCTAGCCGCCACGAGCCGAGAGCGGCTCGCTCCTGACACCGATAGCTAGTAGCTCTGCTGGCAGCCAGAGTTTCCCCACGCTTTCATTTGGGCAGGGCTACTACTAGGGGGGGGATTTAAGGAGGTTTACAGGGTGGTGTACCTTGAGAAGTCTAAAAAGAGGCCCTAAGGGGCCCTTCTGCAGGCAAAAGGACCTCAAGCATGCTGACCGCCGCTCTTCAGCGGAGACGCTGCGGGGGAAGTCTCAAGAGGCCCCACGAAGGCTTGTATTTTCTGAGTTTATTCAAGCTCGCAACTGCCGTCTGCGAAGACTGCACTTAACGCAGGGAGCTCCATATGCCCGTATTAGAGGGGTGTGGGAGTCTGCAGCATCAGGGTACGCTGCAGGAGCTGCAGCAGCAGCAGCCTGATGTGGTTTTTTCGTCGTGCAAACCATGAATGATGGGGGGAGTACGTAGGGTGGCGCAAGAGCAAAAAGCTTGCGAATTTTCTAGGGAAGGAGAGAACACGTCTCCTCTACTTATTACCAGTCAGGAGGAGGCTTCTTCAGCATTGCATAATGAACGGCTAGGGGTTGCGGGCACCGTGTAACGGGGACGGAAGGGGGGCCGGCTTTGGCGTGTGTGTTCATAGATGAACTCTATCGGACAGCTAAAAGAGTCTGCGCATTGTGCCACAAACGAGACGTACTTGATCAGCGAAGAGGCAACAACAGCCAGTACATACATTCACACGTACACATATATATATATATATATATATACATTTGCCTATACCCACATATACGCATTCACATACAGCTATACATTTACGCGCATGTACAGATATACATATATATATATACGTTTACACACCCACACACATACACTTACACCCCCCTTATCCACACGTACATTTACACACACATAGGCATACATCGAGGTGCTCTAAAGGCGGGGCGGCTTCTGACTTTTCGAGGCCATGCAGAGGAGCACTAACAGAGGTTACTAGGAGAGGGGGAAGAGGGGCAATAATGGCATGTGAGTGATGGAAATGCAACTGCGATCCGCTGAACGAGCACACCAGGGCTATGCCAGGACGCATAGATAGTCTAGTCCTGCAAATCAGCAAAAACAACGATTGAGAGATAGCGTCTCGGAGAGAAGCACAGCCAAAAACTCCATGTGTGAAAGGGTTGGTCTGCATCCGCCTACCAAATCACCTACCTGAGCCCGCTTATTTCCTCGCCCTTCCTTTCCCCGCATCAGCACAGCCTGCGCTTTTTTCCATACTGCATTTCCCAGCCTCCGGCTTTACTTACATGCCCTTCCCATTCTTCCCTCCCCCTTCACAGATGCAGCTGCTTGTTCTAAAGGCGTCCTCCTACAGTGTGTGTTTCGCACTGCGTGGCCTCTTGCGCTTCGCACCACCAGGACCGTTTAAAAGCGCAGCTCTCTCCACGTCCATCCACAAACATCAAGATGGAGATTCTTAATGGCTGTAGCCCCTCCCCGCGTGCTTCAGCCTCCTTCAGAGAGCCCCTCTCTAGTGCTAAATGACAGTCTGGCGCGATGAGGAGAAGAGGGGTGTCGAAAAGTGTATCGGTGCGCTTACGCATGCAGCAGACACCCGACTTCCGTTCCCCGATTGCACGCAGGGTAACCGCAACAGCATTGCTAAGGCAGGCAAAAGATTTGCGTGTCTCTCGATTGGCAATCGTTGATGGCGTCTCTCGCGTGGGAGAGAATGCGCCATTCTCCCATCAGGGGAAAGGCGGGGGGAGAGGGGAGGGGGGAACTTCTGCTGCTGCTCTGTGCGCGTGGCTGTATTCCTGTCTAGCGCCTTTTTGCCGTGACGGCTAGCACGGCAAAAAGAAGGCAGGCAGCAAGCATGCGTTTTGAAGCGGAAAGACACTACACGCCTATCAAAGAGTCTGTCAACTTGCGAGCAGTGGAGAGGAAGACACTACAAGCCTATCAAAGAGTCTGTCAACTTGCGAGCAGTCGAGAGGAAGACACTACAAGCCTATCAAAAAGTCCGTAAACTTGCGAGCAATGGAGAGAAAGACACTACAAGCCTATCAAAAAGTCTGTGAACTTGCAAGCAATGCGCATGGCCTGTCAGACAATCTAATCCTGCAAAAGCAAGGCACGCGCGCGAATGCGGAGCGGCACAGGGGTGAGGCCAGAAGTTCTCATTTTTTCGTGTGTTTCTCCTCGCGTAGATGTTTCATGTGTGCAAAGGGTATGGAAATGGGGTTCGCTCCTTTACTGCTCGGAAACAACCACCAGCGGATATCGATTCAGGATATCCTTCCAAAGGAGTTCGCCACGACACAGTTCAGAGACGCGTGCGGGAGCTTCTGCAGCAGGAATGCGGACTTGTTGCATGGAGTCTCGCTCCCGCAAAGTGACCCCATTGTCTTCTAGCGACTGGAAGTCGATGGTGAGCGCGAAAGGCGTGCCAAGTTCATCGACTCGCGCGTAGCGACGGCCTATGGAAGCTCCGCTGGTATCGACCTTGACGGTGAGCTGCTGCAGGACGCACTGTCGCCTCAGCTGCTGCAACATGGGGTTGAACATCGCATTGTTGGAAAGTGGCAGCAAGGCCACCTTCGTGGGAGCCACCAGGGGTGGGAAGCGCATGAAAACACGTTCTTCTTGACCCTCTATGCCCCTAGAACAGAAGCTGTGCTCCAGAACGCAATGGAGAATGCGACCAATGCCAAATGACGGCTCAACTACTGAGGGGATATAGGGGCGCTCGCCGACAGTCTGCGTGGCTGCCTCGAAGCGAACCATTTCCCTTGTCAAGTCGTATGCCTCAGCATTTGCACCGTTCGACTTGTCACCCCCCCCGCTGCAAGCCGACGGAACCACCAGTCTGTACACCCCACTTGTTTCCAGCTGCTCCTCAACGGCCTCCTTCTCCTTGTCCGACAACGCCTCGATCGCAGCAACCACGGCTTTCTGACTCTGCCGAAACACAGCTCCTATCCGCTGCTTGTTGAAAATTGGCTTTAGCACTGACAGCCGAAGCGGAGGATCAAACCTCTCCATCGCAACCAAATCCACCTTAGAGGCCCGTGTATGGCTGCTTAGGTCGAAGGCTGTGTGCAACATGCACATAGATTTAAACACGCATGAACACACACATCAACACATCAACACTAACACACACAAATGTAGGCACACACATTCATAGATATCAAAAACACATATTGACGCACAGTAATACACCCATATTAACGCACAGTAATACACACATACTAACGCACAGTAATACACACATACTAACGCACAGTAATACACCCATACTAACGCACATGAATACACACATACTAACGCACATTAACACACCCATATTAACGCACATTAATACACACACGTTAACGCACATGAATACACACATATTAACGCACATGAATACACACATATTAACGCACATTAATACACACATATTAACGCACATGAATACACACATATTAACGCACATGAATACACCCATATTAACGCACATGAATACACACATATTAACGCACATTAATACACCCATATTAACGCACATTAATACACCCATATTAACGCACATTAATACACATATTGATCGAGATTAAAACACATTTCAACACATGAAAACCCCCATTGAAACACATGAACACACACTAGAACACATTAACCCATTACATATATTGATATATTTTTTTACAGAGAGAGATCGAGAGACAGTAGCATACACAAACAAGTACACACGCACACGTACATAATATATACGTGATATCCATATATGTATATACATAATATACATATATATACATACATAGAGAGAGAAAGATATCTACACATAGATGCATTAACACACACAGACCCATGCATTGCGCGCGGGTACAGCACGAAGAAAGCGAAGTTGCATGAGTTATACGGAGGGTGTGGCATCGATGGGGAACGAAAAGGCGGGAAATGCGATGGCTAAGTACGAAATCGATTATTATTCGTCGCATCGCTTAGGATGGGAAGTACCTGCACGATCTGCATGCCCAGCGACTTCGATCCATCCATAGGCCGTCTCCACTTCAGCATCCCAGCAGTCGGAGGCGTAGTGTGCCATTTCCGTTTTGAGGTGTTGCCTGAAGCGAATGTGTTTTTGCTGCAGGCCGATCTTGAGCAGGAAGCTGTACGTTCTGGCAAGAAAGTAAGCAAGCGTCTTGTTCGCCACGATGCCCTTTGCCACAGCATCCCTGAGCGGCATATCGGTGAGCAGCACTCCACACCCCAGTTGCCGCTCTCTGGGGAAAAGCGGCAAGAGCGCCTCCTCAACGTCCACAAACTTGGGGAAGTCGTTCTTCTTCTCGGGATGGCAGAAGTGCTCGATTTCCGCCATGGGAAACTCCCTCACACGCAGCAAGCCGTTTCGGGGAGCGATCTCGTTGCGAAATCCAATGCCAAGCTGAGCCGCTGCAAAGGGCATGCGTCCTCCAACAAACTCGTAGAGGCGCCTAAAATTCACAAATATACCCTGAGCCGTTTCTGGACGCAAGTAACCTCGGCCCTCCAGCTGCTGCTGCTGCTGCTGCTTCTGCTGCTTCTGCTGCTGCTGCTCCTTGACAGCCTGCGGAATTCCCTGGGTGGCAGATGCGGAGGAAGCCTCCTCCTTAGGTCCCAGCTTCAGTCCGAACATGAGGTTGAAGGGAAAGGGAGCAGAAAGAGGATTGCCGTGAGGCGACACGACTTGGAAGCGCTCAAAAAGCCTCTGCAGCTCCTCAGCTGTATAGGCATCGGCCTGCCGATGAATCAGCTCAAGCTCCGCTATCTTCGCGTCCTTCTCCGAGACTTCCAACTGCGCATTCTCCTTCACCTTCCTGACCTCCTTCTCAATGACCTCTTCCAAGTACTTGTCTGCCCGAAAACACTCCTGTGTAACGACATCCTTCACCATCAAATCCGTGAAGCGATCCACATGGCCTGCAGCGCATGCGCCCACAGTCAATCCACATATCTAATATATATACATATATATTTATATTTATATATTATAGAATTTATACATTTAAAGACCCATAATAAATATACACACACATTGTAAACATACATATACATATATATGTATATGTATATAAATATGTACATGTCATCCATACGTGTACATGCACCGCAACGGTCACGCGCAAAGGTCACTGGGTAAAGAAAGACCCCATTCTTTGAATTTCTTCTCCCCCCGTCCCCTCCCATTTTTATTCTCCCCATGAAGCCGCATGCTCTGCTCCTGTGGCCAGCAGGAGTTCGCCGCAGTGTTATTTCCAGTTCTTATCCTCGCAGGGGGTGGCCTCGTGCCTCTGCATATCTAAGTACGTGAACTGAAAGTCGAAATCGCCATTCATGAGAGAGGCATGACGCACCCGACGTCTTGAGAACTACGTGCGGGGTGAGGCAAGGCCCTGAAACTTCCAGCATTTCCTCTTCGAGGACAAAATGAGATCTCCAAAGAGCCTCGATTTGGCTCTTCAAGCCGCATCCTGAAAAAAAGCACGCGCAGCAGCAGGCAGCTTGTCGAAGCGCCGTTCAATTCAGCTTTCTTTTCATGACAACGCCCCACTCTGCATCGTCAAGAACGGCTGTTTGAGCGAGCGAGCGATCGATCAACTGTGCTGCTGCTGCGCATGCGGCACACGGCTACGGAAGCACAACGCGAGGGAGTCGTACCAGGAGGCCCCAAGTCGAAGAGGCCTCCAGAGCCGCCGTAAATTTCATAAGCAGGAACGACAAAGAACTTCCGCTTGATTAGGTTCTCGCACTGTTGCCTGTACTTGATGAAGGAGGGCTGCTGGTAACCGCCTTGCTGTTGGATCTGCTTTTCTAGATGCTGAATCTCCTCGCGCGCGGCAAGCACAGCGGCAGCTGCAGCGTCGATTTCAGCGGCTCCAGCGTGCTGCTGCCGCAGTTCGCGTGCCTTTTCATGCAGCCGTGCAGCTTCCACACGCAGCTGCTGCAGCTGCAGCTCGAGGGATGCGATACTCGTATCCGACCCCGTCATCATGAAGCTCCTGACGAGGTGCCTTCTTCTGCTGCTGAGGTAGTGGAGCGGGCTGCTGCTGCCGATGCAGCAGCGAAGAGACGCAAAGGGGGGTGGGCTCAGGCACGTTGGAAGGCCGCGCGAGACGCGAGAATTCCGGAAGCCACGCGATGTTGTGCGTACAGCAGCCAGAGGAAGCAAATCAAGCCTCACCCTGATCATTCAAAAAGGCCCCCCTCAGACGCGGTTGGGCGTGCAATGGACGGCAGGACGGGGTGTGGCGCATGCGCTTCGCAGCGACTGCTTAGGACCAATGATTCAGGTGTCCAATATTCCCACAGGCAGGGCTTGCAAGGCAGAGAGAAAGAGAGAGAGATGAAAAAAGCTTGCTTTGAAGGGAGGACATGCATCACGAAGGGAAACGCGGTGCAGCGCGTGAGGATCCTTGGAGGGGCCCCCAAAGCCCCAGAACATCAGTGCGTACACCCGGGAGTTCCTGAAGCGCAAAATTGGCTAAGTGTCCAGAAACGCGGTAGATTCATCGCTTTTTAGTGGCGTTTTGTGTGTTGCAACGCGTTGCAGCAATAAAATCCGAAATACCCCGAGAATATCGGCAGGAGTGCCACTCGCTGTGAGCGCTCTGCAGCGACTGCAGTGACAGACACAATGCTCCCCCCCTTCCCTCGCGAAGAAAGTCCGCTTCCAGGCTGCATTCGACATTAGATTTATATAGATTTAGGCCTAAAGCGCGTTTCGCCTCAGGCAACCAGCAAACATCACCCCAGTGCCCCGCAGCAAGCAGGATCTCAAGGGCCTGTTGTTGCATTGAGCCGAGCGGCGCTGCCTCTCCCCCCCGGGGTGTGTGTTTCTGGTGCTTCGGTGGAGGTTTTATTGTGCACAGTATCCCGCCGCATGTCGGTCCTATTATTCCTGTCCCGTAAGCAGCAGCTGCAGCTGCACACAGGAGCGCTTACGAGGGATACGACGAAGCGCCAGCCTCGGAGAAGGCCTTCCTTCCGAGGTAGCAGGTAGACAGACTTGAGGCGTGTAGGGGGGATCGTTTTGTTTGCGTTGCTTGGTTTTCCACGCGCGCGATGCCGTCGCAAACGCTTTGAATTGGAGCCAAAAGCTCGAAAATGGAAGCCTCAAACGTTCCCGGAGGCTTTCACATGTCTCAGGGGATGGAAGGAAGTCTCCCCGCGATGCTGCAAAGCGAGGAGAACTTGCAGCAACAGGCAGGCTGGCAGAACCGCGAGCAGCTCTTCCTGCAGTCTTCATACGATCAGCCTTTTTATTCACATCCGTGGCAGCAGAAGCAGAAGCAGCAGCAAGGACAGTACCACATCTTTGAGCCTCAAGTCTCTCTAGTAGGAGAGCAGCAGCAGCAGCAGCAACCCCAGTATCACCACCCCCACCAGCGGCAGCAGCAGATGACTCTTTTAGAGGCCCGCGTGCTGGACGCTCGCATGCGTCTGCTGCTGCATGCGGGAGGTGTCTCTTTCTCTCTTGAAGAGCAGCGGCAAATCGTTCGCAGCACCAATCGCTGCTTCCTCCTTTCCTGCTGCTGTGGGCTTGCTGCTGCGGCTGCCGCTCGACGCGTGACTTCTTTAAAGGTAGTGTACTGCCGCTCCTCTAATCCCTCGCCCTTGTTGGCCTCTATCTCTCTGTCTCTGTCTGTCTGTCTGTCGCTCTCTCTCTCTCTGTCTCTCTCTCTCTCTCTCGGCTATATGTGTTGCTGCTCTCCAGTTGTCAAGACGGGGGAGGAAAGCGTGTGCTATTTTATCGCTGCCGCAGGCAACCCAGGTACAGTGTTTCTTGGTGGGGTCCTTCGGGGGATTGGCTGTGTTATCACCTCTGCAACGGCGGCACTTATGGCAACGGCTCATTGCAACTCCAGACAGCAGCGCTGGACAGACGGCCCAGCGGTTGCTGCAGCAGATGCGCTCCGCAAATATTCCTCTGCAGGAAACTCCGAATCTCCCGCTGCCCTCCCCACCGCTGCAGCCTATTGCCGCTGCAGTGGGGGGAATGCAGCAGCAGCAGCAGCGGATGGAGGGGGCTGCTGGTGCTTTTTTTTTCGGCTATGGTTCGACACGATGGGGGCAAAAACTCGGAGAACGGCAGATGCAGCAGCGTGAGCCAGACCGAATGTTGCCGCTAGGAGGGGACGCTGCAAGGTTGCATTGCATCTGTTTTTGCGTGCTGGTGCTGCTGCTCCTCCGCCCCATACAACTTGGCCTCTTTGTTCCCGCTGCTGCTGCTCCCTCTCTGCTTCTCATACAGCTTTTGGTGCTGTTGTCTTGCGGCGCGCGCAGCCTTCCGGTCCTGGAACGACATCCTTCTAGAAAACTTTTTCCTGCCGCAACAGTAGTTGCAGTAGGAGCCGCGGCAGCAGCACCACACCTGTGGCCTTTGCTCTTTGAGTACTTTTTGAGCGTGCCCTCCCCATGGATTGTGCTGATTTAGAAGCAGTGCAGCCGGCAGAAATCGTCTCTTGACATGTCTAGGGTCCAGAGAGGAAGAGGGGAAGGGCAAGGCGGACAGGGGGAGAATCGGAGGGTGGGCAGATCACCAGATGGTTTTTTCTCTGCTGCCACATGTGTGTGGCGGCAGAGAAAATTTCCCGAGTGGCGTCTTTTCTGCTAAATTCATCGTACCACTAGGGGGCGACTCGGGGCTTTGCGGATTGCCGCGGCAGCCGCTCTAAGAAGTTAAAAGCGCTCTTTCTGACCAGTGCCTAGAATATCGGGGAAAGCGACGAGAACCTGGCATGGCTGCACTCCAGAGAGTAGCCTTTTTGCCGCCTCTTTGCGCCCTCCCTTTTACGCCAGACGGCAGCACAGCGTCGAAAGGCGCAATCGCTAGATGTGTTAGCGAATTTTTTTCGTGCCAGTCACCTGGCAGCAGAAATGACCGCTACGGCTGGTGGTGGTGCGTTGTAGCTATATCGATCGAAACAGCTGTGCAGCGTCGGACTGTTAAAATGGGTATACATTAATATATAGGCACCGCGAGAAGGGACGGAGTTTTGAAAATTTTGTGAGCAACCGACGTGAAGCGTTATGGGAGCTCTCACTCAAGAGTGGGCGTACCGGAGTGCGATATTTTTCTGACAAGAAGGACTCCTCCTCAACGGTGCTGAACCTCTACAGCAGGTTCCCCCTTGAAACAGAACGCCACCAGAGGCTCTAGGAGCTTTCGAGAGAGGCACGAGTGAACCTGCGCATGCATGAGAAACAATTCCAGACCGCAGTCGTATTTAGTTGCCCCATGCTAAGGCTGCCTAAGCTCAGCGCTGCCTTCCCTATCAAGGCTCCGAAGCCTAGGAACCGACCCTTCCCCAACGTCTCCTCCTCCCTACTACCTTGAAAAAGCAAAATCCTAACACATGGCCTTCTGGATCGACGACAGCCTCCGAGAGGGTTGATGCTTCTCCGAGCGACCTCTTAGGTGACGCTTTGACATCGCCTTCAGGTCGGAGATTGTCACAGGAGGCAAGGAATGCCCGCGCACCTGCACACCCATAAAAACTACCGCACATCCTACTAGCCATAAGAAGCTGCCCCTCAGCAGCTGTTGCTGTACGTACACCGCATTTTCGGCGCGAGATCTGGCAGCCCTGCACCCTCTTCTTCCTCGCATAGTATCCATCCCGCGATCAGTAACAAAGGGAGAAGGTTCCAGCCATCTAATGGCGAAGCAGGGAAATGCAGAATTTCATGACGCACGTTCTAAACGCTTGGACTCCTCTGCAACTGCAAAGAGGGCCAGCTGTCTGTCGAACTCTGCGATAAAACGCACACGCAAACTCTTGCGAAGCAGAGATAACGCTAGTCCTCTCGAGACGAAAATTTCAACAAATCCCTGAAGGAGGCGGCGGCATGCCGTACGGTTTGAGCCGCCTTCTCGGGGGCTCAGCGAGAGCAGTATGTACACTTGGCGGCCCTGAGCTGCCTCTGCAATCTGAAAGCAGGAACATGACGCATGGCGGGCATCCTTGCAAGCCAGGTGTATCAGCAGCCGCATTTAGCTCGGCGGTGGAAAAGGAGTATATATCCTGGCAGGGGAGCTGTCAAGAAAACGAATCAATATATCCATATATATGTATACAGGCAACTTACGATCGCCTCAAACAGCTGGCGTCGCCTTTCCTCTTTGGCCAAAAGGAGCTGCACGCTGATCGTCAGAGACGAAAAGGCAACCTGTATCGCACAGGAGTGATGAAGGCTGGTGGTACTGGATAGAAGCCGTCAGTCCTTCTTTCTCTCTCTCTCTGTGTGTGTCTGTGTGTTTGTGTGTTTGTTTCTCTGTGTGGATGGGTGGGTGGGTGGTGGGGTTGCGCGTGGCTGCAACACGGCCCTCCCGAAGGGCCGGCCCCTTCTTCTCTCTTACGGAGCACTCGGCGTAAGAGAAGCACTTGTAGTCTGATTTGAGCAAAGCCGTGACACCCTAAGTAAACAAAAGAACAAGTTTAAACTGTGTCGCATGCATAGGTAGCGGGGGCGTAGAGAGTTGAAACGGCTGAACGACGCTGCATCAGTCCTGTGGCCTTATGTGCATGCAGCGTACAACTTCCAGCAAGCGTCGGCTATCGAAGCGCATGACGTCAAAACTTTGCTGCGCTGTCAGCACCAACGAGTAACTCCATCCTAACAACCCGGAGAGCCATGCTAGAGCGTGAGCATCTCTGCATCGCTCCCGCGAAACACACAGCCCCTACATACAGCCGCTCAAGGCACGTGGGCATGAGTGTCGTTGTGAACCTAGAGAATTTCTGCCGAGGCCTAGCATGCACAGGCGCTGCTACACCTCTGCTTGTTTGTACTCTAAAAGGAGGTGCCGCCATCGCGAGGCATCGGAGTTGTCGCCCTACATGGCGTTCCATCGAAGGTCCGAGAGGTCAGGTCTGCACGCCACGGTGTCTGTACAGCGACACACGTAAAACGAGGCAAACACACCGCCAGATGGTGCAGAGGGCCCCCTTTTCTCCCCCCTCTCCCCTATCGCAGGATGGTTATTTTGGCATGAGAGGAGTTTCGTGACTCAGACGTTCGCGCTGAAAAGAAGGCGTTGAGCGAGCTACCTGTTATAATGGCACCAATGAGAAGGGCTGCAAGATCCTGGGGCAAAGGAGGTAATATTTCCGAATAATGGATTTGCAATGCCTCGAGCTGCAAGCCACCCACCGCAGTCCCCCCTCCCCCCACGTTTCGTGTGAGCGCTTCCAGGCATCGCTGCCCGTCCCCATACGCTTACACTAGCGCATGCAACAACTTCGCGTGTCGTTTGTAGGGCTTACAAGGAGAGCCACAAGGGAGGAACAAGACCCAACGCAAGGGCCGGTGATGCGCTTCTTGCATGCCGCTGGAAGGGCCTTCTTGTCGACGTGATGATCCACGCAGCTCACCACATGCTGCCGCCATCTGCAAACCGCAAGGCCCCTCAACACGTAAGACTTTCATGTCTTGTCTTGCCTGCATCGAGCAGCGAAACGCCAGAGAAAACTAACAAGAAACCCAACACATGCAACTTCTTTGCAGCCTCTTTGCAGCAGCGCCACTATCATCATCATCACTATCATCAGCACCAGAAACTCTAGTTACTGCAGCAATGGCGTACTGCTCTCTACTGCCACTGCCCAAATCATTATGGTCCACTAGGCACACCCTCACGGATGTCTCTGGATTCTGCAGCTGCTCCAGCAACTGCAACCCAACCAATGCACACACATACACACACACATACATAAATGTATATACATATATGTATATGTATACATACATAATATATATATGTATATATATACATACACATACACACATACATTCACATGCATATACATACATATACATACATGTACATACAAACAGAATACACACACACACACAACACACACAAATACAATGCACCTAAACATAATACGCACACATACACATAAACACATTTGAACACATACACATAAACACACATACCCACACAACCACATACATACACACATACAAACACAAACACATGCAAACACACCCTTCCTCCCTCCCGACCCATACCTCCATCTAGCCACAGTAAAGCTTATTGAAAAACGCATGCCTACGCAGCTAGCGAAGGCTTTTTTTTCTGCAGCGTCCAGATCAGAATGAGCAGGGAGCTACATGCCCCCCCTAGCTGCACCGCGAGACAGGTGGAACGGCTGCCAGATTGACGCCAATCGAGACGCATGCAGCCCCAGGAGCTTGATAGGGTGTCTCGCCTCTTCAGCCTGCTGCCCACCTGATGCACTTCGGAGTGAGTGGTGAAGAGAAGACGCGAGGCAGCGGGGACGCCAAGACATGAGGAGATCCACCAGTCCGCCTGAGGCAACGCAGCACTTTTTGAACTCGGAGGAATTTTTTTCGAAATGCAGACAAATAGCAGCAGAAACGCCAAATGCAGCACAGCTTCCTGCCAGCGACGCCGACCTGCAATCTGCTGCGAAAATCGGCAGCACTGCAATCCACCAGGGGCAGAAATGCTGGAAGATCCGCCTCGTGTTGCTGCTGATGGCTGCTGTCAAAGCTCAGCCCACGCTGCAGGAGTCTGCAAGTTTCCAGAGCAAATGCGTAGCCTATGGCAGCAACTGTCGAGTCCTGTGACACTCGCAAATTCAAAACCCAAAGTTTTTCATTCCGGAGCCATGGGGGGCCCCTGGGGGGCCCCTGGGGGGCCGCCCTTATTGGTGTGGGGGAAGGGGGGGAACGCCTACTGTCGAAAGGCTGCTGCTCCTTCACACCACTTGAGAAACACCGCAAAGTTGATACGCACCAGGTCTGCACTGCTATTTCCAAGGATTACTGCAACATCCGCTTCCAGATTCTTGGCAGGCTGTGACTCTACTTTGTCAGCTACCCCGATACGCAGACGAGTAGCGCAACGGGAGAGGTAGCTGGCCGCAGAAGGAGCCGCCCAAGAGGCACAGGCAGCAGTGCCTGCTGCTGCTGCTTTCTGTGCTGCCGCTACTGCCGCTGCTTCTGCCATCGCCACTGCATCTGCCTCTCCTTCGCCTGCTGCTGTTGGTGCCAGGCCCGCAGAGTCCGCAGCCTCAGCACCAGCAACAGCAGCCCTTTGCTCCAGAACTGCGCTTTCGTGACGATCTGGGGAACAACAGCAACGGCAACAACGGCATCAATGGCAACTAGGGTGATGTTTATATGCCTCTAAACCCGATCCAGAAGGGGAAAAGCCGATAGTCTCTTATCGGGGTGTAATTCTGTAGCACGTCCGTCCAGGACCCTCAAAGAGAAGAATGGTGACTCACCGAGAAGGGCATGCGCCTTCTCGATTGCGGAGATCAAAATTGGCATTGCAAGAGCTGCGGAGGCGGTCACCACTGTTGCTGCTCCTCCTGCTACTGCCACTGCCGTATTCAGTTGTTCTTAACGATTCTGTGCCCCTCACGGTCTCCCTTGGAGCTCGAACCAGCCGTGTTTCGCTGCAAATTCTGGCATTCCTGTCAGTCAAGGTGGAAGCGCAGTGTGACAAAGACGATGAGCCTTTGTGCTGCAGCAGCAGCCCAGACACACCGAGAGGGTGAGGCAAGCAAGCGATCAGGCTTAAGAGTCAACCGTCAGGTTAAGACCGTATCCAAAGCCCTGCGGATTTTCACGCCGTGTTCGGGTGTACAGGCACCTCAACCCACAGAAGTCGCTGATACCTCCCGTTTGCTTATCTTCTCCCTCGAACTTTCCCGATGATTATCAAGAAAAAGGGTTTTGTAACGAATTTTTAGACGACTATGCAAAAGTAGGGCTGTTTCATCGGGGGAGAGGGGGCCTCCAGGTCCTGTCGGAGGGTCGCCGCCATGACCACCAGGGCCACCTGTTCTCGGAAGTTCCTTCTCTCCACGCGAGACAAATCTACTACATCTGCTGTGTTCCCTTATTTAATTTACTTGAACCTCAAACTCCAGACGGAAGAGCGCTCAATTTCCTGCGCTTTGCTGCCGCTGAGTCCTGTCGACGTCAGTAGGGTGGGCCCTCTCTGGCTTCAGTAGCATCTGTTGCAACCTCGCACGTAGCGACCCCGCCGCGTATCGAGACTATTGTGGGCGTCTCAAACAGTTGTACCTGCATCCCCTGCGGCATCAGCATCCGGATCTGCGGCAAAGACACGAGCACCTTCATTGTCACTACCATCTCTCAGGATGGATTGCTTCCGTCGTCAGCTGGTGATCAAGCGGAAGGTTGTTGAACGCACGCTCAAGGATCTCGTCTGCTACAGAGCGGAGGTTCTTGAGCATCAGCAGGTCCTTCACCAAATGGAGGTAAGCACCCCTCCGTCCCGCTTACTTGAACCACTGCTCCTTTGGTGTCTGCTCTTGTTGATGCCGATGCACTGAGGCATCACGATACGGATGCGGCTTTCTTAGCATCTAGTTCTTCCCGTGACATTTCAACCGACATAAGGTGTATCTCCTGCCCAAGTCTGCCTTCTTTCCTGCTGACGTGGGACAGGCAGGCATCGCCTCAATGCTTCGTCGTTCTTTTGCGCACTATGTGTTTTCCAGAGTGTGTGCAATAATCCATCTGAAAAAATGCTTGTTGTCACCTTTCCTCCTGAGGTGTTCCTTTGACTCATGCCACCCTTTTCTACCGGGTGCTCTCCTACGTTGCTGCTGTCTGTGCTTCGTGTCGGCATATGGCCCTCATTGCTTTCCACCTTGTTCTCGTCGGCATTAAGCTGCCTTCGTGTATCTGCAACGCCTGTTGCTGCCGTGTGTAGAGCCACCTCCCAGCACTTAGCTGTCGTGTGCTTGCACGCTTGCTTGCCTCCACCTTCTCTCCAGGCTGCAGGACGTGAGCCAAGCGACATTCGCCAAAGACGAAACGTTCTGACCGAAACTCTTCTGATGGTTCCAGACGCAGAGGAGCGTCTTTCTGCCGCATGCAATGCCTTGGGAGCACACCTTACAGAGAACCGTAGCTGTTGTCTCAAGGCCCTTGCGCTGCTGCTGCAGCAGCTGCAGGAGGCTTCTGAGCAGGAGGCTTCTGAGCCGTCGGCTAAAGATGCTGCCGTCTCCCCTGCTATCGATTCTGCTGCTGCTGTCGATAAGCAACGAAAATCTTTGCACGAAGCAGACACGCACACCCCCGAAGCCGCCATGACGCCGCAAGCAGAGAGAGACGAGTGGCTAGTCGAGGAGCTGCTAGCCGCGAGAAAAGCCCTCCTTAGCGTCAAGCAAGAAGCCCCCAATGTACCGGTCCCACTGCATTTCTTCGAGTCTTTGGAAAATGCAGCTGAATGTAAGGAAGAGGATGGAGGATGGGGAGGCGGGGTTCACTGCGGAGAACAGGAATATGACCCTGATGAAATTTAACCCTGATCCATTTTTTCTCCCTCGAGTTCTTCTTCCAGGCTCGGCATCCTGGGCAATTGATGCTTTTGCTTTCGCGCCTTACAAACGTACTCTGGTACAGAGGCAGCACCAGAATAAGTCTTCAACAGCTCTCTAGGGACAAAGAAGGAAACACTGATAATGGTAGGGGGCAAACAGCAAACCAGCAGGCACAGAGTCAGAGGAGCAGAAGGCGACAGCCGTACGAACTTATGGAGAAAATGATACTGAGACTGCTTCATAGAGTTCGTATATGCCGTTTGGGCCTAGTTATCATGGCGTCTTACCTTTGTGAGAAAAGGCCTTGCTACCGCACTTGATCGCTGTTCGCAAAATAGAGCCCCAGTTTCTCTCATGCTCTGCCTTTTACCTATGCAGCAGAGGCGAAAGTAAACTTCTGTTAGGGGCATTCCTGAGTTTTTGGGGCCTAGATATTAGGGAGAAAGAATAGGGCAGTTGCCCTCTCGTTCTATGCTCCTTGCTGTAACTCGCCGTATGGCCAAGTAAAAGATAGTGCTTTAGCAGGATGCACCGCATCGTCACAGGAACTTTGCTTCAGGTGTATACGCAGAAGGGCTGGCCGACTGTCTCCTCTCAGGAGCAGTTCGCCGTCAAGTTTTCCGAATATTTGGTAACCGCCGCAAAGGGAAAGCAAGCGGTGAGGCGAGATGCAGGCCCACACATTGCAGTGCCACTGGGTACTCGCATCCTTCGTTCTGCCCTTAATTCTTAGCTTTCTATTTGCTTCCACCTTTTCAAAACCTATACAGGCTCATGCCTCTCTGGGGGCATCTCGGCTCCTCTTTGCCTTCCCCAGTTCCCGCGGCACACTTGGCCGCGCCTTTGCTTCATGGTGCAATATCAATTTTTGCAGTCACTGGGCGGTTGCAAAGTGTCGAGTCAGTGTCGAATTCAGGCAAAACCCCCTTCTTGCACACGTAGAAGCATCTTGAACCTGTCGGGACAGAGCCGCGCGCATCCTCAGGGCTCGGCGTGGGGCGCACATATACACACACACAGCGTCCTAAGGATCCACTGATCTGCGAATATGTTTCTGAATCACCTTAATAAGCACGCATCATGAGAGACAACATACACCAAGGCAGAAAATAACGCTTCAGAACGTGGGACCGACCGGATGTCCTGGACCGAGGAGGGGTCACTTTCAAGTGTGAGGGAAGGAGCGAGGGCGGTTGATGCAGTGAAAATTGCTTGCTGATTCACTTTTCCTTAGAATTCTGAGCATCGGTCCAAGCGATGAGAGCTGGTGGGCTTATTTGCCGCATGACTGAGAGCGGTCGCATGTACACCCCGGAACCAGCTCCATGCTTTTCGGTACTGCAAGTGACCCCACATCTCTGCTTCACTAGTTGAAAAATACGCTCTAAATGATAGAATGCCGGCTTTACAATAAATCAAACTGCAGGAAAGAATGCAGCCAAGCAGACTGGGTGGGTAACGGGCCGAGAGGTGTCCCTGCTCTCTGTGGCCTTTACCGGGACGGGCCTGGGTCACTCACTGGCTAGCTGGAGTGCAATGTGGCTCGATGTGCGGTGGATGGCTTACAGCTGTATTATTCTCTTTCTGTGTTTGTTCAGTTGCTCTTTCTGCGTCTTCCTTCATCGTTTAGCTCATCACTGAACACGGTTCCCGGCTGTCCTTCACGGCTGTGTGAAGCAGCCGCGCAAAACCAGCTCAACTGCCTGTGCAGCAACAAACAGGGCCTCCATAGAGGCTGGTTCTTATTCCTGCTCGTTTTTTGCACACTTTCGTGCCTTTAATTCTTTCTTCGACTCCATTCCCCCATCTTCTTGCCTCTTCCTGCTCAGAGACGCAATGAGGCTTGCCCCTGTCTTTGCTCCTTCAGTGCGGGCATCCGCTGCCTGTACGGCCTTTTTGGCCTCAGCGGTTGTCTTGCTGTCTTCTCCCATAGTTGAACTCGGGCTTGCGGACACCGAAGGCTGGCTCTCTGCTGATGAGGCAGCCCTGCACTTGCACGTGCTGCAGATGGAATTTCCGCTGTGCTTCTATTCTGCGGTCGTGCATATGGTTTCTCGGCAGGAAACGGCGGCTTCCACCGTTGTAGAGTGTAAAGAGTTGTGTTATGCAGACCTGAAATGTGATAAGTTTTCGTTTGATTCTACCGCAGAGGCCTCCAGTGCCTGTTCGCTTATGCAAAAAAGCGCATTCGAAAGTTCCGTGCCAAACAACGGAATTACTGGACTTGGAAGCTGCACGGACTCATGCAAGGAGGAGGGCCTCGTTCAGGGCCTCCTAGTACGCGTCATAGCGGATGGTTCTGTCTCAACATTGCAGGAGTGCTTGGACCTCTGCGTGGAGAGCGAGCCCTGCGTTTATGCATCCTTTGATTATACCACGGATGTGTGTTGGCTCCGAGGGGAGAAAGCGGGTGAGACACTGTACAAGCCAGGAGCTGTTTCGGCTGCCAAACGGTGTGGTCTGAGGGACAGCTCGGTCACAGTGGATCTAGCCATTGTGGGGGCTGAAGACCTTAACAGCGCTGATGAGACAGAGAGCTGGGAGCTGTGCCGTAGCAACGGTCAGATCATGCCTACGGCTCGGTACTTCTCATGGGATTCTGAATCTAAGGTGTGTAGCCTCTTCGATAGCTCGGCGAAGGGGCTGTTTAAGAAAAAAGAAGGAACGATGGCGGGTCCTACGTGGCCCTTCCAGTCTCCTTGCTACGTTCCAGATGTGCGAATTCCAACCAAAGCGGCGAGTGAAGGAACCTATGCTATGAGTCCCCTGCACTGTCAGCGGCTCTGCCTAGACGCTGTTGACTGTGAATTCTTTTCCTACAGGGAAGAAACAGGGGAATGCTTCCACCTCGGCGGCTCCACCTCCAAGGATGTAGCTCTAGAGGCTGCTACTGGATGGGTGGCAGGCCCTCCGAAATGTGAAACTCGTGACTGGTGCACCGTCCAAGGCATGTATTACAGCGGAGGAACCATTTCAGACATTGTGATGGCTGGTACCGAGGTGTGCAGAAACAAATGCAGAGCGAATAAGGACTGCGCTGTTTGGGGGTATAATCACGAGAAAAACCTTTGCTCCCTGATGCGTGAAGCTGCCCTACAGAAGGTTGGAAAAGGCTCGAAATTTGTTTCTGGCCTCCCGCAGTGCGGCTCTCCGCGTGCTTGCGAGATGAATGAACAAGACCTTGGCCTGTCGAGGCACCTGGAGGACATAGAGCAAGTCACAGATGCTGTGGAGTGCAGCAACGCATGCCACGCACAACCCAGATGTTACAGCTTCTCACTCTTAGAGGGGAGTACGTGCAGACTATATAGTAAAGCCAGCCAACCAAGAACCTCCCCCGGCAGCATCTCGGGTCCAGCTGTTTGCTGAGGGAAATCGGATCGATGCGTTACGGCAAAGGAGCTGGCGCTACTGTATACCAAAGTCAAGACGCTCATCTGAAACGCACTACTGCTGCAATAGGGAAAAGACGAACAGGCGCTGATGATCTATTCAGCTGAAACCGAGGCAAAGCTTGAGCAGTGCAGCGCGAGCAAGCACGGGCATGTGTCTGACAGACTGCATTCCCATCCGTGTTTTCTACGCACATTCGAAGGAGGCACCCTCGTTGCCTTGCGAATGCTTGACTCCTTGTATGTTGCTTTCCCTGGTGGTGGCGTTTTCGCTTCGTTTGCCACGGATTGAGCCCCCAGCGTTCACTGCAGAAACTCCCTTCAAGCTGCTACCTCGGTACGGAAGCGGTGGATGCAGCCGACCTCGACACCTCTGGATCTGAAGCTTGGAGACTCAGTTCCCCTCACAAACTGTAAATACACCCAGAGCTCGTTGGTCGAGCTGTAGGCGTCCACTCCTCACCCCATTAACATTTGTTGAGCAGATAGGTCTGTGGACTTGGATTCGGTCTGTTCCCTTATGTTGGGGTGGTGTTCAGCTGAGTGCTAAGCCTTTGTGCGCTCGAGGCACTCTCCAGCACGGTTTCGCAGTCGTTATAGCTTGGAGGCCCCCTACGCGTGCCCATTAGGAGAAGACACTGTTGGCCTTTTGGACTCGCCTCCTCTATCTCTGCCCATCCCTGACATGTTTACGCGCATTCTCTAGTTCGGTTGACTCCTCATCATGTACTTTGGCACACAAATATTGAAGCCGCAGACAGCTATTCTGGCGGCAGCAAATATCGGTTCCTCCTTGCGTCTCAAGTCCTGTAGGGTTTGCCGTGCAAAGCATGCAGCTTCAGGCCCCCAGTCGACTCCATTGTGCACTCCAGTGCGCCTATTGCCTGTTAGCCATTGTTGCTCTGTCTACCTCGCTACCCGGGGTGGCTTTACTCAAGCTACTTTGTACTATACAGCTCATCCCTGAAACAGTCTAACTTCCTCCTAATTGTCTATTTGAATTGGCTGTTCCTACATCATGTGCGTCGCACAGAAGAGTTATCTAGTTCGATGCAAGAAGCAATGCTGTGCGCCTCCGTGTTATAGGCTGCTATAAGAATCTGAGTGCGAACAAATGCTCAGGAGTATAGGGTGCAGCAGCACCCTTGTACCTCAGCATTGACTCTCGCTCGTCTTATGTCCGGGCCTCGGGGGACAGGGGGGAGGGAGGGAAGGCACTCTTTTAAAAAAAAATTGAATAGCCTCTTGTGGAGCTTTATTTTAAGTTTGGAGCTAATAAAGAGCCACTAAAGGGCGACTCTGATTAGAGCGCGGCATCAATCCGGCGCTCGCCCCCAGCGTCACCTTCGTTGGCTTATGGGACACAGAAGAAGTCAGCGAGCCGCTAAGGGTGCCCTTAGAGCAATTCATAGCGTGTTAGAAAAATGCCGCAAGCGACCCAGCTTAAAAGTAAACATAGGAGAAGTCAGTGCATGTCGGACCAGGACACGCCCCTCATGGTTATATGCAATAGGCATTTATGCCCAAACGTTTGCTTGTGCATCGTCTAACTCAGAACAAACCAGTCCTACAGCAGCAGCCTAATGATGCTGGCTTAAAACGCCAGACCGTTACTCTATCGGTCTCGCAGTATACGAGAAATACGGTGGCACCTACATGAGACTAGGGTGTCCCCTGAATAAATGGAAAATCAGAAGCCTTCTTGAGCGGAGCCACGGGAGGTGCACACCTCGGCGCATATGGCTGATCCCCTGCTTGCATTGGTGCATCCCTTTCTTCTCCCCAGTCAGTAGGAGAAGCCGGAGGTGGGCAGTAGGACAATTCGACGTGAGGGAAGAAGGCGGTACAAGGCGGAGCCAACAATAAGCACGGATAGCACGTTCCTGCAACTAACCGGAAGGTTCTATTAAATTGAATTCTCAAGGTAGCGAGCAATTGTGACGCAGTGTGCGAGTGCATTAGGGTTAACGGTCGCAGATGTGGTGGCGATAAGAACCGAAACCTGTGGTGTATGGACACCTACTTTTGATTTGTCGGCGCTGCTCTGATATATACGACACAGCAATCTATATGCCTCCATAAATCATGAGTACGTTAGCCAGATTGCAAGAAATAGGAAATGATCATGAGCTCTGCGCGTAGGTGCTCCTGCGGTGTAATTGGTACCGCGCGCACGCATGCATAGAGCAGCAGACACCAGTGTTGGGCCGGCGGCCCCTTAGAGGAAGTTTCCTGCTTATTAAATAGATTTTTGGCCTTCTTGGTCCGTTTGTTCGACTTTGCAATCCACTTCAGCACCTACATTGACGTCCAGGACCGCTGCTGTTGCTGTTGCAATATAGTGCTGCTGCCACTGCCGCAACCGCAGCCGTTGCTGCCGCTCTTCTGCGAGGGCTACCGATGTGGTGCTGCTGCATTACCACCAGCACAAATTCGAGTGTGCTTGCAAGTGGCTGCTTCTAAGCGCCAGCGACCTCCATCCAAGGTATGCGAACTTTCGTAAGCAGCCGCGGTCAAAGCACCTGCAGAAGCGGCACGCGAGGCGACACTCCAGGATCCTGGTGCCGTGCAAACTCGCTGCTGCTATCGTCACAACACCAGGCAGCACAGTGCGACGGGGGCTCTGTGTATCTCTGTAGACGCACTTCCTTCCGTTCCCTGATCCTGCAGCCGGTGTTGTTTCTTGGGGTGCAACCCTTGCCATGTCTACCGCCGCTGCAAAGCGCATGTTGTCGGCGCTGCTGCAGCCATCTCCGTGCCTATGTTTGTGTGTGGCACCACACAATGCAGCACGCGAGGCAGAGAGAGACAGTCCCAAAGCCTCACATGGCGCGGCTGTTATAGTTTCACGTGTACATTTGAGTTGCATAAATGCTCTTAGGGGCGTTCGCGATGCAGTATACGACAATTCATGCGTTTGTACTTGGGTCTATTCTTCTCTTTACCACTGTGTCTGCTCTTGCGGAGGCAGGTGTTGTCTCTTTGTCGCATTTCTTCTGTATGCCATTCCTTGTGATCCAGCTACTTGGTGGCTACTTCGCTAGCTGAAGTGTCTTCTGCGTGCTCCTGTGCAGGCCCTTCCTGCCTACTCGCCAATTTGTATCTGCCAGCCTCCCCACGATGCGGCTGCGCGTTCGTACCCTCGGGTCGGAGGAATGCGAAGTGCATATCCAACCGGAAGACACCGTGCGGGATTTGAAGAGGAAGATTGAGCAGCAGATTCCACGCATGCAGACAGACAAACAAAAGCTTGTGCATGCGGGCAAGGTTTTGGATGATAAGCTGCTCATCAAGCAGTACCCTCAGCTGAAGGATAACGAGCGACTCGTTGTGCTCGTTACCAAGGTGCGCTCTCCGAACAAGCACATCATAAGCCACAGGATAGGAAAGAGGCGTTAGATGTGTTACTTCTGCTTGCCGCTACGGCTACCTTGTCTCCCCTCTGTGGCGTGCAGCAAGTGCCTTCTTCCGCGTCTTCTTCAGCAGCATCGACGACGACAGCAGCACCAGCACCAGCAGCAGCTGCAGCTGCGGCAACAGCGCCAGCTGCAACAGGAGAAGGAGAAGGAGGATCTCCCCGTGCGGGAAATCCAGAAGCTGTACCTGTGCCAGAAGCACAAGCTGCCCCCTCCACAACGCCAGCTCGATCGGAAGCAACCGCAACAGACAGTGCCGTCCCTGCTTCAGGAGGAGAGCAGCAGGAGCAGCAGCCAATGTCTGCCGTCATGAGTGAATCTGCAGCCACACTCGCAACAGGCGCGCAGCTCGAAGAGGTCTGCAGGAGGCTCTCCCCTGCTTCTGTCTTGCACGGCTGCTTCGCTGCTTTTTCTGCTCCGTTTCTGTCTGTCTCTCCAGCGATGTTGATCCTTTTAGCAGACGATCCCCTAGGCTTCACGCGACTTCGCATGTCTGTGACCTTCTTCCATCGCTAGCAGCCCCATTTTTTTTTCTGCCGTCCACCTGCTGCCTGGCCTTCGCCCGTTGTCGCATGCGCGCGAGGCATCTCCTGCTGCAGATGCGCTTCAACCAGCAGCGGATCCACGCGCTTTCTGCTGCCTCCTCGTGTCTGCGTGTTGGCGGTGCAGTCTATCAGGAACCTCGAGGAGATGGGCTTCCCCCCAGCAGCAGTTCGAGTTGCTCTCCGAGCTGCTTTCAACAATCCGGACAGGGCTGTAGATTACTTGATGGAGGTATGAAGGGAACGCACACACACATATACACACATATACGCACATATACACACACATGCACACACATACACACATATACCCACATGCACACACATACATACATGCACACACATATACACACATGCACACACACACACACACATATACACACACACATATACACACACACATGCACACACACATATACACACCCATGCACACACATATATACACATGCATATATATATATATATATATATATATATATATATATATATACATAGACAGACAGCACAGGGACAGCCAGCCTCGCGCATGCACGTTGGGCTGCCTCTCTTTAGCCGGCCCATTATTTTTGCCGCCTTTCCTCATACATTTTTTCCTGTGTATTCACGGCTGCTCCCTCTGAAGAGACTCACATTTCGCGCACTGCGCATATACCCCTCTCCCTCCTCCTCGTTGCAAGCCTACCTCCCTACCTACCCTCCAAACCCTGATTCCTGCTGTTGCCTCCCCCAGTGTGCAGCAGCGGCTCGCGCGCGGTAGCTGCATGCGGCCTTCCACTCGTGCTGCTAGACGCCTTGCGCAGGGTATTCCAGAGGATCTCTTGCCTCCTCCGACTCCAGAGAGGGCTCCCGCAGCAGCTCCAGCCGCAGGAAGCTCCGAGGGCGGAGTCTTGCCCTCTCCAGGGAGTCCTCCTGCAGACAACCCCCTGGCTGCCTTGCGCAGCCACCCAGTGTTTCAGCAAGTTCGGCAGCTCACGCAGGTACTGCTGGCTGCTGCTGATGTATTCGGCGAGGCCCTTAATGGCTGCCGCAATCTGTTCACTGGCGTCAGGCAGCTCCCGTCGGGAGGCTTTTTTCCTCTTCCCTCCTCCCTTTCCTGCGCTTGCACCCTCTAAGCCGTGTTTTTGCGCGTCAAGTTTCCTCCTAGAGCCAGGGGCAGCGGCGTTGCGCACAAATCGAGGTGCGAATATCTGTTCTGCTTCCTTTCGCCGCAGACTAACCCGCAGATGCTTCCACAGGTTCTTCAAATGATAGGGGCATCCAATCCCGATCTCCTTCACGTAGGCTTCTCGCGCGTAAAATATCCTCTGCCAGCGTCGCGAAACTGGCCGCACAGGCGCTTCCCGTCAAGTCTGCCTACCCTAGTCTGGCGCTTTTTTTGCGTCTCTTCATTGCTCGCAGCTCATCACCCAAAATCAGGATGCCTTCCTCGAGCTGCTGCGCGAGGGAGCGCCTCTGGCCGGCGACGCCGCCTCTAGGGGCCCCACCCCAGGGGCCTCGCCTCTGCTGCAGGGTGGCGTGGTGCAACTGACTGAAGAAGAGATGGCTGCAGTGGAGAGAGTAAGTTTGATCGCCTAAAAAGCCTCGTGCCAAGCGTCCTAGACTGAGTCTCGCCCTCATTAACGTTTCAACGGGCTAGCGGCTGGGATCAGTGGTCCATACATTCCAGGCTGTGCGTGGCTTTGTTGATCTGGTCGCAGCTCACGGCCTTGGGGTTCACGCGGATGCAGGTTGCTGAGGCATACATTGCATGCGATCGCAACGAGGTGACTCTTGATTGGCTGCTGCGGCAGGTGTTCGGTCGCGTGTGCGCTCCTCCTCGATTTTTGGTGTGTGTCTGGGTGTGTATTATCGACTCTTTGTTGAGCATACGGTGTTTGCAACTAAGTCCTCGAAGCCCAAGGGCCTGCCGAGTACCGTTTGCGTGTTTCTTTTCCCAGGAGATGGCAGCCAATTATCTCTTTGAGAACATGAACGACTTTGTAGATGACGACACCCAGGAGGAACAACCCCCAACAGCGTGAGGTGTACATACACCCCATGCAGGTGCGCCTTCACGTACATTCGGTCGCGCCCGGTTTTGTCTACGCCTCATGGCTTATCGGTCTTTCTTCAGCTCGTGGTATCGGTCTTTATTTTCTAAAGGCAACTCGGAAGTCAGCAGGGGGAAGAGGGGAGAGGGGGGCTAGCTAACGACCCCCTTTCCAGCTTAAATCCAGCACGCTGGTTGGCGTATTAGCTTTGGGCTCTTTTCCCACTGCCGTAGGGCATATAATCTGGGAGGCTTGCGGAGTGTTGCTGCGGCCTCACAGGCCTTGCGCCCGCACTGGGAAGAGGACTACTGGGGCTTTTCCTGAATCCTGGGGTCCCCAACCAGAGTTAAAGAGGTATCTGGGGATCGATTGTTGGGGTTCATTTTGCTGTTGTTGCTTCATGTTTTTCCATCCCGGTGCCGTTGCCCTTCTTTGAGCTGCATCGTCCCCTGCTGGCCTGCGCCTTAGTGGGATCCCCTTCACCCTCTGGGTGTATCAGGGTAGTCTTCGTGACTTGGCGTTCCTGTGTTTGCTAGCTTTGCAGTGTCGGTGTCTGCATGTGCCCTGGTAGTCTCAGTTGTCAGCTTAGGCTCGAAAATAACCAGCTCATAGTGACAAACAGTGCTTTGCGCAAGTCGTGTACGCCAGTCAGCATATATTACTAAGCCTTGGTTCGGCAAGGGTAGCATGGAACATGAAGTGTGATTTTAATGGGGTAGGGTGAACGAGGTTGGGAAGGTTGTAGCCGGTTGGGGTGGGAAGATGTCGGCTATTGCCTCTCGTTGCCTGACTCCTGTCTGGCGTATTCTCGCGGCCTTAGCCACGTTTCAGCAGTTCCCTGTACACAAGCGCAGGAGCATCGTTGCCATTGGATCAGTTCGTAGCGAAATCTCTCGGAAGTAGATGTTCCTTTAGACCGGTGTTCCCATCTTCCCGAAACGGCGTAGGCTGCGTGATTGTGCGTTTAGCTAGCGAGTATACCTTTGCGCGGACCTCTGAAGTGTTTCGAGGGCACAGCCACTCGTACTGCGACTGTAATATCCATGAGCTGAGACTTCGGCACCAGAAAGGTACCCCGGAAAACGCTTTCTGCTACGCTAGCTACAGTCAACTATCTATCGATTCGGAACGAAGTCATTCACTGGTTTGTCTGTCTGCTTATACAATTCGTTTGTTGCAGTCCACTGTCAGCTTGGTACAGTGGGATGCAATATTGGATGCTTGGGCGCTAGAAGCTATGTGCAACGGCCTACGTGTGCGTGGAGTGTGGAAAGAGTATTGCTCCGTGCACGTAGCCGACACCCACCACTTATCCCGGAAACTCTCAGGGGCGGCGGCACAGAAAAGAAGGAGTTCGTTGAAAAAGGCTGAACAATCTGTGAAAATTATGCTGAGTTTAAAATTAAATGGGTCCCTAGGGAGACATTGGATGGAGCGCTACATGTACGTTTTTGTATGCTTTTCACATGCCTATACATAAGCGCGAAGAATCCCACTCCTCCTGTGGTGCATCATAGGGAAGCAGAGCCCCCGTTTGAGCGAGTCTTAATTCTCAAGGCCCAGTACATATGTGAGAAACGCCGCTTGTGGCTACGCCAAATGTGGGGGGCCCATAACCACAAGATCCTCGCTGCACCGATTGTCTTGTATGTGAATGTGTCTACGTGTACACATCTATCCCTGCTAAATTGAATTTCAGATTAAACATGCGGCTTCCGACCAAAAACCAGTTTGGTAAGGCTGTCCTGGTCATGAGACACGAGGGGCCCCCTGTGGAGGGAAAGAGGAAGGTACAAAGGAATAGCGAGAGGGGGTGTCCACGATGAAAACATACCGCATAGACTTAAGAGCTGTGAAGGGAATGTGAAAATCAAACTTTGGTGAAAAGTTGGTAGTCGAAATCAAAAGAAAGGTCCGCAGCTGGTCCGTTCAGTCTTTTTGGATGGTGAAGCGTATGTACACCACAATGGTGGTAAGTAATAGAGGAAACCTGTCCATTTGCTGTAGAGCTTTTACTAATTTACTATCTGGACTATTAGTTTGCGTTAAATTCAATAGAGTTAGCCTCTCATACCCACGCTGTGAGGACTAACGATCAATCCATGATCCCGCTTCTCCTCAGTGGCTGTGGGCCAGCAGTTCCGCGACTACCACCACTGGCCGTAGACCCTCCCGCCGTCCCTCCGTTACTCCTATCGAAGGGTGAAACGATACTTTATATATGACAGTAAACATATTTGCTGTCGTTGTATATAAATCCGTCCACGCTTTTTGTACCGTGCTTCTTGTCTGATACTAGGCTGTGCGTACACTTGGCTTCTCGGTTCTCGCGAGTTTTGTTACATAGAGTCCTCTAACTAAAGGGAGTTCCAGCACCAATTTTTAGACACATTCCTTTCTATTATTTTATTCGCCACTCAAAAGCTGCACTTTTTCGCATTCGCTGAAAATGCCTCACGGTCTTACTGTACTCACTGCCACAATGACGGGAGGCGCCGTTGGCGGCACCGCATCAAGTGGCGCTTGCTGCGGCGGCTGGTGCCCCTTTTGTCCCACAGCCACAGCAGCGGCAGGCGCGCCTGCCGCTGGGGCTGCAGCACCAGCAGCGGCAGGAGCCGCAGCGGGCATTCCAGCAGCGGCTGCAGCTCCCGCTGCGGCTGCACCAGCAGGAGCTGGTATTGCAGGCATAGGCGGTGCTGCAACTGGAGGCTTGGGAGGGGTGGGTGCTGGTGCCTCAGGTGGGGCGCCTATGCTCCCAGGACTTGTGGCTGTAGGCAGTGGCGCAGGTGCAGCAGCTGCAGCAGGAGCTCCTCTGCTTAAGCAGGCCATGGGGGTTGTGACGGGTTTGCTGCTCCTGCCCACGAAGACGTCTGCGCTTCTCGCAAACATGCGTCGGGAGGAGGAAGAGGATGACGAGGACACGCAAGCCAGCGACGGGGAGATCACTGTGACAACTGCAGAAACAGCGTCAACAGAGACCGCCAATATGAGCAGCGCCGCTGTCTCCGCTCCGGACCAGCGGACGGTGAAGATCATGAACAAGGAAACCGTGGACGTCTTGCAGCCAGAGGACGTGCCTACTACAGGGGGGGGTCCTGAGGTGTACAGCAGCTTCCTGTAGGTGGCTCTTGGGGAGGGGCTGCATGCATGCGTTCTCCAGCAACCGATGATGCATTAAGCCGGAGATCGCGCGCGCAGAAAGCCTCTGGCTCTGAGTCGGTGGCCCTTCTTAATCCAGCCCATTAGCGGGCACGGATGTGACAACAGGTCCCTGTGCTCAGGGTCTATAAAATTCCGTTTTGTTATTCCGTGAAAAAGTGCATAAAAGCCTGATGCTACAGGCGCTTCCGGTTGGGCTGCGGTGACTGTGCATGGTGTGAGGCCTTTTAAATGTGTATTTGCGCGCAATACTGAAGGAGGCTCGGTGGGACTGCGTGTGTGTGCGCGCGGAGCAGCGGCCTTCACGCCTGCTAGGCATCATTAGCCCCAATATACCATGAGGTGTATGTACAGCAGTACACCGACTTGTTCCGACCTTTTCCTTACCCCCTTCCATCGCGACAACCGTAGGGTTGTAGCCGCCTGCACCCCTGAAACAGTGGGTACGCAGGAAAACGGGAGCATGTGAACGAACAAGTTCACGCGGGATACGCAGAGCCTTCATGATTAAGGCACCCTGCTTCTCCTGTCGGGGTCTTCCGCATTTGTACCAGGAAGCGCTGCGTCCGCACAACCCAGGAGTATGGGGAGGGCTCTGAATGGATGCAGCTTTTCGCGTTTGCCTATAGAACAATGCATGATTGTTTTTTTCTAGGCTTATTTCTGGTGGAAAACGAGCGCTTTGCACTACTCTGTGCGTAACGTATCGGTAGATTGTGGGTCGGGGATATGCACACTGTAGATGGCGCATTGCTTCACTTGGGCATATTCTGATGTCCAGGTGTGTCTGATGCAGCCCTTCAGCGATGTCCTTATTGATTTGTCTGGTCTATGACATATTCTGCTTTCTGGGGAAAAGGGATAACGCGCTGCAGAAATACGAGCTGATTGCTTGCGCGCTAAGTTACTGCATGCAGGTAGATGCAAATGAATAGAGCTGATGAAGTAGAGGTAGTTATGCCGCGACAGTCCTTTGCAGACCGAACTGTGGGGTGTCCTGAGAACGAGAAAGGGCAAGCCGAGGTCTATTGAAGAGGCCCATGGCACCTTTCGATATTCTCAAGGGATTTTATGTTGGCGGTTTCGTGATAACATATCCTGGGATAGGACTGAAGCCAGTGCAACAGTACGGCGTATACCCCTTTGCTGAAGTACAGTTTCGGAACGTGGTCGAGCGCCGTAGTATTCCTCTCTTCGCAAAAAATTTGGTTCTCCCGCAACTACAAGGTGTTATTGGTGGGCATATTGTGACCACCGTGGAGCTCGCCAGATTGCATCGTGGTGCCCGAAACGCATGGCCTAGTATGGAGTCTCTGTCTGCTATCGGGAGCCCCATGCAAGGTGCGCGGTATGCGTGAATATGAACATTTCAGAGGCATGGAAAGCTACTGCATTTAAGATATGGAGAGAAACGTTTCGCGCTTGGGGGCCAACGTTATTTGCCTACATTGCAGAGCTATGACAGCCTCTTCTGAGGTGTATGCACAGCTGCTAGTTTGTGTCAATTCCACACCAGTGACACACAGTCTCTGCGGCACGGAGGGAACTTGGCTCCGATGCTCCCGCTGAGGACGACCACCTTGAAGGAGTGGCTTGCACTGCTATATTGGACGGAAAGGAGAGCTGCGTCAAGGAGGCTTACTAGGCATGTTTGTCTAATAATCGTGGTAGACAGACACGGGTGCTCATAGTGGCTGAATTGGTGGGGGCTTCAGGGGTGAGGAGTACATACGCCTGAACCCGTGAACAGGCAGCGGGAGACGCGGGGTTCTGAGTTCCTCCTGCCTCACCCTTAATGGCGGTCCGCAACAGGATGCCGGAGCTAATAATACTAAGGAAAGCATCTTACATTCCAAAGTGATCCGATTTCGGATTTATTTTGCAGAGAACGGCACAACGGCCCTCTTCGCTTCGAAGCCCCGCACGGCCCGACCGACGCATGTGCGTAGTGCCACCAATTAAACCCGATCCCTAGAAAGCTCCTTTTGCTCAAATATTCTACTATTGGTCTTCCGATTTTCAGAAGATTGTCTGAAAGTTCCTTCTAGGCGGGGAGTTCAGAAGCCCTAGGAAGCCCGCGGCCAGAATCTCTCAGTATCTCGAGTCTGTGTGTGACAGACACCCCGTCACGGACGACCCCTCCCACCCTCATCCATTGCCTCAGCTCTGGAAGGATGTCTGCATCCTCTCCTGCTGCCGCTGCTGCTGAGCCTGGAGAGGCGGAGGGGCCTTCTGCTCTCTCTGCAGAATCAGGCACCGCGTCACTGCCCGGATCGCAGGGGGCTAGAAACCCTGCGGCACTGTTGCAGCAACTCTCGGCGATAGCCGACGATGACGACAACTGGGAAGCCGACCCTGCATTCCTTCAGTATCTAGAGGCAAAGTACAGAGATGTGGAGTGCCCCCTTTTCCTCGACACGATGCCTGCAGATCCCAGCAGCGACCCGCAGCTGCACGCGCTGCAGCTGCTGGCGTATGACGGCGAGACACCCCTCTCTGTAGCGAAGAGATACAGAGAGAGAGGGAAGGAGCTACTCACGGAGGCAGCTACTGCCCAAAGGCAAGGGCACACCCAAGCCTACAGGAGAAAAATCCAGGAAGCTGAAGATGCGTATCATCGAGTAAGTCCAAGGCGTCGTCGTCGCTGCCGTAGGCTTTCTGAAACCCCTGCAAGGCTTTGAGTCTGTACAGCGGGATAGGTGCCCGAAATGAATAAAATTCGAGGAACACGTGTGTGTGTATATTCACTCCAAGTCACGATTGTTAACCTGAACAACCTTGAAAGGGGCAGCAAGGCCGCAGCTGAGAGCCAAAGCAGTGTATGCACAGTCAGGCTTCGCCACGATGCTCCTAGAGAACGCGCAACACCCCACGGATCGGGCTGGCAAGAATATGTGTGCAGGGGAGGGCCTCCCCCGTCCATTCCAGCCTCTGCAGAGGTGTCGCTTTTTCATGTGCATGCCAGGTGGCTCATTGCCACAGACGGAGGCCTCTTTTCTTGTCGCTGTCACCCTGTGTGTTTGTGTGTATGTGTGTGTATGTGTGCCGTTGGGATTTCCCGTTGGCTGTCCCTCTCAGGCTTTGGCACAGGGCGTGGAAGACAAGGATGAACTGTCGCTGCTGCACTCCAATGTGGCGCTGTGCTGTCTCAAGAGGGGCGACCTCCTGAGGTGTATCGACCATGCGAGAGCCGCCATCAAGTGCAACCCGAAGAACCTCAAAGCGTAAGCTTTTTACGCCTTAAGGCCTGCTTGGCCCCTAAAAGCCCGACTGCGAACTGAGGACACGCTTGTGATACCGAAAAAAATTTTTTTAAAATTTAGTGCAGGTGCTTTGCCTCGACTTTTTTGCCGTTTTGTCTCAAGGTACTTGCGAGGTGCTAAGGCCTCCCTTCACCTCGAGCTGCATGCGCAAGCTGGACGCTTCGCGTCCATGGGCCTTCAAGCAGCCGCTGCAGCTGCAGCAGACAGAGCCTCCCCCGCTACCCCTTCAGAGCCAACGGACGATACACAAGCAGAGAAGGAGCTCAGAGTGCTGCAGCAGGAGGCGAAGCAGCGCTACGAGGCGCAACAGCAGAGGCGGAGAGAAGCCTTTGCCGCAGCAGAAAAGGATCAGAAGACCAATCAGCCGTCGCCGAAGGAGATCCTCAGCAAAAGAGGTCAGCTGCCGAAGTTGTGTGAATGCGCCTCTAGACTCTGCCGAAAAAAAGGGGTTCATCATTGGAGGAAACTGACGGAGTCATATGCACTGCTCTGCTACCTGACATGCTGCCCTCTGCGCCGCCTTCCTTTAATCGCCATTTTCTCCTCCACAGAGGGTCTTTATGGCGTCCGTTGCGCAGTATTATTATGAACGCCTGCATGTGCTGCAGTGTCTCGCCTTGAGCGTTGCTAGCTATGCGCGTCAGGCTTGAATAGGATTGGCGAGGCTTGAGCGCTTGGCGATTCGATGCATACCCTGCCGTTTTTTTGATGCAGGTATCCGCGTATGCGCCGTACCCCCGGGGTTGGCTGAGGCTGCAGCCCAAGTGCCCCCGGTGTCTGTACACCCGGAGGTTTTGACCGGCGAATTCTTCCTCCTGCTGCCGCTGCTGCTGTTGCTCGACGAATACGGCCGCGCTGATGCCATTTCTGCAGCAGACGAGAGGCTTTCCTTAATGGAGCAGCTAAAATCCATTTTCCCTTCAAAGCGCTTCCTCGAGCGCGCGCAGCTTCATCAGGGTGACCAGGAAAAAGCAGAGGGAGCCGCCACGGAGTTCCCTTCATGGGATCATGAGAAGAAATACCTTTTAGAGGATATTGTCGGATATTACGAGGTCTGTTAAGTGTGGACGGCCCCTCAAACCCGTGCTGCGAGCCCGGCGCCTTTTTCACTTCTGCGGGTGCTGCAGGAAACACTTTTGATGATTTTGGTTGCCGTTTTGTGCTCCTGTTGCGGTGATTGGTGGCAGTCCTCCTCTTGGGGTTGCTGGGAAAGGGGGGGTTTGTTGTTGCTTCTGAACTTGGCGTGTTCAGGTTTTGCTGGGCTGCGTGTGCGTTCTGCTACTGCGTGTGCTGTCGTAGTGTGGGCTACCGGGTGAAGTATTGATCAGCTTCCCAATGAATCTGCCGCTGGCCCTCCTCCTGCAACATGCAAAGCGATTTGCCGGCATTGCTGCATTTCATTTACTGGTGAGCAGATGCACGAGAGGTCTAGGCTTGAGACTGCTGTCCCTCAGACTCCAGAGTGTACTGTCGACAACTCATAGTGCCTACCGATGCAGGAACGAGACCTTGATGTGCGTGCAGGTCAAAGACACCCCAGCGCACGCAGCTTTTATCAAGGATGCACGAATAGAGAAGCTCGAGTTTTAGCCGTCCGAGGCACACCCTCGTGCTTTGTAGCCTAAGCCGTTGTTGCTCTCGGCGCGTTAGGCCAAAAGCAACGTCGTGCATTTGTCCCTGGAGCTACGTGCTTGCCTTTGGTACTCCCTCTTTACCAGAGACCAAGGTCGGTCAGCAAAGTCGGTTAGAGGGAGTGACCTCACCCGACAAGGCCTAGGTGGGGTACTTGCGAACACGTGTACTGAGGGCCTGCGGGTTGTGGTGTGTGCGTGGGAATCTTTTAGTCAGAGCCGAAAGGGGCTTTAGCCAGGAAGTGGTTGCCCTAGTTAGGCCTTTTTGCATTACACACCATTAGTTAGGGTTCATGACAGAAGGACGCCCTGGCGCCACGTGGCCGTTTAGTCTAGTGGTATGATTCTCGCTTTGGGTGCGAGAGGTCCCGGGTTCAATTCCCGGAACGGCCCCTTTCGCTTCTGGCTTTTGAGAACCTTTTTCCAAACGGTTCTCCATTGTTCGTTGGCTCCATTTTCTACGGAAATTCGAACACCCGACGTGTTCACCTGTTGTCCATGCCACTCTGCATGGTGGTTTCTACAGGAATGGTTTCTTCTGCTTTCACACGATGAATTAAAAGAAAGAAGGCGTAAGTACTGATAGAGCACTCTATCGAAGCAGGTCTCTGCTTACGCTTCATGGCTCTTGGTAACTCTCTTTCCTGCCCTGGTGGCCTACATGCAACAGAACCACGGCCGACGCAGGCGCAGCCTTGTAGCATCACGCTCAACTTTAGGATTTCCACTCCTTCCTCGTGGATTTAGGATGCCTTTAAATTGGAACACGCTCTTTTTGGACTAGATTCGTCTTCAATTTTCGCTGGTCTGCTCCCCCTTCTGCTCAGAGTCGCTCACGGGTCGCACTGCCCGTCCGTCGATCACCCTCTCCGCGCCCCCATACGCTGCTCTTCCTTCCTCTTTGTTGTCTTTCTGTTGAAATTTCAAGTTTCCAGCTAGCTAACCCGATGTAACACGCAGTTTTCATCTATGATGATGCTATGTTGTCCGCGAGAAATGCCCATGAACACAGCGGTGGTGTGGTGCTTTAACGAGACCTGTGACCTTAACGATGGCACCTTCAGCGAGGATTAACAATAGCGGGTGCAGCAGCTCTGCATTTTATGATGCAAAGCCAGAAATAGAACGAGCACTATTTAGGCACCCAGCCCACAACTTCCCAACCAATATTTGCCAAGCATGGCGGCACATAACCGCACAAGAGGGCCCTCAATCTGCTTTCCTCTCCAGCAATGAACCTCGATAGAGTGCAGTGCAACGCAGCCTCTCTACTAATTTTTTTCTCTTGAAGGCATAGTAACGTGTATCGGCGGCTGACGCCCTTAGAATGGGGTTGTCAGCGGAGGCCGTTAGTCTAAGTCCGTTTGTCTAGTGGTATGATTTTTGCATCGTGTGCGAGAGGTTCCTACTTCACATCCCAAACGGCAAATCCCGCAAGGCTCACGTACTGCTGCTCCGCAGCAGTGCGTTCCGCTGCAGCGTCCAAGGCGACTCGAAGGAAACTCGTTAAGTCGCTCGTGCTCTGCATCCAGAGCAGCTCACGAAATTTTGAAACTGTAGCAGCCTTCATGCACGCTACGGGAGGCCAGCCGAATGGAAGTGCAGATTCCTGTTATGTTTCGCGAGACACTGCAGCGATCTGTTTAGCACCGCTGGCCACGAGTGCGTTCCACGGGTCCGCCGCAATGGAGGCAATACGGACGGTGCAGCTCTTTACTAACCGTGCAAGCCAAGAAAAAAAGAGAAAAAGGCCTGACAAAAAGCTCAAGGTGCTGGCGTTCGCACAAAACGCGTGAACTTTGCCACTTGACAAATCGTTCACCGCCCCCCATCTAACTCTACTAGACGAGTCAGCACTGGTCAGGAAACTCCCCACGAGACATCGATGCCACGACACAGCCACCGGATGCTCAAGTCCAACGCATGCTCCAAGCCCTACTCTAAACCCACATTTAGCGCCATTCATGACCTCCTTTCCTCGCCCTTTCCCACCCCATCTAGCGGCGTTGCCCCAAGGTGTAAACCTCGGTTCTTTGTGTCTGGACGAAAGTGAGCGACCAGAAACACACCGCCCACCAACGCTACTGCTGCACAAAAGGCGGCAACACCTAACAGCCTTGACCAGCGACTCGCTGATACTTCATCCCCTTTCAAACGCTAGGCCTTGACGCTGTGCGCCTTACGCGGTGACCTTCAGCAGGAACTCCTATTCGACAGCAACACCCGAACATGCTCAGTGCAGTAATCCCTCGGATCGCTGCTATCCTAGCGTGCAACGTGAAAGAGGTCGTACGCTCCCATAGTTCCTACCTTCAACTGCTTTATCGCGAGGCCTCTGTGTGAAACACCCGCCTTCTCCTCCGTTGTCATTTCACCGAATGTCTTGCCGGAGCTTGCCTCCTCAAAAATACAGTCCCTGAAATGCACACGGCACCCAGAGAGAGCCCTTGGGCCCTACTTATGCCACACACATGCGCGCTCAAACAAAATCAGCGCATAAGTGAGCGAACTAAAGAGTAGTTCAGCTCAAGCACTTTTACAGCCTCAAAACTTGTACACCTAGAACCGCAACAAGCTAGCGCGTGTTGCCGCCGCAGCAGCGAGACACCGTAAACGAGCACCCTTAGTGCCAAGCAGCCTCTCCTCCAAAATGTGCTCACCAGCCAAACGTTTTCTTCCCTCTTGGCTCTACAACCGACCCCTGCAGCAACAATCATAACACCGGTGTCAGCATTGCTCCCCCTCAAGCATGGTGCCCTTATCGTCGTTTGCCCTTACGCCTCTAAAAGAATCTGCGCACACCCAACGTTCTACGACCATTTTTTTTACATCGCAGCGACCTTCAAAAAGATGAAGGTGGCCTTCTTGATCAGCAATGCAGAGGCTGGTGAGGGCGTAAGCGGTCTTGTCCTGCAAAAAAAATCCGCAATCTCTAGCCACATGTATGAAGTGGCTGCTTGCTCACAAAGAAGATTGCACTAGCTTAATCCCAAATAGCCCTGTATTCCCCAAGTCTAAAGCCTCCTACTTCGAATCCTGCAAGGAGTTTCGGGAGGCCCTCGGCTCCTAAGTTGTTCAAAAACCACTTCCTACAACAACAAACACACAAGGCGAGCCAGCCATTGCAAAGGCTTCTCTGTGCTGGGATAACTTCTAGGGATAAAACCACGTTCGATATTTTTGCCTCTCCTATCTTTTTTACTCTTTCTCTCTCTCTCTATCCATCTATCTATCTCTCTTTCTCGGTCCATAGAATCCCCGAGAGATCGTGCGTTGTCGCTGCTGTCTCGCGCCTTCCTCCTTAGCACCCTCCTACCCGAGCAACCCATGCGAACGTTCTAGGCCATGCAGCTTACACATATGGTCCAGGCAGCCCCCCAAGAGCATTGAAGCAGAGAGCCGTGTCTTCGGTGAAGATGAATTGGGGAACTCCGCTACGGTTGCTATCGGTGGTCTGGCGACGGTGTTGCAACGCAGCCTCACACTTGGCCTTCGCGATATCTGCGGGCGATCCCTGCAGCTCCGGCACTGCGCATACACTCCAAACCGCAAGTCATGAGGCTAAAGACAAGAAGGGGTCTCGAAGACGCTCATGCCATGAAGGACGGCGAGCTGGCGCCAGCCACTCGAGCAGGTCGCTGCGCTGTCCTAGGAAGCGCTATTTTCATGATGGAAACGGCTGTGCAGACTCGCAGAGACTGACTGAAATGTTTTCAGCCCGAGGGCTTCGTGCAAGTTCTTCTTCCCGCCTATTAACAGCGCGAGGTGCCAAACTGCATAGGGCGCCATTGCCTCGTATTGACAGCCCAAGTCCCAAGCATGCAAATTCATCGCTTCTTTTTGCGTTTTAAAGTTCAGTCATACGCTTCACAACCTGGGAGCTCTACACTGAGCGACGTACAGTCGACATCCAGAGATCTGAATTCCACAGGCACTCCGTCCATCAAGCGCTGGACTTCCATGAGCTTGTTTTGGTTTCCAGTACAGAAGAAAACAATCGCCCGCGCCATCTTCTCGCGCAAAACATAAATCCTAAGTTGGCAGTGCCTGAGCGCGAAATACAGTGCGCCGGTGTCACAGAAGAGACCTTCTCTGCATGGACGGTTAGATCCCTCAAGAGTAAATTGCCGCGAATCGCCTCCCTACTGCAGAATTGAGTAGGCAGGAAGCGTGGTGCATCCTTAAAAAGGTAAGGGCTTAAATATTCTAAGGAACAGATCACAGAAGAGTACAGTGGTTCTTAGCTCGCATCGCGCCTTCATGAGCTGCATGCAGCCCCGTCGCATGCCAGCAGTCAAACCCTACGGCGATGGCGGTCATCAACCCTCCAGCCTCAAAAATCAAGGGAGGTATGTGCATATGGGGCGGTGTATTACCGTGAATCGCATTTCGAGGCGTTTTTGGTCGTAAAGAAGCTTTTTGTAATCCTGGGAGTCCGCGCTATAGGAAGCGGTCGCAACAACAGCCGCACCAAAGGCGCAAAGTGCATCCTGCCAAAGCTTTGAGGGTTTGTGAACCCTCTCCCTTGAAAAGAGGTCTGTGTGCGATGCGCCTTTCCTCCGCGTGGCCGTAGCTGCTTCCGCAGCAGAGGCTGCAGCAGAGGCTGCCGCAGCGGCGGCGGCAGGTGCTGCAGCAGGTACTTGAAGCAGGATGTCTTATCGTGTATTCGGGAAGCAGCTGCTGCCGCTGCTATTCCCGCGAATTGGGCTAAGGTTTAGCCGCAGAACGGCTGTGTTCCTCTGTGGCGTGGGCTGTACGTACACCTGGCTAGGAGGTTCAAACCCAGTGTCGTTGGTGCCCTTGGGTTGCTGCTGCTGCTATGATGCTGCTGCTCTGTTTGTGCAGCAGCTGCAGCATCGGCGGTGCCTTTTCTATCTGAGGGTGGCAGCGACAGCCGAAGCCTTGAGGATCCAGAGTCCCCTCTTCAATCACTATCTGCTGCTGCGCTTGTGCAGCCACGTGCAGCAGACAGCGCTGCAGCAGCAGCATATCGCTCTCTTGCATGTTCCTGCTGCTTCTGGGAGAAGCGGCGGCTCCAGCAGCAAAGATGCAAAGGAGGCTAACGACGGCAGCAGCAGAGCTGCTGCCGTTGCTCTGTGGCGTGAGAGAGCAGCAAACACGCCTCTCCCCGCAGTTGTAGCGCGCATGCTGCAACTGCTGATGCAGCTTGATCGCAGCAGCAGCAACAATCGTGTCTTGTGGGAGTGTTACGCAGCGGTTGCACCGACGCTTTTGCTGCTGGTGCAGCCGCAGCTACTGGAACGTGACTTGACGGCCGCCTCCTTTCGGCAGCTGCCGCCTGAGCAGAAGATGGCTTACCGTATCAGGGACCTGCTTTCTTCGTACGGCTGGAGGGCGCCTCTGCAGCGGCAGCAGCAGCAGCAGCAGCAGCTCGTTGAACTGCATGAGCAGCCGCTGCATCTGCTGGAGTTGCAGCACGACGAGCTGCTGCTGCAGGTCGTCTTTCTGCTGCTCCTGACTTCGCACAGGTTGCTGCACTGGCAGCAGCATGCAGCTTATGAGAGGCAGCGGCCTGCCTTCCGCCGCCCCGGGGTTGTTTTGCCACCGAGCGCCGTTCCGACTGCTGCTGCCGCTGCACAGCGGAGAGGACAAGAGTGGCAGCAGTTGCTGCTTTCTCCTGCTTCGCTCGCTTCTGCGTGCGGCATTCTTGCAGCAAGAGCCTGGTTCTGGCTAATGGACTCTTTGCAGGAAGGGTCTGAGGCTTCGGCAGTGGCTGCAGCTGCCGCCGAAGCTTCCCCAACCCTCCCGCAGTCTGCCTCTGCGCGACTTGCTGCTGCTGCAGGCGCAGAACCGCGGAGCTGGATTGAAGCTCCTGCTGCTGTAGCCGTCTTCTTGGGAGCGCCTTTGCTCTCCGACACAGGTCTTTCCGCCGCGGCAGCCGCAGCAAGTACACTGGGGGGCCCTGTTGCCGCTGTGGAAGGGGGTCGTACGATGCTGCAGCTGCTGCAGCTGCGTGCTCAGAGGCACCAGCAGCAACCCACGCTGGTCCTCTCAGATTCTCCTGAGGCGGCAGTTGCTGCTGTCGCTGCTGCTTGGCGGCAGCTGCAGCGCCGTAGCATTGGGTCGCGTCTGCGGCGCATGCTCTGGACGAACAACAGCAACAGCAGCAACAACAGCAGCAGCAACAACAATAGCGGCAGAAATATTGAGAACTTGCGATGCAGAGTAATGGCGCTTGCTGCAGCCATTAGAGCTGCAGTGGATGCTCTGAATGAGAAAGGTACTTGCGTGCAGGCGCTTTCACTGCAGCAGCAGCAGCAGCTGACTATGCAGCAGCAGCAGACGCTGCAGCGCCAGCAGCAGCTGCTGGCAGAAGCCGCGAACGCAGCTGTACGTACACCCCACCACCTTCACAGCTTCAACCACAACTACGATGACTTAACGGGGCACTGGACGCGGGCGGTAGTGGCAGCCGCTGCAACCGCCCTCGCTGCCGTCGTGCTGCTGCTGGCAGCAACAACTCTCAACAACATAGGGCCCACTGCAATGGGAGTTCCAAACACTTTGCTGCAGTACACCGGCTTTCCGTGGCTGTGGCGCTGGGTCTGGTATGGCAGCAGCAGCAGCAACAGCAGCAGCAGCAGCAGCAATGCGGGGGGTGGCGGCAGTGCTGTAGGGGATTACCGCCAGTACTTGCAACGCGACCCCGCAGTAGCAGCAGCCGCACAGCAGCTGCAGCAGTGGCCTTCCGAGTCAACGGCTGCGGCAGCGGCTGCAGCTGGATTCTACCAGCAGCAGCAGTTTGGATCTGAGCTGGATGCTCGTGTGTCTGCCCTGTATATGGCTCTGGCGAGGGAGAATGGCACTCCTGCTGCTACGGCTGCTGCGCCCTTCGGGGTGGCGCAGCCACAATATCCTGCGGCGGCAGTGCCTGTGCAGTATGCCGATCCCGCAGGCTTAATGGATCCCAGAATGGGGGGTTCATCGGGAGCTACCCGTTTTCTTTAAAGAGTAGCGGAGGTGCTACGAGGCTAATCGTGTACCGCAACAGTTGCGGCAGCGGCGTTTGCCGTCCTTTTTCTTCATGTTTTTGCCCGTGATAGGTTCACAGTGAGTGCTTAGTCCCATGTAGGCGGCAACAGCAGCAGGCGCGCTGCAGTAGTGTTCCGCAAGGGGAGGCGCATGAACAGGCAACAAGCTCATTGTACAGCATGTTTTCTGTCTAGCTGACAGGCTTAGAGCAGAAGGGAATACGCTTTTTCCCGGACAGGCTTAGAGCAGAAAGGAATGCGCTTTTTCCCAGTCGTTGTAACGACGCCAGGTGCGACGGTAACCCTTAATCCTTTGCCTGAGCAGGGCGCCTCTAGTGCTCAATCTGCATTCTTTCGCTCGACGCCTTACGCGTCAGGTGTGTTGCTTTCAGCTGCGTGCCACACTGCTTTACCAAAAACTGAGGAGAGGGAAGCAGAGGACACAGGGGCGTAGAGGGCTACGGAGACATGGTGGATCCGAAGTACACACAGTTGCAGAATCCTACGAAACGGAAAACGAGGGGGAAGGGTAGGCGTGGGACTGGCAAATAGAGCAAGTCAACGAAAAGCAGAAAAGATAGCGCATGCAGTCACAGGGATATACTGGGGCAGTGATGACCACGGGTTAGTGAAGCGATAGGGCATAACGTGAAACACGAAAAGCAACAGGTCACTAGGGACTGATAGGCGGTGTGTAAGGTCTCTGAGGCCTCAGCAGGGAGGGGCTTCTTCTGTCTCAAAGCCAATACAAAACTGTGCAGTCGTTTGAACGTTCTTATCAAAGAGTTTCGTTTCTACTACTATGGACATAAGTGGAAGGAACCAACGAACTGGAGTTTGCGCGGGTGCACCCATCAAGCACTTTAAGCAGCTGCGACAACTTGCACACAGCAGCCTTCGTGCGCACAACATTCATGCTTTTCGTATTGTACTACTTAACTCTTGAACAAAACAACTGCACGAACACCCAAACCAAAGGCTCAGTTCTTTGCTACTCATGAGCTAAATAGAGCTACTGCAGGGGAGTGTGTTTTGAAGTGCAACTTGAATAATCCGCTGGACACTGGCACCTGGAAGATGAATCAGTGGATGTCGACGGGGCTTGAGGGTTGGGTGTATGCGCACTACAGAAACGCCTTGGTAAGTATGAGAGTAGACTTATTCTGGCACTATTACATTCATGTGCGAGCGAGGGAGGAGGCAATATTGACCGCACTCACGCTGGTTGTCTATACATGTCTGGCCATGCGAAACCACGACCAGGAGGCTGGCTGTACATTCGCCGAGGAAGGCGATATACGGCATCAAGAGTGTTGCAGTAAGTGAGTGCATGGTTTTATGAAGGGGAACTGATCGCTTGCAGGTGGGAAATCTACAGCGTAGGATGTCGTGGATAGTTGAAGCCCTGTATTTGCAAACAAGGGGAACCCAAAAGGTCTGTGGCAAGAAAGGGGGCTTTGTGCCTACATGAAGCCTCGCAGTGCGCAAGGGTTCCGCGGTGTAGCTACCGCGCATCGAGGGAGCACTGTGGCCAAGTGCTCGATGCATTGTGTGAGGGGGGGAGTGCACGGATCGCCAAGAAGCAAATACTGAGAGTCGCATTTGAGGGCCACACAGAGATACTGGAGGAGCGGTGTATCGAGTAAGAGCGCGTGTGTGTATGCGACTAGAAGAGACCTTCAAAAGGCTGTAGAGGCAAGGGGTATCTCATCAACAGAATTCAAAACGCAGGACCCAACGATCTCTGTAGAGATCCGAGAAGGAGGGATAAAAAAGGGTGCGAGGCACTGATTATGCTTGAGAGCCTCTGAGTGGATCTTTCAGTGCCTCCTGTACAATCACCCGTCCAGTGGAGATACACACCACGGAGGTGCAGGTATTTGAAGGAAATCCGAGAGCAAAAAACAACTGTGTCACAGAGTTGATGCAAACTACTACACTTCTACAGACAGGTCCATTAGGCCAACACTTGCGCGGTGTGGAGCCTGCCGTTGTGTGGAGCGCTGCATGCGCCGCTCCCCTTTGATCAATGCCAACACCAGAAGAAGAAAGTGCAGTTCTTCCATCACCTGCACCCGCAGCAGCGGCTATAGAAGCGGCGGCAAGGGCACCAACGCATCCTTTAGTGCGGCTGTGCAGCTAATTTTAAACTGCTGCTGGATGCGCAGGAGAGGCGCTAGCCGATGCTGCTGCCTCCTCGGCGGCTGCTGCGGCCTGCTCCTTCATCTTTCGCAAAATATTGACGAAGCCGTTCATTCGGCTGCAAAGCACGAGAGCAGCAGCAGCAGCAAACACCCCAGGAGCATTTGGATGGCAGCAAGAGCAAGAGGAATGGCATGAACGACATGTCACGCGAATCGCTTGGCAGAATCAGTCACGAGCCGCCTTTAGCCCCCAGTAGCCTCATCAGTCCAAGACACCTGGTAGCAGCTGCATTCGCAGTTGCCTCCCCAACAATGCTTTGTGTTGGGTGCAGCTGCAAGACACGCAAGCGCGATGCACCTGATGGCAACGAATTGTTGCAGCTTGGCCCTTTTCAAGATATCCAAGGGGAGAGCCAAGACCTCGGAGGGGCGGCTGCCGTGCAACCCCCGGAGCAGTAGCTGCAGCAATCCCGAAGTCAGTACAGCGTCTGCAGCAAGCACAGCGCACTATCCATACGAATCGAACAGAAGGCGTGCTGGAGAGCAACAGCCAGGCAACAGCCTGAAGACTCTCGTTGAATGAACTAAGTCATCCACTTCTAACAACAGGACTCACTTGAATCTCCTACATAGAAGAGCAGCAGTTCGCCTTCGCTGTTGCGCTGCGCAGTGCAGTGTACATACACCTCACTGATACAGCCCTGCACGCGCACAATGGATCCATCCATATATGGAGCGCGTGGTTTTCTTCCAAAGGTGGAGGCATAATATACCAGCAATCCTCATAAACGGGCCAGTGCAACCGCCACGCGTAAAACAAAAAGAGCAGCACCTTCACTTTATTGGCTGCAGTCTTGAGCACGGGGTTCAGGGGCACCGCCTTCGCTCCGAGAGTCATCAAATACTGCATCCTAAAGAGAGCAGCAGCTGGAACAAATTTGAGCATCGAGCTGAAGGGAAGAGGCTTCCCCAACGTCCTTCCCTCTCGCCTCCAGACACGAGGACGGAAGGAGACTGCAAGGCCATGTAAGCAGATGCATGCCTTGAAAGAAGCAAGGCAGAAAAGACAATAGGAGAGCCTCAAGACACCAAGGGACCCCCTTGGGGAGGGCTCCAGACGCACCTGGATCGTGGATCTTTATAAGCTGCCAGGACGTCGATAAGCTCCGATAAAGGCTTCGGCACACTGTTGCTGCTGCTGCTATTGGTGCTGCTGCTATTACTGCTGCTGATATTGCTGTACTGGAGCTGTGTGCCGGATCTGCTCGAGGGGGAAACACGCGAATGCGCAAGGGGCTGGTCACTGGTGGAGGGCGCTGGGAAGGCGTGTGGCACCTGCGGGTGGGAGCGGTGTTCTTGCTGGTGCTCGGGTGGATGGATCCTGCATCTTTGCAAGTGGCGAGTACTGGGGTGTACGCACACTGAATTGGGAAGACATCTAAAGCAAGCCCCTGGCCCTAGCGATGGGAGGAGTAGCAGCAACGACAGCAGCCGGTTCACGTGAAAGCGCATCGGAAGGCTGCCTGATAAGGTCTCGATTCCTCTCATTTTATTGTCCTCCCTCCAACGGAAGCAGCAGCAGCAGAGCCAGCTGCTGATGCAGGCGAGGGGGCACGACAGCAGGGCGGACTCACCCTGACTAGGGCCCTTGTAAATAACTCTGCTCCCGTGAGATTGGGTGAAAAAGACTGTTGCAAACCTTTTGGAAGACAGATCTACTCCTCAGTGTACGCGTTTTATCACTGAAAGTGTGTTGGCGGGGCCCCCGCCCCGTCTGGGGGGCCCCTATAGGGGGTCCCTCTGGGGGGCCCCACATCAAGTCCGAATTCGTGTGCTACAGAGGGAAGGGCATGCAGTTTATGATTTCTGGTAGCGCTACCATAAATTTAACGGGATTTCCGAGTCTGTGTTCAGTGATGCTTCCCCCTCCGCCAGCGTGCTCGCTGGCGCTGTCTGTCCGTGGTGCCCTGCGTTGGGCTGTATGTAATCATCTGAGGCGCATAGAAACCCATTGAAGCATCTCAGCGATGCCATTTTAGGCCGTTATGAAATTAGAATCCGCCTGCACGTGCACATGTGGGCGCGTGTCCTCGTGAAGTGCACTTTTTCGCCTAATGTAATATCAATTAATAGGACCCAAGAAAGCTGTTTTGGTTCCTTCGCCCCTCTACTAATGCCAGAGGCACTCTTCTGTATTTGTATGTGTATGTGTGACTTCAACTGACTAACCTCTCCTGGGGTTTCTGGCGCCAGCTCAGTGAGTGCCCCTTGGTTTCCAGTTTTAGTTGACAGCGTGCATTCGTGCCACATCCAGCTACTCAGTCCTGCAAGGCCCATAGGCTGAAAACTTGAAAATGCCACAGATGTCTCATTGGATAGAGGTGAAGCCACTTGACTGACGCTCTCCACATTACTCTGTTCTACTCTTCGACGCTTAGATTTTCGGACGAAGGGGACTTGTGCTTGCCCAACATGGGCCAACTTTCGTTTCGTACCGCATGGGTGATTTGGGCTCTGATGCAGCAGCAGATACTGAACAACCTGCTTACGGCAGCCTCTTCACTGCGATCCTCTTCTGCGCTGCCCAAAGCAGACTTCCAAGCCGCCAAATGAAGCCCTACATTTATTGCTGTTAGTCTGTTTTGGTCGTCTTGCATTCGAGCCACAAATATGCGAATTTTACGTAACTTTAAAGCGCCATATCCTGTATGGTACCAACTAGAGTGAACATGCCCAGAAAAGGCCTTTTCGCAAGTAGCTCACGTAGGGGGCCTAAAGCCACTGACTGCTGGGATTGAACAACAACGCTGATAAACATCTCTAGATCCTTAGTATTCATTCTTAGAGGCTGCGAATTCTACCCGTAGTAAGCAACAACAGACCGAGTCCGTCATGTTGATTCGGCCGTGACACACTGAACTGCAACGATCCAGGTGGGAAGCTTCAAAGCGCTGACAACGGATGCCTTACAGCAGGTAAAACGTAAAACTTCATGGCTTCCTGAGGCGTCTATCGACTCTCTTCTACTATACAGAAGGGCATCTTATGTTGACGGATCTCCAAAACTCGAGCAGGTGAACCAAGTTGGCAAATTGTGTAGGCAACCGGTCTCCTTGCAAAGTCCAGGGAGGAAAGAACTGAGGCAAGCGACCCTCTGAGCGCAGCTGCTGCAATATGGAACCGACTAAGAAAAGATAGCTACCACAAGGAGACTACATGCAGAGTCACTATGGAAGTGGAATGCGGCAAGGAGCCAAGGCATATGAAAGATATGAACAAGAGACAGAACAGTTGAATAAATATCAAGGAG